CTGTTAACGCAGATGCTCGTTGTCTTGGAGGATGCTGTGTGAAATCCTGAAATAAACGACTGCAACTGCCCATTGGTAGCCGAGAAGGGGAAGGTAAACGTGAACTTTGGCGCCTTCGCATTGACGAACGAACTGATGGTCACGGCCACAATGTCAGCTGTAACATTGAGAAATTCAAGCGAATCCAAGTCGTGAATGAACGTGGTGATGAATGAGCCGCACGATGTGGGTAGCGTGTTTGATTGCATGCCGCACGATGCGGGCGGCGAGTCTGAGTCGCAGGGCAGAGCCAACATTGTGACTGTGACGTTGCGTTGCGTGACGCCATCAGCACCAAGGCCGATGAGACGCAAGGTCACTTCGCCATCGATCAGTTCCATGGCCTCGAAGCACGCGGAGTATTCCTCGTCTTTCGGCTCGCGAGTTACTGCAAAAGCCTCCAATTCAAGCTGTTGGTGGGCCCGAGGCCAGAGTTGCATACTCGGGTTCAGCAGCAGCCCAGCAACCCAAAGCAATGCGTGCACGCTCTGGATGGTAGAACACCATGGGAGCGTTTCCAACCTCGGGTGTGAATACTTCCAACGTGACAGCGGGACGGGTGAGGCCACTGGACAGGCCATGATAGTACAAAATCGCTTCAATGTAGTACTGGTTGCCGGCAGTCATGGAGAAGGACAGCTCAGACAGGGCATCATTCGGCATCTTGAAAGCAAGCGCCATGTAGTGCTCAGAGTAAAAGTCGGCATCCTTGCGGAGCAGCGCAATGTCCATCGCCGTCACGTTCGGCTTGAGCAAGATGCGAACTTCGGCTTCGATAAACTCCAATTCAACGGTAGGCAATGCGGGGTTGACCAACAGCGCAAACCGGAAATCAGCCGTCGCGCTGGCGACGTAAAACCCAGAGACGACTTCAACAGCATGTGGAGCGAAAGGTTGAGCGATAATCCTCCCAGGGCCTGCCAAAATCGTCGTGGTAACAGACGGTCGATCCGGGAAGCGTGCGTCGAAAGTGCGAAAGGACGTGATGTTGTTCAGATTGGCGCTCGAGTTGGCAGCTAGAACGTCGTCGACTTGAAGGTACGTGTCACGGCGAAGTGCGTTGATTGGTCGGTACTGCTTGTCGAATCGATCAGCCCCGCTCAAAATGCACAGCGGTGGGATGCTCCGATCCGTGTTTGCAGCGTAAGGATCGTTGGTCAAGAAGGAGGAGCAGGTTGGCGAGTTGAAGCACGATTCCTGGCACGACGCGCGGTTGGAGCCCGTGGTGACATTCAGCAGTGTAACTCGACCGCCCGTAGCAAGAGCGCAAAGCTGAAAACGATCCATAACGGCGTTCGTGTCGAGGGGGACAAGGTGCTTTGCCAGCGGCCGCCGAAGCATGAGTTCAGGCATCTCGTTGATCGCCAGTGTGCAGCCACAAACAAGCTCAGCATCATTGGCGATTGGAGAAACGGCAATGTTGGTTTCTTGCGCTGATTGGCCAACAAGAATAGCGTTGCAAAGAGAAACGTAAAGGAAACGCGTCAGCAATTCGAACTCGGCAAGAAACGACCAGCAACAACAACAAACGAACAACCAAAAAAAAACAAACAAAAAGCCTTTCACTCACGTTCCATCCGCCAAATCACACCGACAGAGTTGCTGGTATCTTGGACGAGCAGAGACCAAGCGTCGTAACGAGAGAAAAAGAGAAGGGGAAACGCGGGACCTTGAAAAACGAACTTGACAGGGAATGCCAGAGTTTGACCTGCAGCAAGGGAAACTTGTCCGATATCGTCGATATACCCGTCAAGCGATGATGTCCCCGATGCAAGTCTAGTTATCGCCTGTTGAACTTCAGCTTGCAGCAGATAGGGCACAGGCTTTTGTTGCTGATCATACAGGTCCAGCTGCAGACCGTACCCGGGGTACATTCCCAACTTAACGTTGTCCAACGAGGTATTCCCATAATTGTGGAGGGTAATAACTCCTTGAATTTCGTTGCCTTCCAAAGCTGTGGCGGGGAAGCTGGCAGCAATGATCTGAAGAGGTGCCGGTGGGCCACAAACACCGTCCACCATGACGGAACCGACATAGCACGATGTGCACTTGGTCGAGTTGCATGAAAGGCAGAAGGCGGCGCAGCATGCATCTGGGCCCGCTCCATAGCAAGTGGCACACGCTGCATCACACTCTAAGAGGCCAAAATCGTGACAAAAAGTTAACATTTGACAAACAGGTCGAAACACGGCAACGCCATGCATGCCTTACTATTCAAGCTGGTTAAGACTCGGTACGTGCTGGGAGGGGCAACCGCGCCAAACGAGTTCCCTGACAAATCCACTTGTGTAAGTGCAGACAGATTCTGGAACAACCCAGGAGGCAAGGTAGAAAGCAAGTTGTTCTGCAATTCCCTGTTGTCAAGACGCGAGAGTTAGGATTGTCCCCCTTCGCGAAATGTTGATTCATCAAAGACACGGCTAGCGTACAAACGTTGCAGAGAAGTAAGGCCAGCCAACATTCCGCGCGGAACCGTTGTGAGACCGGTCCAAGACAATTGGCTGAATCACATTGAGCAAAGTGAGCTGCTCTCATTGATGCAGGCCGCACCATCAAGACATCATCAAGACGAGCAATGATGTGATCGTACAGTAATGTCAGCGCTGAAAGGCCTGTAAACGCTCTCGCGGACAGGTCGGAAATGCCATTTTCGCGCAAGTCCCTGCAAAGCGGGCGACAGAATGAGCAGCGATCGCTCCAAACCTTGGCAAGGAGGCAACCCGTGGGCAACGATCACTTACAAAACTTTCAAACTCACAAGACCGGAGAAAGCATTGGCAGGGATGACCGAAATTTGGTTCCCATACAAGCCGCTTTTTAGGTTGACAAAAACACATAAAAAAAAAGCGTTCAAACCAGTGCAAGTCAGTTGCCTTTCCATAAAACATGCCAGATCAAATCTCAGGCTTACAGCACAGTCAGCGAAGAAAGATCACGGAATGCAGCGGGTCGAATAAACCGAATGAACGAGTTATCAATCCACCTGTCCACCAGGATGATCGAGTTGAGCTGCAATCAACTCAACAACGTTTCGATGCTTTCTTTTTCTTTTGTTAACAAAAAATTACATGTTTTTCACCGTGGTCGGAATATTGGAGGGAATGGTGATGAGTGCGTCGTTGCAATTTTTGACCTCGATAACGGGCGATCCGACGCACGTGCAGAAAGTGCATGCGGCTTGCTCTTGCCCAGAGGAGACCCGGGCGACGACCAGCAGGCTCAACAGCCACCAAACGGGTGACAGCGTTGCTCGCATGCTTCACCTTTTTGAACAAAATTGAAAAAAAAAAAAAAAGAACAAAAAAAAAACCAAGATCAAGCAAACGATCGAAGCCATGAGGCAATCCGCTCTGCATCAGCACGCGCCAGTCACAGGATTTCACGTACAGACAAGGCAACAGAGTGTGGCTCGAGAAGAAAAACCAAAAGCGACCAGAGATCCAAGCGAGGACAAGAAAAAAAAAAGAAGAAAAGTAAAGGACTGAGCTGAATTTCAAATGTGGAACGGTTTTTTCAAAACGATAAGATAATGACGAGCGTTGTCGCTCCACGAGCAGCAGCACACAAGGCACTTGCATGCGTGTGTGGTCGTCTCAAGGCCGAACGGAGCGCGAGCGGCGAGCGATTGAGAGTCAGAAGAAGCGGCAGAGGAACACAAACCAAAAAATAAAAAAATAAAAAAAATAAACCAACAAAAAATTTATTCAAAAAAAAAAACACTTGACATTTGGTGCACTCGTTCCACGAGTGTGCTTGTAGGCACTCATCTTCTTCGAGGTGGAATCAGAAAAAGAAGACGAAAGGAGACGAAAGGAGATGAAAGAAGACGAAAGAAGACGGAAGAAGACGAAAGCAGACAAAAGACGACGAAAGAAAGAATGGCGAAAAGCAAAAAAAAAAAAAAAACTCACAAAAAAAACCCACCCCAAACACTCGGAAAAAAAAAAAAACCAATCGTGATAAGACCACAAAACACTTGCACTCTTCCCACTCATGCGTGTGCACGCACGCACTCATCTTCCTCTGAATCCTAATCAGTACAAGAACACGAAGACGAAAGAAGACAGAAGAGCGGAAACGAAACAGGCCAAACAACGCTTAACGCTTGGCGTTTTTTTTTTTTTTTTTTTTTTTTTACTTATATCAATAAACCAGAACAATAACAAAAATCATAACAAATTCCTTCTGTTGCACTCTTTCCATTCCCATGCGTTTGTTTACTCGCACTCATCATCATCATCTGCCTCGAATGCCGAGACACGACCGACTGCCGCTGCAGCTGTTTGGCTTGCTGCTAATCTGCGCTGCCATGTTTGTGGCGAGCATTGCTGAAGCCAGCAGCAGCAGCAGCAGCACCATCCCTCGCCTGCATTGCCGCGGCGTGGGCAACTCGGACGTTGGCTTTTGGCTTGTGTTCCGCAACGACGGCGGCTCGTCGTTCTACTACATGGACTCGAACCGTGTGGGCTCCGAGCGCGGCCTGGTGCTGCCCCCTCAGCTGCTCGTGCACGCGCAGTCGCCGCTCGTCCTCACGCTGCAGAACATTATTGACGCGCGCAGCAATGCTTCCCGCTCGACCAGCCACGTCGTCTTTGCCAACGAGCATGACATGCACTCTGCGCGCAACTTTGACCCGAGCTCGGACGTGTTTGAGTCGCACGCACCGCCGCTCGACCGGGTTGGCGCTGACATTGGCTCAAGCCCCCGCACGTCCAAGCCCTTCCTGAGCGGCCTTCTCGCTGTTGAACACCACCCCCAGGAAATGGAAACCGCGGCGGAGGACGCCAACGGATTTCTGCTGACAACAACCATTCCACGCCTTGTTCCCATCGACCCTCGCACAAGCACGCTGCCTCGCAGTGTCCCCAACTCGGTGTGGTTTGACGTCCAAGACACGGCTCAAGGCGCAATCCTGTGCCTCTCGCTGAACGCGTCAGCAGGTGTCCAAGCCATTGTTGACGCACTGTTGACCACCAATCCGTTCGTGTCTGCGCTTGAGCTCTCAGAGGGCGTGCCGGCGGCAATGCAAGCGTTTGCGCGTCCCAACTGGCTGCCGCCCTCCACAGCTGCAGGCAGCGTCCATCTGCGTGGTGCTGCCGACTCGTTCGCACGTTGTCTCGCTGCATCTGGCACGTTTGCTGAGCTTGCTGCCAACTGTTTGCGCACTGTTGAGGTGCCTGGCGTGTTTGGCGTGCGCGACACCGGCTCGTCCCCACGCTTTGCTCGCGGCTGGTGGTTGCTCGCCAAGAACCGAGGCTTCCCGCAAGGGCTGATGTGGGCGCCAGCATGGAGCCGCACCTCCCTGTCGCCTTCAATTGAGCCGACATTGCTCAGTCGGTGGCAAACCGGCGGCGCTGTCACGGCGTTGATTGGCATCCTCGGTGGCACTGAGGCAGAGCTTGTCTGCATTGGCGACCTGTTCTTTGTGAATGACACGGCCTTGAGCGGAAGTGCGCTGTGCACCTCCATGCTGTCTGCACACTCCATCTCTCTGAACGAGCTTGTGGTTGCCGAAATGGTCCCCGCCACGCTGGTTGGAAACGCTGATTCTGATTCCAGTTTTCAAACAAGACGCGGCCGCCCCGTTACACGCAGTCAAGCAGGCAGTGCATCAAGCTCAAAACTCGTCACCGAAAATCACAAAATCCTGCACAAACGCCCCGAGCACCTTCAACAACGCAAATTCCATGATTTGGTGTCCAACCAGCTGAGCGAACCGGGAGTGCGAACCAGAGCCAGACAGTACTGGAAACCGTACATTCCCCCGCAAACCAACGGCGTGCCTGTGTCCGAGCCGCAATCCGTCTTTAGCTGTGGTTTGCTGTGGAGCAATTCTGCAAACAAGGACGTCTGGAAAACGGCTACTGTGACCTTTCCCACGTTGCCGAACGACTTATCCCCCTGCGCTCATCTTGAAGTGTGGTTGGACCGTTTCCAGTCGTCGTCCAACGAGCTCGTGGAAACGACGGTTTTCCGCCCAACGAAATCCGGCAACAACCAGTGGAGCTACAACAAGTGGGAAGAATTCACGCGTCCAGCCGACCTCAGCAGCAATGATGGCGCCACTCCGATGGACTTGGACGACCTCGGCAAGAGTGATGACGCGATTCCAATGGACGTGGACCCTCGCCCGAGTGATGCCCACTACTCAATGGATTCGAAAGTAGGGCAATTGAAGATTGACGTGCCAAACGAAGACCCGGTGCTGAGTACCAGTCTATTCGCGGCTGATGTCAAGTTTGTCTGGAATTCTTCTCCAGCTCCCGAGTGCCGTGAGCCTGAACAGAGGCTCTTTCCTGGTGCTCGGCACAACGAGGTGTTTGAAAACTGGGAGAGTTCCATGTGGCGTACCTTGTTCTCGCGTGGCCGACTCCCATCGTTGCGTCAGCGTCGCTTCGACCCTGAGGATAATGGCGACGAGTATTGTTTCATTGGACCATGTTTATTTGATTTGTACAACGCAAACGGCGAACGTGTTGGGCCAGTTGGTTCGAACCACGACGAGGCCTTGAAGTTTGCGCTGCGTGGCACCAAAGGGTCGATGATCATGCTCAATGCCACCAGCCACGCGCTTGAATGGTGCATGAACGCCCTTGACGCGCTGACATTCATTCTGGCCAAGGAATCAGGCGCGGTCGTCGAGAATGTCGTCGAAGAAACTGAAGATGAAGACCCTGACGAGAATGAAGGCATGGCATTGAGCGAAGACGCCTCTAGCCACGATAGTAAGTGATGGTCTGCTATTGGCGCTTGATTTTGGAAGAATTTTGCATTTGCTGACGAGCCATTGGAACAGGAAAATCCTTGAATTCCGCGGTTAACGATTGCCAGCATCATCTCGCTGGCGGGATAGAGTCGCCTTTTCTTCTGTCTTTCACTACGACGTTATATCCCGGCTTGAAAAAGATCTGCGCCGAGTTGGCACCCGGCCAGTTGTACATTGTCCACGCAAAACACAACAAAAAAAGGGCTCAGGTTGCCACATTCACTGCACAACCAACCCATGCTCCTGCCACGCCACGGTTTTTCTACCTTTCGTATTTTGATCCGACTGCAAAAATACCGCGAGTCGTGGCATATTCTGTTACAGTTCCGCAGTCGTATTCAGTCCACTCGCGTCTTGATACCGAATTTATGTACAATTTGGGTAAGTTTCAAAGCGTTAAGTCGTTCTGGTGTCCTGGTCTCACGATTCTCACATTTGTCAACAGAGCTCTGTTCACCGGCTCCAACCCCTGGTGTGGGAATAGTGCCAACGCGCAAGATGTGTCGCAGTTTTCCGAGCTTGGCTGCTAAGAACTACAAAGGGGTTGGTAAATCCTGGAACAGAGGCCATCTGTTCCCAAGCCATATCGCTTCAATTGTGGACCCCACGCAGTATACTCCCCAAAACATGTCATACGCGGCTGCGTTTTCCACTTTTGCGTACATCAACGTTGTCCCCATGGCCGCAAGGTTCAATCAACTATACTGGGGTCCCGCAGAAACGGCTTTCGTCGAGGTTGTTCTCGCCAAGGGCATTGGCAAGCAAGCCTTTTTTCTGACTGGCGCGCTTGGCACACCCTCCCAGAATCGGTTGAAGTTGAACGAATTTGCTCCGAATGGCCCGTTTTTTACCGCCATGTGCATTCCAGGGGTTGGAAGTAGCGCCGCATATGCTCACTTCAACAGTGATAAACTTGTACTCGCCCGTTCCGATCCTCGGTACTCGGCAGTCGAGTTCATGAGTTTGGGAAAACTCGTGACTTTGCTAAAACAACACCAATTGCTAAACCTGAAACCAGCCGACTTGTTTGGACCAAATGCCAACTGCAACACCGATCTCACATCCGAGCTGATAGCTGCGTTCGCCCCAGCCAAGAAAAACAACAATGGACAATCTGTCACCTTCAATCCTGATTCGCATCGTCGAGAAACCCAACTCTTGGGAAATCGAGATCCTGGAGATCGTTGCACTCTTGATAGCGAGTGCAAGATTCCGATGGAATGCATCAGTAACAAATGCACATGTGTTGCCTGCAAGAACATCCAACCGATTTCCTTGACGGGCGCTACTCAGCAGGAGATTGATGACATTGCGAGAATCATGTGTGAGGGTCCAGCTGCTCCACCTCGCAAGAAAAAAATGGACGACACGCTATGGCAACAATATTTCGGATCACTACAACGTGCGAGCTGTACTTGCAAATGGAATGCGGCGAACAAAGTTTGTCGGTAAGTCCGTTTTGGCCACGCTGGCAAATGGACAACTTGCTCGTCGAGCTGCGATCTCCAGTTTTTTGTGCACCTGTTTTGCCCTTCATCTCAATAAAGCGACCTCACAACGCGACGACTTGTCACCTCGAAATTTGAGCCTTTCGGTTTGGGCAATGCATTTTAGTGTAACCTGGAAATGTCCGTGATATCAAAGGAGCCACAGACTTTCGTTGGTACTAGATCTAGCTTTGCACTGTTGCTGCTTCCTTATTCGAGAGTAGATAGACGTTGTTATGCTTGATAGCTGCAATAGCCCTGACAGAGGAATTTCAGGAAAAACGCTGATTGTGCTTTTCACGAACGGTGAGGAGATCAACATGCAAACAAAGTCGCTCGGAATCTGCGGAAGACCTTGTTCGATGCGAATTCCTCATTCTTGTTGGATGAATCTGTGGCAGACATGATGCTATCGTATCGAGCGGCTGGCGCTGAAACGACTCACATCAAATATTGTGGAGTTTCTCCCTCAAATGACTCACCCAAGGCTTCCATCTCAACAGACTGACACCAGATGCTGTTTTTCGCACATAAATACACTCTATGGTGCTTGGTAGGGTCAGAGGGCGATACAGCCCAGTCCTGGAATCCGGGGCACCTGCTCAAAATCATCTCCCTGTTGTGACTGCAGTCCGCGGCGCGCTAGAGATCCGCTGTGCTTGTTTGATTTCGATCCAACTAAGATTTTGTATTGTAGAGTGAAGGTGCCTCGGTTCGGTCGAACAACAGGCCATTTTTTGGGTGCCTAACTCCGGCAGTTTCGTCGGAGCGCTCCCCCTCGACCGTGGCGGTCTTCTTTCACCGCTTCTTTTGAAGCACTATTTGCCATTGGATGTCGGGGAGAGCGCGACGCGGAAATCGCCCTCGAACGGACGAGATTCCTTATTTTGACTTTTCGTAATGCTGCGCCAGCCAAATCGAAGTCGGCTCAGAAGGCTCTGTCAGCCCCGCCGCTGTGGCAAGTTACTCAAATGAGGTCCGCTACATGAAATTTGTGAGAATAGGGCAATGGCGTCCAGAGGACAGGCGTGAGATCGAAACCTTAGGCACCCTTCACATTAAATCGTTATTCAGTCGGTTTTGAAGTTTGAATATTTTTTTTCTCCACCGTTTTTTTTTTTTCTTTTTTTTTTTCCCAAATGGTAAAGAAGGCGCCCTCGGCTGCTCCTGCTCCCACTCCTACTCCCATGCGCACTACAAGAGCAACCAAGCCAAAGACTGGTGGCAGCATCAGTAGCACCGACGCAGTGGAAGACGATCGTGTGGTCGCGGCAATGGAGGTCGATCCACCCAAACCCAAGCGAGCTGCAGCCCGTGCTGCTGCCACTGCTGCTGCTGCCACTGCTGCCACATCAGCAGTACAAGTGGCTAGTACTACTATTGCTGCTCCCCGAGGCAGGACCAGCAAGGCAGCCGCACCTGTCCCTGCCTCTTCAATCTCAGAGCCGCTCAGCAAGGTGCCGCTCCTGCCCAAAGAGTTGTGAGGCGTAATGCCAGTCCACTAACTCGTCACTGACATCTTGTTTGCTTCGTTTGTGATTCCTACTGTTTGATTTTTCAAATAGCGCCAGACCGCTCAGAAGAAGGCCACTGCACCAACCAACCAAGGATCTCAGACTGTGAGCTACCATCTTCGTGCTCGCAAACCCACTCAGGTTGCAGTTGCGCGTACTGGCAAGACGAGCTCAGCTTCCAGTAGTGGCGTCCCCACAACCATCCGCAGCAAGCGTCGGGCTGGGAGAACACCTCAACAGCCAAGAAGAACAAGAAGAAGGCTCGTCAAACGGATGCTGACGATGCTGACGACGGCGACTACGAGGACTGCGAGGACGACGCTGCTGGCGAGGACGACGACAACCAGGACAGCAAGAAGCTTAGCAGGGAGGAAGCGGTCGGCGAAGCACTCCTGCAAAACACCACACTGACTACGCTCGAGTATGTACTTGTCGGCTTCTGCTCACTCCATGTTTGTTTGATGCCTTGACTCACCGTATGGTATCAGCTTGGGTGACTGTGTGATTGACTTCAAGAATGCTAGAATGCAGCCGATTGCGGCAGCGTTAGTGCAGAACAAAACGCTGACGACACTCCGGTATGTAAAGCTGGATCCATTGATGATGCCATGGTAATGGCAGCTGTGCAAAGTCACCCTCGCTCACTACCTTGCTCTATGATAACAGGACTCAAAATTACATTGACGCAGTAATGTCCAATGCACTGACGCAAAACACCACTCTGACTGAACTCTCGTAAGTTGTTTTTGCACCATTTGCCCGTGTTGCTTTGCGAGGTAATTGGCTCACCGTGTGACGACAGGGGTTACCTCGATGCCAATGGAGCGCGATCGATGGCAAAGGCACTGACGCAGAACGCCACGTTGACCACGCTCCAGTACGCACCAATTTCGCATTTTGATTGCATTCCAGTTTACCATTGCAAACGCTCCATTTGTTTCGATGGCGTCGCTCATTGTGTGGTAACAGTGTGGGCTGGGGTAAATTCGGCCCGGCAGAAACAAACGCGATTGCCGCCATCCTGAAGCAAAACACGTCACTGACCACCCTAGAGTATGCTTCTTTCCTCTCATGCTGACCACTACCGCGTCTAATTGCAAACATCAATCTAACCATGTCTGTCTGTTGGGTCAGGTTGGATGGTCCTCAGATTGGAGACTTTGGAGCTCAAGCGATTGGAAAAGTGCTGAAACAAAACACCACTTTGACTGCACTCCGGTAGGATTCCACCACTCTCTTCCTCGTCTGCTAGTTGCTTGTTCGCTGATAAGTTGAATCGAATATTGATTCTCATGTCATGGTCACCAGCTTGCTCGGCAACGATATTGGCAGCGCTGGAGCGCAAGCGATCGGAGAGGCACTCAAGACCAACTCGGCATTGACTACGCTTGTGTCAGTGCCACTCTCATGCTGAATCATTGCTTGAGGTCATGCGAGAAGCGCAGTGGTATGTGTTGCTCACTTCATTGTAATAGTTTGGATAAAAACGAGATTGGCGAAGCTGGCGGACTTGCGATCGCTGATGCTCTGGTGTGCAACAAGACGTTGACTACGCTTTCGTACGTTCTGCCGGATGGATGTTGTGACTCTGGGTTCCACTGCTGCGTTGTTATGCCATCGCTGACATCAATTACCACAGCATGTATTGGTGTTCGATTGGAGATGCTGGAGTTGAAGCGATTGTCCACGCGCTCGAGAAGAACACTACGTTGACCTCCCTCAAGTATGATCCTTGGCTCTCATTTGACTGAATTCATGTTTTTGTAACTGCAAGCGATGGATCATTCGTCATATCGCTCACTGCAATGCTCGCAGTTTGAAAAACAATATCACTCTCGGTTCTGGCGCGCAGGCGGCGATACCACGGATGCTCCAAGTGAACACGACGCTGACTGAGCTTGAGTACGTGACAGCTTCTATCTTCATCCCCTTACCCAAAACGAAAAGCAGAAAGATGAAGAGAACGAAAATCGAGGCAATCACGGCTGCCTAATACCGCATGCTCACACGTTGATTATAGTCTGGGTGACAATAGATTGAACAGCGTTGGATTCCAAGCAATTGCAGAAGCGCTCGCGCGAAACACTTCTCTCACGACACTCTCGTACGAGTTTCCCTGTTCATGTTGATGAATGCCGTGCTTTATTGTGGTATTCGATGGTATGGCTCACCGCTTTGGGAATAGACTTGCGTATAACGCCATGGAACTAGCCGGAGCGCAGGCGATTGCTGCAGCACTCAAGAGCAACACCACACTGACCACACTCAAGTATGCTCGCAATCTGTCATGCCGGTTTGACGCTATCACTCTTGATTGTCGGGGTGCTTTGAAATTCTCACTGCTTGAACAGTCTGGATCACAGTTGGTTTGGCGATGCCGGTGCGCAGGCCATTGCGGATGCTCTTCGGCAGAACAAGACGCTTACCAGTCTGCAGTATGTTTTTCAAACGCATAATGGTCCATTTCTCGTCGGCAAAGGCCAAAGATTAACCTTGCTTGTATTGCTTTGACACGTGTCAAGTCTCGAGCACTGCAGGATTGGCACTGCTGGACTCCAAGCGATCAGTGGAGCGCTCGTGCAGAACAACACGTTGACCACGCTCAAGTACGTTTGGGAACGATGTTGTTGGCTATTCTTGTCTGGAAGAGAGCGAAGCTATATTCTGGTGATTCATTTCCTTGCCACTCGAAAACGCAGTCTTTCAATGAATCCGATTGACGATGTTGGTGCCAACAGCATTGCCGAAATGCTGAAGTCGAACACCAGTTTGACCACTCTCGAGTACGTTCTATGCTCCTGTTGTTGTGGAACTGGTTGTTGCTGCATTTACTCACGATCAGCCAACAGTCTGAGTTGCAGTCAACTTCGTTTTAAAATGCACGAGATTGCCGAAGCACTCAAGCAGAACACGACGCTGACGACACTCGAGTAAGGGTTTCCACCATCTCTCTCGCTCCTGTCGCTCATACACAATTGCTGTTCCTTGATCCTTCTATTACTCACGGCTTTGTGCATTCAGTTTATCTCGCAATAATATTGGCGCTGTTGGAGCGCAGGTCATTGCCGAGGCTCTGAAGCAGAACAGGACTCTGACGACGCTGTGGTACGTTCCTTGCTCACTTATCGAGGTCAAACCTTCGGGCGGACGACCTGCTCGGTGGTATTCTTGCTCACCATGTGCTCGCAGTCTAAATCAAGCTGAGATTGGCGCTACTGGGGTGAAAGCTATTGCCGAGGCCCTCAAAATGAACGCTGCGCTGACCACGCTCGAGTATGTTCAATCTTCCGCGGTGATTGGTGTCATGCCTCACTGTAATCACTTTGCTTGTTATGTGGGAGCAGGTTGGATGGCAATTCCATTGGCGATGCTGAGACGCAGGCAATTGCACCCGCACTTGTTCAGAACACGACTCTAACCTCGCTCAAGTACGTACCAAGTCGCATGCCGATATGCCTCGATGCTTGATTCACTGAAACTGACACTGTTTCTGGGATTAGACTAGGGAGCGACGTGCTTGGCAAAGCTGGAGCGCACGCGATTGCCACGGTGTTGAAGCAAAACGCCACACTCACCACCCTCGAGTACGGTCACCTTTCATTGTGTGTCGTTTGATGCTCCGAAAGTGATACCAAAGTGCTAACTGATGATTCATTGTTCGTTTTTTGGTTTGGTTGTTCGTGTTCTTCACCGTGATGACATCACAGGCTGTCGGCTAGCTTTGTTGCCTGTGCAGTGCAAACAATCGCAGCCGCACTCAAACACAACACTACGCTGACCACGTTCAAGTAGGTTATACTCCCTCGTGCCGGTCAAAGTCTCAATTGTGCGCATAAAATGATTCTTTCTGCTGCGATTACTCACGGCGTTATTCCAGATTGCGAGATTGGAACAACTACGATCCTGAATTCGAGCGTGAAATGTCAGAACCATTGACCACAGAGCGGTATGTTGTCCTGCAGTTGACATTAACTCTGAAGTGGCCAAAGGTGGTCGCTCACGCAACTTGTCACCGTGTGGTCACAGTCTGCTGTCGCAGGTGCGTAATCCGCATGATTTTGGACTCGAAAACGCCCTGTCGCGGGTTTCCGAGTTTTTGTATGTTCCTTCTCCCTTCTCCTGTCGTTCCCCTTCTATGACGACGACGCATGTGATGCTTCTTTCGATGGATATAAGTAACTCAGTTTATGCGGACAGCTTGCGTGAGAACATTGTTGACTCTGCTGGAGTGCAAGTGATTCAAGAGGTTCTGAGTTTGATCAAGCCAAGCAAGCTTGAGTAAGTTCTCGTGCTCGTTGGTGTTGTGACTTTCATTGCAACTCACATTGATTGTTGTTCACGACACTGTTTAGGATTCGCTTTGGCCTTGACGACTTTGGAGCGCAAGTGCTTGCAACATCACTCAAGCAGAACTCTTGGATGACCGAGCTCAAGTTTGTTTGCTTCTTTCGCGCTGATGTTCTTTGTTCTGGGGGAGGAGGGGTGGCGGGGTGGCGGGGTGGCGTCGGTGGTGTCGGTGGTCGGTCGGATTCAGTTTTGATGCGAGCACATCAATGCTCACCGTGACAACAAACAGTCTGAGATCCAATAAGATTGGCCCGATTGGAGCCCAAGCGATTGCAGAAGCGCTGATGCAGAACGCCAAGCTCACTATACTCAAGTATGTTGTCTTTCTATCGCTTTCGTGCCATATTGTCGTTCTTGGCGTCGTCAACTAATCGCTGCTCGACCATGTCGGGGGTTTTCATTCACCACATGATTCTAGTCTGAGTTCCACTCAGCTCGGAGATGCAGGAGCGGAAGCGATTTCCAAGGCACTCAGGGTGAACACGACACTGACCACGCTAAAGTACGACATGGCTATTTCTGCCCTTGCTTATTGCGCCCTTTTGACGCACTGCGTTGATGATACTCACACTTTGAGCAGCCTGTGCGAATGTTGGATTGGCAGTACAGGAGCCATGGCGTTGGTGGAGGGTCTGAAACAAAACGTGGGATTGACTTCGTTCTAGTACGTTTTCGTTCGCTTGCTACCTTGCATGCTGAGCATGTCGTTTGATGAACAGTGATAGCGGTACTTACCTTTTGAGAGCAGCCTGTCCCGCAATTCTATCGGCGATAGTGGTGCAAATGCGATGGCTGCTGCGATCTCACAGAACACAACACTGACGACCCTCGAGTATGTTCCTCTCGCTTTTCTGCTGTTTCGTGTCGCACTGGTAATTGAACAAGCTGCATGTTACTCACTGCATTGTACACAGTCTTGGAAAGAATCATATTGGCGATGCTGGCGCCGAAAGGTTGGCAGAAGCGCTCCTGCGGAATACCACGCTCAAGGTGCTCAGGTATAGAACCAGATTGAGATCAACAATGAATGTGTTTTTTCTGCTGCTCTGCAGTGCTTTTGCTCACTCGCATGTAACCAGTTTGTGGTATAACGAAATGAGCGAAGCAGGACAGCGAGTGATGGCAGCAGCACGCAGCCAGAATTCTGCACTTGACTCGCTCAAGTATGGGTCCCCTTTCTCTGATGCTGATACTGTCGTGTATGCACGTGGTACTTACTGTTTGACGGTATGGCTTTCTCACTTGGAACAGCTTGAGCGAGAATCAACCGCCGAACTAACCAGAGAACGCTCTCTTCCCTTTCTCTGGTGGTGTGATGCTGTGTTTTCTTCTGATGATGGCTTTTGCTCACTTCGAGGTAGCAGGTTGTGTTTGAATTCGGGTAGTTTTGTAGACGTAGTTTGGTAGTTTTGTTTTTACCTTGCATAGCTTGACAAATCCATGCTTAGTGAAGATGAGCTGACTGCGTAATCTTTACAACATGAAATTAGCTTTAGCGCAATTTTCATGTGCTTTGTTGAGTGTCAACTGAACACTGGCCTGGTCAAGTTGATGTATGCGAAGCCACACTGAGGTGGCGGACAGAGCGCAGAGTCCGTTGATTCCTTGGTCCTCACCCCACAAGAATGATCTTGCATGACAGCATGGGCGACAACCGCGTGGAAGATGCAGGTGCGATCGCTATTGCAGCGGCCATCCGTTGCAACAAGTCCTTGCGTGTGCTGATGTAAGTGCGAGCTGCTCTGTGCAAGGGAACGTACGACCGATCACGGCGATTGCTAACTCTGGAGGGTATGGTTTGCTAGCTTGAGCAACATTTGTGACCCCTCCTGGATTCGGGTTCAAGGCTGGACGGCACTGCAACAGGCTGAGCTTGCCAGCGGTGGTCGCCTTCGAATTGAATCAAGCGAGTAAGTGAGACGCTGTCCGGTTTGTTAATGTTTTGGTTGTTGTGGTTGGCATTCTCTTTTGAAGCTGATGGGATTCTGTTGTTGTGCATCCATTCAGCTGGGATTTGGTTCCTGCCGACGAACTGCGCGAAATGTAGGACGACGGCGGTATCGTCTCGGTTTGTTTGAGTAGCTGAGCTGGGAAGCGCTCGATCTCGGGTTGTTCCTTTTGTTGCAAGTTGGCCAACGCGTTCGTGTCGTGATTTTCCTTTATTGTGTTGTTTGAATGGATGCATGCTCGAGTTCCAAAACAAAAGTAACGTTCATGAACGGACAGACGACAGAGACTCAAACCAAGGCAGACAGACAGACAAAGCCAAACGAACAGAGCAGGACTTTCAACTGCAATGACGCTCATGCAATACAAACAAAGCAAGACAACAACCAACAAGCAACCAGTCAACCAAGCACTCAGCAAGAATACAACAACAACAACATCAACAACAACAACAAACCACTCACTCATTCACTCACTCACTCACTCACCGCTTTTCCGATAGCTCTACGCAACTGTGTGAGCAACTGATTTCAACTCACTCACTCCGCACAAACCTCAACTCTCCAGCAGCAGTCTATTTTGCTTTTGGGCTTCGATCTGTGTGTGTGTCTTCTCACCAACAAATGACAACGACCCCGTCATCCCGCTGGCACTTTCTCCTGATTGGCAACCGCCATGCACTGCCAACAGACGCCGCAGCCGGCACGCCAGACGTCCACACGGCGCCTGCTGACGTCCGCGCACTCTCGAGCGTTCTCACTGCGTACGCTGCCACAGTCAATCCGAGCAAGCCCGCCGCACAGCCAGCTGCTGCTCCTGAAACTGCTGCTGCTACTCCCAGTACTACTGCTACTTCTACTACTACTACTACTGCTGCTGCTGCTGCTGCTGCTGCTTCAGTGTCGAGTGCCCAGGCGTCGTCGCCGTCCGTCACGGTGCTCGTCGACGCAGACAAGGCGGCAATGCAAGCTGCGATCTCGACGTTGGTCGCAACCGTCAAGCGCTGTCCCGGTCCCGTCCTGGTCTACTACACTGGCCACTCGCTCAATCTCAAGGGCGAAAACTACCTCATCCCAACGGGAGCCAAAGTGACCACTGGCGCCAAACGCGCGGTGGGCGACGCGGTCTCGCTCAAGTCCATCCTCGCCGCACTCAAGGACTGCCCAAGCCCGTTCAATGTGGTGGTGCTTGATGCGTCACGGCCAAACGCATATGCTGCGACTTGGGGCGGTCCAGCTGCGGCCGCTACGACGGCCACGGCTGCGAAATCCGCGTCCAACAACAACAACAACAACAACAACAACAACAACAACAACAACAACAACAACAACAACGACCAAGGCTGCTGGCACCAAGAACGCCAACAACAAAAAGAAGGGTGACAAAGCCGATGCTGCTGCTGCTGCCACTCCTGCTCCTGCTGCTACTACTCCTGCCGCATCGGAAACTTTGGCTCCAGGGTTGGCAGAAGTCCCCGCCCGCAGTCGTTTCTTGGTCGTCTCTTCTGCAAAGCCCAATCAGACGACAGCAGCAGAGCGCGAACGCCAAAAAACCTCCTTCTTGGCATCAGCGCTGCTGGAAGAAATGTCCTCGCCAGCTTTTGACGAGAAGGACGGTAGTAAGCGCCTGCTGCCGCTGCTCTGCCGCGCGAGCGATCGTGTCGCGACATTGAGCGCCCAGTCGCAAGACTTGTGGCTCTCGCACAGCATGGCCGAAGACGTCGTGTTTGCACCGCAATCCACCACAGCCACAACAACATGCTTCCGCGCATTTCCGGGCGATGATGCGTTGGTGGCAGCAGACTACGGCCAAATGCGTGACGATGCCGCGCATGCTGCTGCGCAAAACCACCCGCACGCCCACTTTTTGCTTGGTCTGCACCACGACCTCGTGGGCAGCGACGAGGATGACGCTGCTGTGCAGCGATACAAGCGGAGCGTTGCGCGCGGCCATGGCCCTGCGCTGTTTACGTTGGCTCTGCTTGTCGACAGCGGCTATGCGCGTGACGTGGGCTCCTCGCCTGGTCAACTGATGCAGCAGGCGCGCACCAGTCGCTTCATTGATTGGTGTCAGCACGTCGCCAAGCGCGGTGCGCCCATTGGCGAGTATCTTGTGGCAAAGGCACTCGATGAGTATCCGACCTACCTCGAACCCGAGTCCATCCGTTCGTCTGGACAGTCCGTCGGCATTCCCATTCCAGTATGGCCCGTTTTTGAGGAACAAAGCAAGACACCTCACGGCCACCACGGCGGCGGGGACGACCACGTACATGGTGCGCATTGCAACCATGGTCATGGTCACACTGGGCGCCCGATTTCCGACGACGAACGAGATGCTGCCCAGGCAGTTGCAGCCAAGTACTACGAGCGTTCGGCCACCCAAGGCTTGTCGCATGCGCAGTCCGTCTTTGGCTGGCTGCTCTATCACAACCTTCAGGACGAAGCTGGCGCGAAGCACTTTTGGACGAAAGCTGCAGAACAAAACGACATCCATGCCACTGTCAATCTTGGCAACCTCCTTCGCCAGCAAGCAAACAAGGAGCGCCGTATTCATATGGGTCGTGGCCATTCTCACCACGGGGATGACGGCGGTCATGGCCACTCGCATGGTGGCCACGGAGGGCACGGTCATTCTCACGGCGGTTATGATGAAGATGATGACGGTCATGGCCATTCCCATGGTGGCCACGGTGGGCACGGTCATTCTCATGGTGGCCATGATGAGGATGAAGCGGGTCATGGTCACTCGCACGAGAGCGGACACGGACATTCTCACGGCGGCGAGAGTGGCCACGGCCATTCTCACGGCGCCCATGATGAAGACGAAGAACCCGATTGCTCGCATGGCCATGGCCACTCGCACGGCGATGACAACGAAGGCCATGGACACTCGCATGGATCTGGCCATGGACATTCGCACGGTCAAGAAGAAGACGATGAAGGCGAACATGAACACGTCGATCCGCACGAGTTGGAGGGCGCCGCGTTTGTTCTCTTCCAGCGCGCTGCTTCTCGCGGCAATCCTGCCGCCATGGCGGCCTTGGGCGACATGTATGCCAGCGGCGCTGGCTGCATTCCCGACCGTGACCTGGCCTTCACGTGGACCAAACGTGCAGCCGAAAAGGACCATGGTCATGCGCAATACCTGACTGGAATGGCCTACCTCGAAGGCGAGGCTGAAGGGCGTTCGGCCACCATCAACCAGCGCGAGAGTGTCAAGTGGCTCCGTAAGGCTGCCATGCGCGGCCATGCGAGCGCACAGTTCAGCCTGAGTGTTGCTCTGGGTGCCAAGCCACAGGACGCGGAAGAAGCAAAGCACTGGCTCGTCCGCGCTGCAGAAGGCGGTCACCCCAACGCGCAAGTTCGATTGGCGATTGCCTACGCCCGCGGTGATGGACACTTTGCGCAAGACCTTCCCCGAGCGGCCGAGCTGTTCAAAAAAGCCGGCGCGTCTGGCTCTGTGGACGCCATCGTTGGCTACGGCGACGTGCTGCAGCTGGAGGGCGAGCGGCTCGAGGAGGCTGGCGATGCTGCTGGAGCTCACGCCAAATTCGCCGCGGCCGTCTCCTCGTGGCTCACCGCCGCCAAGCGACACCATCCTCAAGCCATCGATCGCGTGGCGGAGGCGTACCGTGTGGGCCAGGGCGTTGTTGCCAACCCTGACGTTGCCGACCAGCTCGAGCACGAGGCAAAGGAGCTGTGGATGCAGCGAGGCAACGAAACAGCTGCCATCGACTTGGCTGGGCGCGCATTGGTTGAGCGAACACTCCATCCCGATCTGCCCCGCTGGCTCAAGCTGCACATGCAGCGCTCGCACAACCTGGACAACCGCGCGAACGCTGCTCTGCGGCTCGGCCAGCTGTCCGCTGCTGGCCTGTTTGGCAGCAGCGACGCTGCAGTGCTTTACTTTGCGCAGGCAGCCGATGGCGGCAGCAGTCTTGGCATGCTTGAGGCTGGTAAGCTGCTTGTCACGTCGGCCAATGTCGATCAGCGCGAGCGGGGCATCAAGTATCTTCGCTCCGCTGGGCAGAAGGGATTGACCGAGGCGACTGAATTGCTCAAAACCCTTGCGTCTAACTAGCACGATTCTGGCGTGCAGGCATCCATGAGGTTGATGGATGTGCCGGGGTTTAGTTTTTTTTGTTTTGTTTTTTCCTCGCACTCTGAATCAAAAGCATTAATGTTTGTATTCAATTGTTTGTATTAGATAATTCGTTTTACCACGCAGCATGAACGTTTCATGGCCGATAAATAAGAGATTCTACAGTGAGTTTACGAGTGGGAGGAGTTCAACAGACGCTTCAAGGACGCGATCTGAGCATCCAGCGCAGCTCCAGCTTGGCCTTCGGCCCCAGATTTGGAGAGCATTTCACGCTGCACCATTAGGTTTAGGAGGTTACTGCGAGCAAGTTGCAATTCCCGCTGGTGCAGCTGTTGCACCTGATGAGCGGCACTCGAGCCCGATGGTTGCGTGGGAGCAGAGATCACCGTTTTGGCGCTGTCGGATGGAAGAGTTGATGGAGAATGCAACTGAGTCGATGTAGGGTGCGACAGTTGAGGAGGCTCGGACACGGTGCGGGTAGGCGAGCTGGATTTCGAACGCCGACGAGAATGACGACGGGGCTTGTCGCGCCGAGTGGGGGCTGGAGATCGAGTCGAGTGACGCCGATATCGCGGTTGTGGTGGTAGTGGTGATGGTGGTGAGCGCGATCGAGCCGGCGATCGGGAGTGTGAGCGGGAGGGGGATCGCCTGCGTCGCGATGAACTATGGGGTCTTGGAGAGCGCGAGCGTGAATACCGCGTAGTTGAGTGTTTGGAAGGCGAGCGAGAGCGGGAGCGCGAGTACCGAGAAGGTGGGGATCGCGACCGAGATCGAGATGGCGAGCGCAAAAACCGGTCACAACCCGGTCCGCGGGATTGCCGCCTTTCTGCAGCTGCCACGGCCTCTGCGGCTTGACGACCAGCGGAGGGCTCATACCTTTCAGATTGCGCCAGCAGCTCGGATACTTCGGTCAGAAACTCGTCCGACAGAGACACTGGCTGTGCTGAGCGAGCAAGACTGGGTGGGCGTTCTGCGGGGGCGACTGCCTGCCTGACGAGGCGCTGTGGTTGAGCGTCGGGCACAGCGTACTGCACATGTCTGTCGTAGGCCGCCATGTCGAGTGTTGAGCGTGCAAATTGTACCAATTCGTGGACGAAATGTTCCGAGTGCTCGTGAAGAAAGGATTGAACCAATGCCACAAACGCATTGGATTGCAGGTCGACTCTGAGAAACCAAAACAAAAAAAAAACACAAACAAACGAACCAACACAAAACGGAATAGCGTATTGAGCGAGCGGTGTGCATGGCAGTCTCTGCCCCTCCTCTCCATCAGTTAGAGCAAAGAGATTTCTTACTCTTCGAGCAGCGAGAGAATGTAATTCAAAACGAACGTCACGGTACTCGCATCTGCCAGAAGGACATCGAGATCACGCGCAATCCAAGGCACGAGGCGCTGGACCAACTGCGGCTGCCTTTGAAAGCTAGCAGGATCTGCAGCATGCAAACCATGGAGGCAATGTAGGCAACGGGAACAGAAAAGATACGACTAGACACATCAACAACAACAAGACAGACCGCCGACCTATTGCGTGGCATCGTGATGGGGCGCCACCACCCAGATACATGGCGCGCAATCGATTCGCGTAGATTACTCTGAAAGTAAGCAAACAACACAAGCCACAAGGACAGACCCAGCAAGCAATGTCAGGAAACAAACCACCAAGAGCGCAAGCCGACCATCAGACACATCATCTGGTCCTTACCTTCGGCGCTCTCGAGACGCAGCAGTTCTTGGTATCGACACAACAGACCTGGCCAGCGGGGTAGAGGGTGAAGTCCGCTGCGCATTGATTCGCTCTTGCAATCTGTTCATTTTGTGCACGGTTGAGCTTTGGAGCAAAGTTCGCCGACTGGCAGCAAGGAAACAGCCAAATCCAAACCCAAACCTTCGGTTGATCACAACGGTCGTTTCGCCAGGTTGATGTGCAGGTTGTGCAGCCGGCCCTGACACGGAGGACAGTACTTCCTGCGACATTTTCCCACCGACATGCATGCCCAAACGACGCAAAAAAAGTCGAGTGCCTCTCTCGCTTGATCCCTGTTGTAGGATTCGAAAACGGCCTGCAGCACTTACGCGCACGAAATCGGTTTCGCTCCTGATGTGATGGATGACTGCCGAGTACTTTGTCTTGCACAGCGGGCACATGCGATTGACGGCTGACCATCGCCGAATGCACTCGTAACAAAAGATGTCTGTGCGCGCCGAGGTGATTGAGCACACCTCGCTCCTCATCAAACAAGCCTGCACCAGAGCTTGATTGGCGTTTGACGTGACTTACGGAAGCAGCTCTCGAGCATGGTCTTGTCGACAAAGTCACCGAGGCAGACTGGGCATGCATCGTCCGTGTTTCTGTTTCTGGCGGGCGTCCCGCGTTCCTCTGCCACGGACTTGGCATGGACAATCTTGGCATCTGAGTGCGCTGCACACATACACAAGATATTCAAATGTGAGTGATGTGAGTGATGAGAGCTCGGGTCGTTGGTTCCTGTTGAACGACGACAACCGCGTACGATGAGTGACTTGGTCTTGTTGTTGCACAGCTCGCTGGTGGACGTCCATGCGATCAATGCCGAATGCATGTGCACTGTCTCTGCCATCCTGTTCATCCTCGTTGTCGTCGTCATTGTAGTAAGCGGCGGACGATTGCCACAATTCGACGCCGTCGTCGTCCATTCAACGAGACAATGTGGACTGACATGTCCCATTTATGCTATGCATGTCGATGCAACATGCAGTGGCGATGATCATGGATGATGGACAGGTTTGAATTTGAACGAAAGGAGCAAAAAGAAGTCAAACCATCTGAGAACTGAGACCTCTGAGAGCTCTGAGAACTCTGAGAACACTGAGACCTCTGAGAACTCGGTGGTCCCTTCCCCGCCCATCATCATCACCATCATCAGCATCGTCATCAACCGAGTAGCCTACTCTGACTGTGTGATTGCATTTGCATTTGAATTGAATTGGAGGAAGCTCAGTCTTCACCATTGCGATCGTTGCTTGTGCTCGACCAAACTTGCCTCAACTCAAACCCACCACTCACACAAAAAAAGCAATAGCCCTGAGCCATTTTTGCATATGAAACGCCGCTTCTCAGAGACGGACGACGGCAGCAACGGCAGCACGAGCCAGCAGCAGCAGCCTCGCAAGCGCGCCAATCCTCCACTTCTAGGAGCAGCAGCAGCAGCAGCCGCCGGTGGTCCAGCAAGCAGCAAGCGCAAGCGCGTGCACTTCTCCAACGTCCAAGTCCGGTACTATCCACGCCAGCGCTCTGTAAGCCACACACACTCTCTCTCTTTCTCTCGGAGGAATCAGTGTGTTTGTATGGCGCTTCCATTGCGAAAACCGTTTGTTCCATTGAACGAACGCCGCTTCCCCCCCTTCGCCTGGCCCCCCTTCGCCTGCGTCTGCGTTCCCTGACTGTGGTGTTTGCGTGTGGTGACGAAAACAAATTAAAAAAACACAGGGCAGTTGTGGCGTCCCTGACTCGGGCGCGTTCACGCTGGGCTTGGGCGTCTGGGATCCGTCCCACGAGGACGCGAGCGAGGCACAGTTTGGCTCGCTCGACGAGTACGAGCAGCATCTGCACACACAGCGCGACTCCAACGCCTGCTTTGACAAGGTAAAGTACAGAAAAAAAAACACAGAGGAAGAGCACAAACTTCCGAGCGAGTCTCATCACTCACTTTGTGTGGATGATGCTTGATGGGGTGCTTGACGATGATGTCGATTCGATCGGCCAGATTCCAGAGGAACAACGCATGGTCTTGCTCGGGACGCCAGACAGTCCGCAGGAGGCAGGCGCGCTGCAGGACTACCAGCGCGAATTGGAGCAGCTGGAAGAACTGCGACACGAGCGCCTGTTTGTCGGATGCTCCTGCGGTGGAGTGTCAAACTTGGATATGCTGGACTCGGTCTTGCGCGTTGGCGAACAGCAGATGACGGAGGAGGACGACGTGACGGGATCGCCCGGCCCGAGCAACCAGAGCAAAAAGCAGCAGGCCAAGGCCAACAAACTGGCCGCCAAACTGGCTCGGCAACGACAGTGCATGCTCTGCGTTGATGACGACTGCGCATGCCATCGAGATGGCGTCAAATGCCACGAAGACGCGTGCCTCTGCTCGACAACTCGGTGCCGCAACCCCGTCGGCAAGTTCTCCTTCAATCCAGAGGTGGTTGACATTTACCGGCAACAAATATTCGCGCGGCTTGGCCAAATCCCCGGATCGGCCTTCTCCAACCTGACTGCAGAGGATGACGACTTGGAATCGGCGCCCACAACCAACGCGGTCGCCATCAACATGCGTGCTTCGCACGATCACGACGACGACGGCGATGACGAGCCCTCTGAACGGAGCAGCTCGTATGATGCGATGTCAGAGGATAGCTCGTTGGAGCCAACAGAGGCAGCTTCTACTTCTGCCGAGGCCGATACACAGCCAGTGACGGTCGATCAAAAACGCAAGCATCTTCCTCTGGGTGCATCGCCTCAAAAGGTCAAATCGAAAAGCAAGCCAGCCCAGGCGATTGCTGGCAAAAGCAACAACAACAACAGCAACAACAATACCAATCACGCCACACCAGCAGACGTGCCGGTGGATGTTCCAGCCGATGTGCTTCGCAAGCAACGGTCGACATCCGAGCCACAAGAAGCTCCTCTCAAAAATCGCAAGGCAAATGCAAGTCTTGTACCAGCAGCACCGGCAGCAGGAACAACAGCACCAGCACCGCTCGGAGGCGTGGTCGCGGATCAATACCAGCTCTTTGCATCTCCACCCGGAACTCCGTCAGCCGAGCTGAAAGGCAAGAAAGGCGTCGCTTCCGGTGCCGCGCTTCCTGCAGCAAAGGTGGTGACCCGGGACGTTGCTGCAGCAGCTGCTCCGACGCAACGCAACATTAGTCCTATCCGATCGCGAAAAGGCAAGCTTTCGAATGCCTCCTCTGTGCCTTCTGGTTCCGTCGACATGCAGAGCGTCGCCACGCCTTCGCGTCAGGGTTCCCATATCGTGTCTGCCGTCGTCTCATCTCCGCCAGTCCACAGCGCTTCTACTCTGACGCCAACGCGATCAGCATCCAAGGGCAGTCTTCAGCGCTTGGCATCGGTTCAGGAATCCTCCCCGCCTGCCTCGCCAACCACTGCTCACGCCCAATCGCCCGACGCAAGTCCACCTTCCACTCCGCCTTCGACGCGGCGCATTAAAACCTTCCCCGCCAATCGTGATCTTGTCCCGATTGCCGTTGCCCGCGCTGCTCTGGATTCCTCCTCGCCGCGTGCACCGCGCGCCGCCCCTTCTTCTCCATCGCTCCAGCGAACACCCAGTCGTCGATGATATCGGTTTGAGCACCTCGCTGAGGTTGATTCTTTTTTGATTTTTTTTTCTTGTTTCTTGTTGGTTGCAGTCTTTCAATCCGTTGATACGAGTTCGTTGTTTTCGTGCTGGTTTTCCTGCCATTTTAAGTTCTTGACATTTTTTTTTTCACTTCTTGATAGTCTTTTCGTGAGTTGCTGTCGATGCGTAAATACATTACATTTGGAAATGACAATATGCCGTTCTCCACAACTGCACCGGGGTACGCGCATGCCACGAACAAAGAAAATACCGAAAACACCACATTCGCAGCCTCGAACAAAAAGCAAACAAGAACCTGGACGCAGTTACATGCAATGCTGTCTACACCTGGTTGTCGCCCTGCTCGTTGGGGTCTAGTCCCAGTCGCATATCCAAAGCTTTCAAAGCAAGTTGTCTGTCGTTGACAAAAAAAATCAATGAGTTGAAAATCAGCGAAAAAGGTAACATACGTTTTTCGGCCGTGCAAAAAAACCAACCTTCGTCGCTCAGCATCGACCGGCTTGGCATCGCCGATTGGAATGGGAGTAGCGGCAGTCATGATTTGTGATTGAGATGACGATACTGCGGCGGGAACAACTGGTCGGAAGGCTGTCGGGCCGGTGCCGATCGTGTAAAGCAACGAGCCGGCCTGCTGCTGCGACATTGTGTTTGAGTTGTTGGTCGGCCATGGTGGCACAATGTGCACCGATTGAAGAAGGCCATAGATGCTCGTCGACACCTTGTTAACAGCGGGCCTGGTTTGAGCGCAAACGAGCAAAAACAAGCAAACAAACAAACAACAAACAAGCGATCTCATGAACACATGTTCCACGAGTGCACGGCAAGAGATTGGTCGGGGCCCGAAGCTTCGACTTACTGCACAGCCTCTGGGAAAAAGCTGGCCAGCGAAAAGACATCGCCAAGATCGCCACGCGAGCCCTCGCGAGGCTGGAAAAAGCGCAGGTAGACCCAGCTCGTGACAATGCCAAACCACACAAAGAGAACGTCTTGCGGTGGGCTGATGCGGAAAACAGCAAGCAGCAAGCACAACAGGATGATGGCGCTTGGGAAGTGCTGCAGAACATCAAATCAAGTGAGCATGTGAGAGTTTCAGTTTAGAGAAGCACAAATGAAGAGTCAGTGCTCAACCACAAGAAACGATACCTTGGTGCGGACGCTGACAACGAGCATGTTGACAGAGTATTCGGGCGTGAGTTGCTTGAAAACAACACTCGAGCCAGCCAAAACGCCAATCAAGCCGCCGCAATGCGCGTAGCTGCGATGGGGTGGAGAAAAGCAAACAAAAACAAGCAAACAAGCAAACATGCAAGCAAACAAGCAAACAAACAAACGAACAAAACAAACGAACAAACAAACGAACAAACAAAAACAGAAAATCAACGATACGCTGTCAGCACAGAATTTGCTTTGCTTTGAGAGCAATTCTTCGGTGGGAGCAAGACGTACATCAACTGCTCTTCACCGTAAAGGCGGAACGCCAAAACAATCACAAGAAAGGTTGCCACATTGGTGCCAACGTTCACGATCGAGATGAAGCGTGCGAGTTCCTTTCCTCCCCACAGCGGCTCGATAAACTTGCCAATCATCAGGATGGACATTGCGCATACCACAGCCTGCATGCAGCAAGATAAAAGTCAGCCGAGACAACAGCGAGGCAACAGCGAGACAATGCGTGGCATGAACTGCATAGCACAACAAACGCACAAAGCACACAAATCGCCCCCTTACCGTGATGAATCGCGGCTCGGCAAATGCAGCCGTAAAGAATGTCCAAATGTAAATATGTGGCGGCACGACACTGTACCCAAAACAAAACAACAACAACAACGAACGAATGCGCGCTGAGCAATGACGACGACCAGCGACACGGGCCAGCGAACCAGGGCCGACGTTTGTCGCGGCCGGGCGTGCACCACTTACAAGGCAGGCGTGAGTGCAATGTATCCATAGAACTCTGTCAGTGACAGCAGCCAGCCAACGAGGGTTGCGATGCAGAGCGAGCGCGAGACGGGCGGAGTGGCGCTCAGGCCCTCAAAGATCTTGGACTAGAGCAACCAAAGACAGTGAGTCAAACACACACACACACACACAAGGCAAATCGAATATCAGCACACACTCAGAAAGGCCCCCCTCCGCGCGAGATTCGGAGGTAAGGTCAAGGGAGAGAGAGCTGATCGCTGCCAGTAGTGGAGAGTTTGACGACGTGGACCATGGCTCGGTGGTCAAGAGTCGCCCCCCCCACCCCCCGGGGCTCCATCCCAGTGTTCTCAAGCCGCCTGCCTGGTTTGTCAGAGCCTTAGGTTGGAGGTTGCTTTTGCGCTGGCACGGTTGTTGAACGACATACACGCACGGTTGAAGGCTTTTATTTTTTTTTTTTTTTTTCGTTTTTCGTTGGTTGGGTTACCTGCACTGCCTGCAGCCGAGACGCCATGTTGGAAGAGTGAGTGAGTGCCATTGATGGAGAAGGAAAAGAAGAAGAAGAAAAAAACCCAAAAGGGTCCATCTCACTGTCAATATATTGATAGCAAAATCCCCAATGGTGAACGAAACACGGTTTAAGTCGATACTGTCAAAATCGAAACTACTCAGACACTCGTTGCAATAAAAAAAATCATGCTCGACGCGCTCGTCGCCGTTGCAACGCCCGGAAGGAAGCATATAGACCTGCCACAGTAACACCAATGGCCAAGCCAAGGGTCAGCAGGGACGAGCCGCTGAACAAACCCGCACTGTCACCGTCAGACGGAGCCCGTCGATCGATGCTGTCATCGCCGGTATGCCGCGAATGAACAAAGGTCTCGGCATACGTTGGCTCTGATCGCAAACTCGAGCTGGCCTGATCGACGCTTTCCAGTTGTCGACTGCCGAGGTCAGACTCTGCCGCGGCAGCAGGCGGCAAAACAACCACTTGGTTTCGGCCAAAGGTCACTGTCTTCTTCTTTGAAGGAGAGCCGGGTTCGGCGGAGCGGCTGCTGGCACCCTTCAGAAGCTCAGCGCACGCCGCGTCCGTTGCCACATCCAGTGGTGTTTCGTTGCTGTCATCGCAATCCATCGTCCGAGCCCCTGCTTCCAGTAGCAGTTCAATGGCCTTCAAGTGGCTACATGCCGCCGCTGATCAAGCAGAGGAACAATAGGGAGAAGATTCAGCGACATTTCGAAAAAGACAGAAAAGAACATGGAACAACTTAAACAAATGCTGCTGCGCCAAAGAGCAACAAGGACAACCTCGTTGAACCAACTGACATACCGTAGTGTAATGCAGTTTGCAGCGAAGAATCCTGAAACCGAAGGGGAGGGGGGGGGAAAACCAAAACAGTCAATGTGTGTGAAAATGCACAACTCTGGAACAACACAGATACCGAATCAACAAAGCTTTACCCGAATGTGCACGTCGGCGCCGTTATTCAATAGTACTTCAATAATAGGCACATGTCCACGGTCAGACGCCCAATGAAGCAAAGCCATACCCTACAAAAAGAGGCGGCGATGTGAGCAAATCGGCCGTGACCCAAACGACACTATGACGCGAACGAGCACCCACCTCATCGTCTTGTTGATCAACGTCGGCTCCTTTAGCCAACAACAGCGCCACTTTATCCACATTTCCTTCTTGGCACCAGTCGATGATGGTTTTGTCTCCGTCACTGCAGGTTGGTGTGGGACATGACACGTGCGAAACAAAAGTGAGTGCGCGGACCACAAGGAAGCAATGTCTCATCCTTGCTCTGCCCCCCCTCCCGGCCTCCAACAGATACAACAAATCAAACAGCAAGAGGGTACTGACGCTGCTTCGGCCTCTGTTCGTGCCATCGTGCTCACAACGACAAATCCGGTTTTGCTGGCTTTCATCTGTCTTTTCTTTCTCTCGGCTTTGGTTTCAATGACTCGTTTCTATCACAGCCGCAGCAACAGCAGCAGCAGCAGCAGCAACAGTCAAACACGACAGACATGAGCCAGCAGTTTCAGTGGGGATTTGACAAACTCGGTTCAGCAATTCTCACCGGCGCTGCAGGCACATATGTTGGGTCCAACTCTTGCATGTATGCGAGGTACTCTTTCATGGACTGTTCTTTGGGCATGTCTCCCATGGCGTTCCACGCATCCCTGAAGTGTGAAGATGTTTTGCAATTGAGCAGCGTTTGCATTTTTCGCCTTGTTTGTTTTTTTCATCTGCAAAGTAACATACCACTTTGCTCTGCCAACAAAATCAAGCATGCCAGGTCGCTGCGTGTTGCACTTGCCCTCAGCACCCTGAGGGAACGCAAAGAAACAATGTTAGCAAGTCGTCGGTTTCAGAGCAGACACCAATGTCGCCGGTTTCTGCAACATACCTGCTTGTAAAACCCATACAGCTTCAATTTCTGAGGATTGCTAAGTTCAGCGAGCCTTGGTGCCGTTTTGATGTACTCGACGGCAGCGAGGAACTGGTCCTGAATGGATTCGAGCGGTTGCTGGGGTGCATCGTCTGGAGTGTCCTCATCATCGTCGTCGTCCTCGTCCTCGTCGTCCTCATCATCATCGTCGTCATCGTCGTCATCGTCTGACTCCAAGTCTGAGGCGTCATTGGCTTGATCTTCTTGCTGCTCGTTCGCGTCGTCGTCCTGGTCGTCGTCCTGGTCGTCCTGGTCGTCCTGGTCGTCGGTCTCTTCTTGACCACGACGACTCTCATTGTGAGGAGACGTCCGCTGGCTCTCTGTCGTCGCTTGTGAGCGCTTGTGCGACCCGCCATTCACGCCGACGCCAACGAGGGGAGCAGCGCCGCCAGAGTGGAGCGCGACTGGCGGAACGTCTCGCAGGGTCGCTGCCGGCGAGTAGCTCCAAGCACTCGCACTCAAGCGCAGTGTCGAGCCAGCAGCACCTCCAGATTGCTGGCTGGCGAGTGCAGCAGCGAGCAGCGGGGTTGCCGACGCCGACGGCGACCCCGTTGAGTTGTCTGCACCAGCCCCTGCACGACGACCCTGCTGCTGCTGCTGCTGCTGCTGCTGCTGCTGCTGTTGTTGTTCTTGTTGTTGTTGTTGTCGCTTGTGCTGGTGGGTTTGTGCTCCACCGCCAAACACCTCGCTGCTGCCGCCGTCGTCATCGTCTTCGGAGAGCAGCGGACTGGCGCTTCGCTCAAACTCGTCGTCCTCCAGCTCGCCACCGACTGCTGCTGCGACTGCTGCTGCTGCTGCGGCTGCAATCTGCGTCGTCGAGCCCAAGCCCTCGCCGGCTGTCGTTGTCGCCGCTGTCCCCGAAGCAGTCGACTTGAGTTGCTGCTGGTCGCGAAAGTGCTGGCGTTGCGCGTGAATGTTGGCTGCAGCCTTCATTGGCGAGAACGCACTGATGGCGCTCATCGTAGAGACTGTGTCAAAAATAAAACTAAAAAGAAGAAGAAGAAGAGTGAAGGGGAAGAGTGAGGGGGAAGAGTGAGGGGGAACAATGATAGTGTTTTGCATTGAATGTTGTAACAGTCCCCAGTGAAGCACCGAGCATTGAGCAACGTGAATGTTTTGATCAAACACACACATACATCTTCCCCAAACAAGTCAAAGTACAGTCTCTTTCTTTGAACAAAATGGCGGACGACCGTGAGATTGAGCGCCAGATCTGGGAGGGCAAAGTGCCCATTGTGTTCAACCTCGCGCAGAGTGAAGTCACCGGCGACGAGCCGCCAGAGCCATACTATGTGAGGCCCTCTCTTTTGAATCGGGAGGCCGAGGGAGCTTGCTTGTGGTGAAGCCAACAACGCAGCCAGCGGGGGAAAGAGCAAAAGCGAGCCGAGACCTGTGATGGGCGGCGGTGGAACCGAGCGCTCACCGACCCTTGGAAAACCCAGTGGTGGACCTCGGTTCACAACGCCAGTGGAGCCGCAGTGTGGTGGGAGCGGAAGCGAGGGAGAGAGACAGACAGAGAGCCAGACAGATAGAGAGACTGACAACTCGTTCACCACTTTGCTGCTGCAGCGCGCTTCCGTGTCCGTTCTGCTCGGTCCAGCACCTGTTTTGGGGGAGGAGGGGAGGGTTTGGGGTTTTGGGAGATGGGGATGCTGCACTCGACCCCAACAGTGAACCCGTCGACTTGCATTCAAAACGCCTCGTTTTCAATGTCGCTTTTTATTTTTTATTGTTCCGCTTTGGCGCTTCTTGTCGCTCACTGATGACGCTGCCCTACTACTGATGCTGATGCTGATGATACTGATGCTGACGATGCTGCTGATGATGATGATGATGATGATTTTTGATCCATCTATTCTGTTTTTCTGATATATAGTTGCTTGCACCGCGGTGCTCGTACTTGCCGCTCGTCACGACCAAGGTCAAGAAGCACTTCCAGTCCACAGGCACCGACACGGAGGACGAGATGTGGTTTGACTATGCCGGACAGGCACTCAAATGGTAAACCCTCGTCCAAATGAAATGAATGAATGCTTCCATCGTCGTCGTATCCGCCGCTTCTCCCCTCTTCTCATTTCTTGCTGGACATGGTTTTGTCTGGCTCTTTGAACTGTGCAGGCATTACCCGATCGGCGTCTTGTTCGACTTTTACGGATCTCCATCGCAGCTGCCTTGGAGCGTGACAGTCCATTTTCAGGGCTTTCCTGAAGACGAGGTCTTGCGCTGTCCCGACAAGGAGACGGTGGAGACCCATATGATTGCCACCATCAAAGAGGTATGCCATTCGAAATTTCAGAGGGAGAGTTGGCTCGAGGCGGAGGGTGGGGGGGGGGGAAGCAAGCGGCGCGCGCGGTCGCTGACTTGTTGTTTGTTGTTGTTTTTCGGTTGTTGTCCTTGCTGTTGCCCTGAAATTAGGCCGACTACCTCAAGAACGGCTCCACCAAAAAGCTGCTTGCCATGCTGAAAAAAGATCAAAAGCAGCTGTGGATGGGCCTCAAAACCTGTAAGGCGATCAGCTCTGTTCTGAAGTGTGGCAAAAAAAGCGTTGCTTCTCACCCCCTTGGTTTGCACCCTTCCTTTTTTGATCCCAACCCCCTTCCGCCTCCCCCCCCCGCCTGCAGTCAAGTTTGATCAGTTTTGGAGCGTCAACAAGCGGTTAACACAACGCGACGAAACAGATCCATTCAAGAACGTGCCATTCCGCATTTACGTGCCAGACCAGCCCGTGCTGCAGGAGCCATTCCCTCCGTTCCGTCAGGACGGTTCTGAGTACACACTCGGCGATCTGCTTGCTACCGTTCTGCCAGAGCTGTTCCCCGCCGAACGCGTCTCGCCCTTCCTTGTGGCATTCAATGCCGCTGCCGCTGAAGCTCGCGCTGCCGAAGGTGGTGCGCCAGAGGACGTGCCGGTTGCGCCGCCCTCCTCCCTTGGAAAGCAGGTGGAGTTGCCTCAGATTGTGCTCCATGGCATCTCCCCTGCGTTCGAGACACCCTTGCTCTGGTTGGGCGAGCACTGCTGCTACCCCGACAACTTTTTGCACATTTGCATTTTGCCCAGCGAGCTTACTGCATGAACAGGGCAGCCGCACCCCCAGAACAGACCAGAATACTCGCTCCTGCCATGTCGACTTTTCGTGTGACTTGTGAGAGAGGTTTTTGTTGCGATGGATTTTTTTTTGGCTGGTGTTTTCTTATTGATCAGCCTTTTGAATAGTAAATGAATGTTTGTTTGTTTGTTTGTTTGCTTGTTCATTTCAATCCAAATGGCAGGCGAACTGGAGTTGACGCGGCTCGCCAAACTATGACCGACCGAAAACACGAGACTGCTGCTTGACAAATGCGAAATGAAAGACAACAATCAAAACCAATAATGTCGATAACGTATTGCTATGTACATAGAGTAGGGACACAAAGGCTAGCGCAATGCTGGCAAGACTTGCGGCGTCGAACTTGACCGCTCAGAGACGACACGGCGGGAATTTTGTGGCGGATCAGTGGACGGTAGACGACACTCTTTGCGGTGATGCTTCCAATCAAGCTGGAAGATTTGCGGAGAGTCACAGAAGTCAGCAACCCATCTTGCTCACAAGAGCCCCCCCCCATCAACCACGAAATCACCACAAACACACATACCTGCTGGCAGCGCTCACCGCAATACCGAACATGACGACATCGCGAGCACACCATAAACTGGCGTAAATCTGGCTCCAACTTGCAGCACGGGCTGTGGTGGCATTCGTAGAGCAACGCGCAGTCTGGAGAAGTCGCGTCCTCGAACATGTCTCCATTCCCGTTGAGAACTGTGGGTGCAAATACGACGCAATCACGCGCCACTCCACCGACCGTGTTGATCATGAAGTGCAGCGGGGATGCGACAGAGTCCAAGCGAGCGGGGCCGGACGTCAGAGCAAGGGGTGGTGCGATTGTGGTTCTTGTGGCTGGCACAGGGTCAGCAAGCGCCAGTGGCGGTGCGTTCACGGCATCAACAGTGTCGTCGTCCGAGGCGAGAGTGCCGGGATTTATTGACGCAAGCTCGTCGTCTCGGTACGGCGGCAGCTGCGTCAGCGCTGCACGATAAAGGCTTGTCTCGCTTGTTCGAATATCAACGTCTGTGGGATCCATGTTGCTAAAATCGCCATCGCCGCGACTCAGTGGAGCCAATTCCAGATTGCTCAACCGATTATCCACTGTAATTCCGTTTCGATGGACGACATGGCAACCTGCCGGTATGGCGCCCTTATGATGCAACCTGACGGAGGCGACGAGTCAATAGCAGCAATCCAACAGGGGGTCAGTCGAGACCAGAAGCACGTTGAAAAGGCAATCGAGAAAAACAAAAAACCAAACCAAAACGAAAATACAGGCAACGTACCACAGTAGCTCGTGGAAATGTCCATCAGCCGAGGCCGAATGAGCGTTTGGTGCAGAACTTGAATTCAAAGAAGCCGGGCTTTCGGGAGGCGACGAAGACGAGCCTACGGATGGGATTTCAAGGCCCGGTGCAGCAGCAGAGCTCGAGCTGGCAGCGGGCGAACTGCCGCCGCCGCCGACGCCATTACTACTACTCGTGGTTTCACGCATAATCATGGACATGAGCAGCTGCTGTCGGGCAGCCGGCGTGGCGGTGGCGAATGACGTGAGCACTCGACCGCCGGGCCCGTTCGCTCGCGAGGACTCGGCCGGCTCGAAGGCATATGCGAAAATCTTGGCTGCATTTCCATTGCGATCGACCTCCAAGCTCGCCTGTGAGTCAAGACGGAAGCGAGAGCCGGTGTGAGCAACGCTTAGGTCGAACCACACACAACAGCAACAAACCACGCTCACACGAACGTCCACCCCAAAAAAACCAAAGCAAAAGGGCACGAGAACGGGATGTTTTGGGGAGTGGTGCAGATGGGGCTGAGGATACTGACGTGGTAGCAGAACTGGCGGACGAAAGGGATGTCGACGACATCAATCAGCATGTACTTGTGCTTGCCACACACTTTGCCCAGATGGACAATGCCGAGCTTGAGCCCGCGAGACATGAGGTTGCCGACCAGCTAAAAAGAAAAAAAAGCCGAAAGGAAGGGGAAGGAGGAGTGAGAAGAGGAAGAGGAAGCGCTTTCCAAAGCCAAACAAATGGTGAAACAAAAAGACTGAGACTTCGACTGAAGCTTTATTAGACACAAAGGTCTGAATGAATGAGCGAATTGAACAAACAGCGGTGTGTCGCTTGAAGAATCGTTGGATGCGGGGGGGGGGCGGGAAAACCAAACAACAACATCAATGATTGAAAGCGGACGAAACGAAACAGATGGAGAGACAGAATGACACAGAGCAAGCAACACACAAAGACATAGTACCAACAAAAACGAGGCGGAGCCGGGGAAACACGACGAAAACACCAACAAAAGGATGCGGCAAAGAAACGAACAAAAACAAACTCTTTTAAACATAGAGATTTTGTACACGAAGTTCGTTGACCAACTCCTTGAAGGCATTCACGACGCCAGGTTGTTCGTAAACGCTCGATGGAATGGCCGGCGAGCTCTGCGGCTGATTGGAAGGCTGCAGAACAACCAAGTACACAGATCGGTCAGAGGATTAGCACTGTCCATCATCGTGCTTCAAGGGCAGCCAAAGTCAAAAAACAAACGACTCACCACGTTGCGAGTTTCCTTGTGATGCCGCATGGTGATTGCACACAAGACAAAGCGCAGAATCTGGTGACGCAAAAAGTCATCAAAGAGGAAGCTGAGGATGGCGACATCCGTGTCCTCGGCGCTGTCAAGTGCACGAAGCACGTGCCCGTTGAAGCGGTCGAGTTGCACGGCGGCGCTGTCCCAGCGGGCGCGCGCCAAGTCCGTCAGCCCGGAAATGTGCGCGAGGGCGAGCAAAGGGGAATACAGGAAGAGCGTAAACAAGCTGCCGCGTTGCGACTCTTCTGAATTCGCCAGCTTGCCGAACGATGCGGGCGACATGAGTGACATGGTCGGTTGGCCAAAGGAATTTGGCATGTTCTGAAAAAGGGGGGGGGGAATGAAAGAAAGAAAGAACAACAACAACAACAAAAAAAAAAAGTCAGAAAATCTAACCACTCTTCACGCTGCAAAGCAACAACAATCCACGCGTGAATCGCGTACAGCAAATGCTTGACTGTTGGGACTATCGATAATCACAAAGAATGGCTTGCGAGTGAAGGCCAAAATGTCTGCAAGATACAGAGCCTTGGCAGAAACACTCGCGCTCGCGTTGTTGGGTTCGACTTCGGCTCCGCTGGGTGACGTCTCAGCACGGGACGACATGTGCACACCACCAGTAGAGTAAGCTCCTGCGTGACCAAGCAAAAGTTGAGCAAGCTTGCGACAGAAAAAAACAAAAAAAAAAAAAACGCAAAAAACCCCAAACGCGGGACAACAGCTATGAATGTACCTTGATCAGCTTTGGCAGCCAACCCATCGGCAGAGACATACAACAACAAAACTCCATTCGGATTGAGCTCCTACCAAAGTTCAAGGAATACAGCAGTGTCAGTTTTGTTTGAACAAGTTTAGCAAGGGTCGAAAATTACGCAGGTACCTTGTGTGCCGTCACCAGGAAGAGCAGCAGCTGGCTAATCGTTGGCTTGTATAGCAAGTATTTGTGCGGGTTTGCACGGCGAGCTAGAGCGGTGGTGCCATCTTGATGGTGATTCTACAACAGCAGAGGATGAGCCAGCACATCACAACGTTTCGACCAACATCAAGCCGTCATACCTTTTCATCGTCAGCACGTGCATCAGATTTAATGGCCTCCAGTTGCAAGCCTGCACCGCTCTGCGATCGAGGCTCGGGCGTCCGCTCGAGGGCTTGAAGCATGCGGTACATGTCCAACGTGAGTTCGCTGAATTTGATCTAACCAAACATCAAAAGGACGACATCAGTGAGTGCAAAAAGCGTCCAACTGCCCAACAGCACAGGGAGGAACAAAAACATCAGATGCGGGGGACCCCCCCCAAACGCACTTGCTGATGCGACGCTCCGACAAGAATGCTTTCTTGGAGGCGCAGGAAGAAGACTGGCTTGACTCGAGGTTTTTGCAGCGAAGGAAGAATGATGTTGGCAGTAGAATCTTCAAGCGGTAGGCGGTGATTTAGCGCCGACGAGATGATGGCGTTCGTTTGATCCGAGATGAGGAGCACTGCATCGGCCTGGGGATTGTGGTGTTATTCCAAAGTCAGCAAATTAAATTCCACTGCTTGCTGGCAAGAACGCAAGCGAACGAGAATTACTCACCGAAAGGAATGCCTGCAGCTCTTGCAGCACCAGCTGCCACTCGGCACCGTCGGAGGGCTTGAAGGTGCCAATGTACTCTTCAATATGCTCCTTCAGCTTGACAACAAGGTCGGCCACGTGCTCATGTCGGTTGAGCAGCAGACACACGACAATAAAGCGAGCATAGTATCGCAGCTTCTTGATGGCCAACTCCGCTCTGCAATGAACACAAGATGAGAATGTGCACAAAAAAAAAAAAAAAAATCAACGAAAAAAAGCAACAAAAAAAGAGCAACAAAAAGTAGCAAAACCAGCCATACTTCTTTTCTCGCATCACAGCAGAAAAGTACATGCGTGAGCGAATCGCCTCGTAAAAGACAAACGATTCAAACAGGTAACTTGTTTCGCTGGTGCGCAAGTAGTAGTGGTAGTACAGCTGTGCAATCTTGGAGGCGATTTCGCCAATTTCCCAACGCTTGAGTCCGTACTTGAGATCAAGCACCTGAAATGAGTTCAAACACAACAAAAAGGGGGCACACATCCGACAAGGTGAGAACGAGGTCAGAAAAACGAAGAGATTTTTTTTTTCGATTTTTTTTTTTTTTTTTTCCCCCTTTGTCGAATTGAATGCAAAACAAACAAACCTGGCGATGCTGCTGCTGGAACTTCCACAGCCGCGTGTACACGTCGAAGGTGCGGGCGAAATGCGGATGCCAGTGCTTCTGGCCATACTGCGGCAGGTCGCGCAGGCCGTGGAAGAGCTCCTGCGACTTTTCAATGAGATAGATGAACTCGTCGGTGATTTTGCGTTCGGCGACGGTCGGCGGGGTCGCGATGCCCGGCACACCCGCATGCGGGACCCCAACCGAGGTGGCAGCAGCAGAGGACGACGAAGATCCTGCTCCAGCAGCAGCAGCAGCAGCAGCAGCAGCAGCAGCTGGGCCACTGGAAGAGTGGTGGTGGAGGTGGTGCTGGTGTTGTTGCTGGCCTTGTTGGCCCGCGCCTCCTGCTGTAGAGTTGCTGCTTGAGGGCGCTGCCGCATGCGCAGGGGCGGCGGTCACTGCTGCCGATGCAGCGTGCTGGTCGTGCGTGTTGGCATACGCGCCTGCGCCTGCGCCTGGCTGGGCAGTCGGCTGTTCGTGGCCCTGTTGGGCTCCGCTGGTTCTCAATGCCGCTGCTTGTGGGGCTGTCGTACTTGTCTGCACCGACTCGGCAGGAGTAGCCATTTGCGTTTGCGTTCTAATCCGGGGAGGGGGAGGAGGAGGGGAGGGGAGATACGTCTGCTGCTGCTGCTTGGCCGTGCACGAGCGAAAGGAGGAGGGTTCAGACGAAATGGAGTGAACAATTCTGAGATTGGTGCATTCTGAGGTATTGAGTACAAGGTTGTGGATCACGCCAAAAGCATGGCACAGGAATTTGTACTTGGACCACCGACTGACGAGCACAACGCCAGTGGCTTGTCCGGAACTGAGAGCCCTCTCAGAACAAATTTTCAAAGACAATCAAACAAACTCTTCGATCCTACTGCAAATAGCAACAAGCAACAATCAAGCATCGCACGAAATTCTTGGCGAATCCTTTGTTCAAGGGTACAGCAGCATTCGTCCGTGCTGGGAGTCGGAGCCAACGAGCTGTCGTGGTTTTTAGACGGGTTTCGCTTCACCACATCCAGCCAGACCTTGTTTCTCTCCGCCACAGCGGCCTTTCAACTTTGCCAAAGGAACAAACGAATCGTTTCAATTGCTTTTGAAAGAACCGCGCGCAAAACAAAAGTCCGACACAGTCGAGCAGGGAGTCGCGCCACACCTCCTCACGTCCGGTAAACAGCGCCGGGAAAGTGTGACCTGCAGGCGAGGACATGCTCGAGTCTAACAGTATAACCGGTGTTTCGAACAGTAGCCATCATGCGGTGAGCGCACGGGCAGGTCGGAGAAGGAAGCGCGCGATGAAGGGACTTGTGAAATCAAAGCACTTGAAATCAACCCAGAATCTCAGAAAAGTCGAGCCTTTGCCCTTTTTTTTTGCTTTGTTGAGACAACCTTTTTCCCCACCAAGGTGTTTGCTGCTCATTGAGCGGATGCTGTATCAATTCAATGCTTGGATTGCACCGACAAATCAATATTTTTTCTTTTGCTGGATTTTGCTCTTGACCAAAATGGTTTTGGGAAGGTCATCTCTCTCTCTCTTCGTGTACGTTGATCTGTAGTGCAACCTGCCCTTCCGCCTCTCGAATCTGATAGACAACCATGCATGCAAACCGATTGGGGGATCGGAGGGTGGGGTTGCAATGCAGGATACTTGGGAAACAGGGCCTGCAAAGGCGGTTGAGGGGAAAGTTGGCGGCAACAAAGTGAAGCATTCGGTCTCGATTTCCGTCTCGGGGCCTACGTCGTTTCCCCCCCCCCCACCCGCCGCTCTGGCCTCTTGCTTTGCTGTTTACGCAACGCGCTCTACCTCAACAGCGGAAGTGTCGTCGCACGGGGATCTCTGCTGCTGCTGTGTTGGAGAAGGCGCCAACGATGAATGCCTGTTTTTTGTTTTTCTTTTGTGTTTCTGGCTTTCGTTTCGTTCGGTCCTCCAGCCCTCGAAGTCCTCGCGGCTGATGCAATTGTAGTGGCTTTTCACGAGTCGCTCGTTTGTATCGGCAATCTCACTGCTGGCGGTCTCACTCTCTGCAACACGATCGAATGGCTGTTTTTTTTTATCTCTTTTTTTTTTCTTCCGTGTATTTTTTTTTTTCCGTTTTCCCCGCGCCAGTCTTTTCCTTTTCTTTTTTTTTTTCCCTCCGCACATTGCGTAATAGAAGAGTTTGTGACTTGCCTCCTGCTGCCATCCACATCCCCGCGCGTGTCTGCTGGGTCTCGAAACTCTGCTCTCTTCCCCGCCCTTTCTTCTCAACGTGCTCCTCGTTCGTCTGCCCCCCTCTGGCTCTGCTCTAACTTGCGCTTGTCTCTTCTTTTCCTTCCCCCCCCCTTCTCCTCCCCTTTTCTCGTCTTGAACAGCCTCATCAAACATGGGTCGCCGTCCCGCTCGCTGCTACCGCTACTGCAAGAACAAGCCGTACCCCAAGTCGCGCTTCTGCCGTGGTGTCCCCGAGCCCAAGATCAAGATCTTCGATCTCGGTCGCAAGAAGGCGTCTGTTGATGACTTCCCGCTGTGCATTCACATGCTCTCCCTCGAAAAGGAGCAGCTTTCCAGCGAGGCGCTTGAGGCGGGCCGTATTTGCTGCAACAAGTACATCTCCAAGCTGTCTGGCAAGGACTCTTTCCACCTCCGTGTCCGTGTCCACCCCTTCCACGTCGTCCGTGTCAACAAGATGCTCACCTGCGCTGGTGCCGATCGTCTCCAAACCGGTATGCGCAACGCCTACGGCAAGCCCATGGGCACTGTCGCCCGTGTCGACATCAACCAGATCCTCTTCTCGGTCCGCACCAAGGACAGCAACAAGGCTGTTGTCGTTGAGGCCCTCCGTCGTGCCAAGTTCAAGTTCAACGGTCGCCAGAAGATCATCGTCTCCAACAAGTGGGGTTTCACCAACTTCACCCGTGACGAGTACCTCGCCCTCCGCAACGCCAACCGCATTGTCCCCGACGGCGCTTTCTGCAAGGTCCTCAACGGCCACGGCCCCCTCAAGAACGTCAAGTCCCCCGTCATTGTCTAAGCTCGCGATGTTCTGTTCTGGTAGCGTTGCTCTTCCGATCTTTGGTTGACAGAGTGCTACTGTTCAAGTCCTCGGGCCTTGTTTGGCAATACTGGTGACTGCTTGTTGATGGATGTATCAGCAAAATACGAGATGTTTTTTAAAAGCAAACTAGTGGTTTTTTTTTTGGTTTTTTTTTTAAAAGGAAGTGTCTGTCAGGCCAGTATCATGCGCGAGGTCGTCCAGTGTGGACGCAGCGCCAAATGGATCTGTCGACATTGCGACCCTTGACGTAGAGAGCAAGCCAACAACAATCAAAAAAACTGGACTGGACAACCAAGCACCCGTAACTGAACCTGAAATCATTGCTGAAGCGTATACAGTGAATGCGAAAGTATCGTTGACTAATGAATACAGTGAAGAATGAGAGGAAGACCGAGTAGGGAAGAGCCCAGTTTGTAGAATGGCTTGTGATGACAAGTAGCAAATCCAACCTTCGCATTTCACTTCCCGCCAAGCTTGAACTTGAGCTTGATTGTGTTTGGCGCGTGACGGATGGTGAGAGAAACCCGCGTTGAGCGGGCAAGGACGTCATCCGACGCAGCGGCAAGCGAAGGACACTGGGCGGCGTTTGCGCAGGTTGCGCGAACCTCAGCCAAACTGTCCTGGGGTACCGGCTCGATTCCGTGCAAAAACCTGGTATACATGTCTTCGCGAAGCACAAGCAAGCTATTGGGTTCGAGGAACAGGGACGTCACTCTTCGGCTTTCAAGCGAATGACGTGAATTAGTCGTCGCAGGATTGTCGCTATCGCTGCCTTCGCGGCCGTTCGCTGTCTCTGAAACAATATCACTGTCCCGAGGTCGATAAAACTTGATCACGCAATGGCTCCCGAGGTTGATGGTTGTGATGACGGGTGAGAAAAACGGTCCATCTTCATGGGGCTGAAATGTTGACAAAGATCCGGTCGCAAGCATTGATACATACGCTCGTGAGATCATTGCGTCTATCACAAACCCAGAAGTCGCTTTCGCGTCAAGGGATGAAACTCGAGCAAAGCCGACCAACGTACCATGATGCCCTGGCCTGGCAAGTACTCATTCACCAGGACATGATTGGGCACCAGAGATCCAAACACCCCCGTCGTGTGCATGCGCTCTGCAAGGAGTTGTAACCACCGTGGCAGCGGCTCTGCAATCATCCCCTTCGCGGTTTGTGTGCCACCTGCAGATCCAAAGCGAGCAGCTTGAGATGAGTGAGTGACTGGGCGAGCACTCTAGCAAGCTCACTCCACCAGACCACTGACCCCAGTTCTGTAACCTGCGGTCCTTGAGAGCAGTCCATTTCACTTTCGGAGCGGCGTGGACCTGTGCACGCACAGACAAAGGGGGTCAGATCGGGTTGGTCGCGCAGTCATTGTGCACACTCGACACGCTCGTACCTGGTCCCAAAAGTAGCTGGCTTCATTGTCTGTGATAAAATTTGGAACGTAGAGCACACTCGGCGGGGCCTACGATCGTTGTGAGGGGGTGCTTTGCCAAGAAGTCAGCAGCAGATTCTCAGAACCAGCGTCCGTCTCTCTCTTTCTCTCTCGTAAGACAAACCAAACGAACACGGTGCACGCAACAAAGGAGGAGTGACTGTACCTTGGTGATTCGAAAGTTTTCGAGCGACTCGAACTGAGGCTCGGTCATGACATAAAGGACGACTGAAATTTCTGGAACAACCCAGCGTGACAGATACACATCAATCCAAAACAATACCTTCCATGCTCTACGACATCATCCACTCTTCTCTAACAACAAAGCTCGCAATCGAGGTCATTCCTTGTTTTTCATCCACAACGAACAATGCACACTTCCACGACTGTCCTCGACGGCGAGTCGCTCCTCCCCGAGCAGCTCTACGCCCTGAGGCAAGTTCGGAACGCCCCGTCATTGCTGCGCAGATGCCTTGGTCATCTTCCTGTTTCCACAAAGCTGCTCTCGTTTTGATCATCCTTGCCGCTGGGCAATGGGGCAATGGTGCAATGGGGCAATGGGGCAATGGGCGCCAACTGTCCTATTTCGAGTGACTGGCCACGAGGACGACGCACGATTTGAGATGCGCGTTGTCGCAGCGTCGCCGCTCCGTGCCCAGCGAGTGCGTATCGGGACCATTGTGCACGCAGCCAACTGCGAGCCCGCGCTCCGTGACAGCGCCGCTCTGCACGGCTCCGTTTTTGCTGTCCGGCTCCGTTTTTGCTGTCTGGCGTTTGGGGACGTCAATTTAGAATTCGACCGTGACTTTTTTTTTTTTTTTTTTTCGTTTCAATGTTCCTGCTCTATTTCCGCCCCTCATTTCCCGCAGTGTGACTGTCGAATGTGTTGCCGTTGGTCTGTGTGTGTATGTGTGCAAGTGCTGGTGGTGGTGGTGGTGGTGGTGGTGGTGGTGGAAGAGTGACCCAAAGAAGGTCGGGTTTCGCATTCTCACGCAGTCCCACACTCTTCTGCGTTATGGTGCGTGGATTGAAGAAGGGGGGGGGGAGCATCGCCCTGACACTGTATTGCCTTCGTCGTGTGTGCCTTTTGCATTTTTGGTCATGACGCAGCCAGGGAACCGTCAAGCTGGACTTTTCCAAGGACGCATGGGAGGTACGTTCACGGTGTGGCCATTTCGCAAGGTCTGATCAGCTCCGAGAAGCACAACTGTGACAAATGTGCTCACCTTGAACACACTTGCTTTGTTGTTGCATGGCCGTCCAGCGCATCAAGCGCAGCCGCCAGCTCATCGACGATATTGTGCGCAAGGGCGATCCCGTCTACGGCATTAACACTGGTACGTTTGGTTGAAACCAAAAAAACAAACCCCGACACACATCACGCAGCGGATGACCGGTTGGCCGCTGACCTTGTCATCCGTGTGTGCACCAACAGGCTTTGGCTTTTTTGCAACAACGCCGATCGAACCGTCGGAGCTGCACAGACTGCAAATCAACCTCATCACCTCGCACGCCGCGGGTGTGGGCGAGCCCATTTCTGTTGAGCGCACGCGCATGCTGCTTGCCCTGCGTCTGAACGTCTTTGCAAAGGGACACAGGTATGCTGGGAGCACGAACGCTGCTGCCACTGCTCCAGGTACCGTATGCTCATTCTCACGCTCACCGCTATGTCGTACGCAGTGGCATCCGCCCAGAGAATGTGCAGCGCATGCTGGATGCGTTCAATGCATCCTGCCTTTCGTGGGTGCCGTGCAAGGGCACGGTGGGAGCATCTGGCGATCTCGCGCCGCTTGCTCACTTGGCGCTTGGGTAGGTTCGGTTTGGATGGTTGGTGCCAACCACCATTGCTCACACATGCGTTCGTATGTTCACAGTTTGATTGGCCAAGGCAAAATGTGGGACCCCACTTTGCAAAAGTATGACCAAGCAAACGAGGTACTGACGGACTTGTTCCTCCTATCAAAAGGATGCTCGTCACTTTCTTGGTCACTCATGTGCTGGCGCATGCTGCTTTATTGTTAGGTTCTCCAACGACATGGTCTGACACCCATCGATTTGCATGCCAAGGAGGGTCTCGCCATGATCAACGGCACCCAGTTCATGACAGCGCACGGAACGGAGGCGCTTGTCCGTGCTACTCGCGCGGCACTCCAAGCAGACGTGATTGCGGCGTTGACGCTGGAGACACTGCACGGCACTCACCGTGCCTTTGACGAGAAGGTATGAACCGGTTTTGCAGATGCATCCACAATGTCGACGAATCCTGTTTTATGTTTTTCTGACAACACTTGATTTCCTTCTCTCTCCCTCTCTCTCTCTCTCTTCAGATCCACCGCGCTCGTCCTCACACTGGACAAATCGAGTGTGCGGCGCGCTTGCGCTCCCTTTTGCACACAGAGGAACAGCCGTCTCAGATTTATGGCAGCCATCATGGCTGCGGCCGCATTCAAGATGCATACACACTGCGCTGCATCCCACAAGTTCACGGCATTGCCCACGATACTCTGGCATTCGTGCGCAAGCTCGTCACGACAGAAATCAATAGCGCCACCGACAACCCGATGGTTTTTGCCGAAACACAACAGTCCCTCTCTGGCGGCAACTTTCACGGCGAGTACATCGCCAAGGCGTGTGACTTTCTGGCGATCGGCATTCATGAAATCAGCAGCATGAGCGAGCGTCGTATTGAGCGCCTGGTGAACTCGTCGCTCAGCGGCTTGCCCGCCTTCCTCGTCAAGGCTGGCGGCTTGAACTCTGGCTTCATGATTGCACATTGCACAGCAGCCGCGCTGGTTTCCGAGAACAAGGTCCTGTGCCACCCGGCATCGGTCGACTCGCAGAGCACCTCTGCCGCCAAAGAAGATCACGTCTCGATGGGCGGCTTTGCCTCGCGCAAGGCAATCGAAGTGGTGTCGAACGTTGAAACGGTAAGGTCGCGATTTTGGTGGATGGCAATGCATTGGGCGTCGATGTGGGAGCTGTATTGCCGCGCAACGACGAGTGAGGTGAGCCGCGCCGCTCAATGCCTGTGGATCCAATAGGTGATTGCCATCGAGCTGCTTGCCGCTTGCCAGGCACTCGAATTCCTCCGTCCGCTGCGCACTACTGCGCCGTTGGAGGCCGTGCACCAACTCGTGCGCCAGCACGTCAAGCCGTTTGATGAGGATCGTTTCATGTCGCCCGATATTGAGGCTGTAAAGTCCTGCACCCTGCTTTGTAGCGTTGGATTTGTGATGAATTTTTCGCAATGGACGTGTTCATTTACTGCGCGTGCTTTCCGACAGGTCGTCAAGCTCATCCGTGAAAACAAGGTCTGGGAGGCTGCCACTGCCGCTGGAACCCAATAAACCCCCCGACTCTCCCCTAATTGTTCCCATGCTCGTGTGCTTTGAAAATAAACATAATATCGAGCAACAATCGCGCACTAGAACAATTCCAACACAAGCGAAGCGATGGGTATTGTACTGTATATTGCAACGCAACACAAGCATCCAACCTACAGGACAGAGCTCCAACAAAAAACCAAAAAAGGCTCAGACAAACACCCAATCCCGGCTGGGTTGAGAAACCCAACCCGGTTTAGAAGGGCCACCACCAGCAGCTGGTCTTGGCAGGGACGCCGAGGTGGAGGAGCTTTGAAAAGGCGGCGGAAAAGTCCTCAAAGAACTTCTTCTCGTCCTTGGCGTAGACCTCGACCCACTTTCGCAAGTCGGCGTCCTGGAGGAAGGCGAGATCGGCAGGGAGCATCATGAGCTCGCCAGTGGGATCCGTGTACTGCTTGGGACCGTTCCACTTCTTTTCCGTCCACTTGGTGTTGAGGAGCGTCGTGTAGAAACCATTGTTGAACGTGGTCGGGTTGAACGTCCACGGACCAGAGTAGCCCGAGCCGTTGGCGGACTTGCCGTCGTGCGCGCGGCCAATGACGTGCGCGCCAATCAGGGCGACAATTTCCTGGTCGTTGAAGCCCATGCGGTAGAAGATGGCACGGACGTGGTCGGCACCACGAGCAGCGTCGGGCAGGCGACCGTCGGGAGCGGTGCGCTTGTTGTCGGCGTCGTCAACGCGGCCGCCGTGCCACGGAACCTTGGGGCCGCCCATCTCCTCGATGGCAACCACGGCAGCAAGAGTCCAGAGATCGGCGTATGTAATCCAGGGGTGCTTCTGCTTGACCTGCTCAAGGCGAGCACGAGCGCGCTCCAGGCCGTTGTTGGCGCCATACTTGGCTTCGGGCGAGAAGCGCATGGTCGCGCCGTTCGAGCCGCCAGTCTTGTCGAACGTGCTGTACGAGCTGTATTTGGCGCGCGTGAGCATGTGAATGAGGGTGAGTAAGAGTGTCAAGCATGCAGGTTGAAAAAAACAAACAAACAAACAAAACAAAAACAAACAAAAACAAACAAACAAACAAACAAATGGCTTACCCAGATGCGTGCCAGGCGAGACGGACGAAAGCAGGTCCATACGAGCCATCGTCGTAGTTGGAATCATCGAGAATGTCGGCAATGTCCTTGCGAACGGCAGCATAGTCGCCCTTCTTGGAGGTCTTCTCGGACGCCGAGACAACCAACATCAGGCCGGTCGTCGTGGCAGCAGCAAACGCAGTCGCAGCACCCGTGGCAAACTTTGAGCTCTTGCCGTTGCTCGAGCGACCTTGGCCCTGGCCGTGGCTGTAGCTGCGCTGCTGCTGGACAGCGACCACCGCGGCGGCATTGGAGGCAGTGCGCACGGCACCTGCAAATAAATAAACAAACAACAATGTTGACAAATTCGACGCGTTGGTGAGTGAAAATGCTGAATTTCTCAGAATGAAAGAAAGAAAAAAAAAAAGGATCAAAATTGTTGATCATCAACAAGAAAAAAGAAAAAATAAATAATAAAATAATAAAATAAAACAACATCGAAACGGCGAATTTTTTAACTTTTCGCTTTTTTTCTTCTTTTTTTTTTCTTTTTTTCTTTTTGGAGAAGCGAAGAAGCGGACAAATAGCAAGGAAACGGAAAAGGCACGTGCGAGAAGTGAGTGCAGATCGGAGTGCGGCTCACGGTGACGATGGACGACGATCGCCTATGAATCGAATCGCATTTGAACGGAAGAAGAAGAAGCGGAAGTTGAAAAACTCCAAAAACAATTTGATTTTTTTTTTTTCGTTCTTTGAAATCCGTTTTGCAGCTGCGATGACACGGTTCCGAATGCAAAGCTTGAGAAACGAACACACCAACGAACAAGAACAAGCAAGCAAAACAAAATCACGACCCGACAGAGCGCGAACGGTCGATTGGCGATTGGGGTGTCAGACTGTGCAGGGACAGCGCTTCTTTTGATTTTGAATGTGATCTGGATGCATTCGTCCTGTTCCACCACCCCCCACCTCGAGATACACACACGCACGCACACATACGCAGAACGCAAACAACGCGACGACAACGAGTGTGCTGTGCGAGAGAGAGAGAGAGAGAGAGAGATGGGAAAAAGCGCGTCATCACTGAACAATTCAAATCGTACGATTTTGACAGAAAAGGGAAGCAAAAAGTGTGGAGAATCAGGACCAGAAGAACGAGAGATGAGATGAGAAGAGAAGAGATGAGATGAGAATGAGAAGAGACACACAAAACACGCACCAGTGCGAAGAGGAAGCGCGGCAGTGGCGACGACGCGAATCAGACGAGCAGACATTGGTTTTGTTTGGAACAACAGCAACAACAAAAAAAGGGAGTGAAAGTCGGATTGAATTTGGAGGGGACATTACTGTTGCAGCACAAAGTGGGGGGGGGGGAAGTAAAGCGCACACTGCGTAGCTATGCTCGTCTGACGAACGCCTAGCTGGTGATGGCAAGGTTCAGGGAAACAAAAGGTCTGCAACGCAAAACAAAAGCACACCCCAGATACCAGACTCGACCACTCTGAAGCTCATAAATCCCAGGTAGCCATGATGTGAGAGCTATCGTGCTGAATATGCATGTACGGCCGATCTTCGAGAACAAGCGTAATCTGGGAGATTGGAATGGTCAGCGGGGTCCATTGGTCGGCCAGTCGCTCAAAGTCGGCCTGGATCTCGCCGGGAGTGCGCTCGGGCGCCTTTCGGAAGCGCATGAACGTGCTGTGGATGATGTTCGGAATGGCCGTCTGGCCGTCCGCGGTGAGATCGACAAGCGCCGCATCGGCGGGCAGCGGCGGGCCTTGCAGTGGGTGACCGCCGCCACGCCGCCCGGCACGCATCGCTTCGAGCACGGAGGGATCTTGCGGGATGCTTGGCAGACCTCCTGCAGGCGGCGCAATGCAAACGCCTTCGCTCCGAATAATGTCTGCCAGCTCGCGGCGAATCGCACTGATCGTGCTCGTCCCTCCGGTCTCGGACTCCCAGAAAAACCCTGCTGCAGGCGACAAGCGGGGTCGGTCTATGGTGAGCTGGATGGGACCGAATGCCTGCCCGCTCTGGCGCACGGCTGCGCGCGCTCGCTCGACCGCTCGAGTGATTGTGCCAATCCACTTGTCCACCACGCGCTGGCGGTCTGCAGCACTCTGGTGCGTCCATGGATTGTCCATGAAGACTGCCACGCTTGCGATCGTGCAGTGCAGGTTGCTTGCGTTGTAAACGACGGCGCCGTCGCGCTCGGCTGGCAGCTCCGCCTGCAATTTGGCCGCGAACGACTCGTATGCACTGCGCAGCTCGGACGGACATGGGTACAATGCGACGAGCGTCAGTCCGAAGGTGGGCTTCTCGAGGATTTTGAGCACTGGGTCAGGCGAGATGTGAGTGAGCGCTGGCTGGTGGTTGGTCGACATTTTTTGTTGTTGACTGAGAAACGCAGAAGAAGAGGGAGTGGGCACTTTTGCTTTGTTTGGAAGTTGTCAAATGTATTGAGCAGTTTGGCGAGCACACAACTCCAGCTCGCTGCCAAACCAACCGTGAGGGGTCGCGATTCAGCACACAGTACACTGCCAAGTGTAGGAATGGAGACGCGTTTGTCCTGAACCAGCAGCGGATCGCAAATCATCGCGTGTGGCAAGCTGACGAATTGAAGAGGGGAGGTACACAACAGATCGTCCTTCCATCGTCAGTGGCTCAGTTTCTATTTCAAGCTAAACAGTGATCTTTGAGTGAGTTTGCACGCGAATGGACGATCCATTGAACAAAATGGCTATGCTATGGTCGGACAGTCTTCCTAAACTTTGAGAGCGGATTCTCTTCATCTTGCACCGCTAGTCCTCCTCCTCCTCCCCGCTCTCCATCTCGTTACACACAAACACATACACACGCACTTTAGGCACTTTGGACGACTTTGGACAGCGATGGAGACGACCCCAAATAGCAACAGCTTTGGCCAGGCTCAAGGCAGCCGAGCTCGCCCATCCTCAGGCCGACGGCTCGCCCGCGCCCAGGATCCAAAGCAGGCCCCAGCGACCATCGATGCATGTGCTGCACCGCCAACAGGACGGTCGCTCTCGCCTCAGCCGCAGCAGCCGCAGCAGCAGCAGCAGCAACAGACTCGCTCCCGCGCGCTGGCCGTTGCTGCAGCGACCCCCGCTGCCATCCAGCAGTCTTCCTCCTCCTCCTCCACGACCTCGGCGGCGATTGCGTTCCCATCACTGCCGTCGCCGTCGCCTTCGCCGGTGCACCGGACAGGACGCGCTGTCGTGCCCAGGGCGGCAGCAGACGCCGATCCTGTCAACCAGAGGCATGTTTTCCCGCCAAAAACGCCGTTTGACAACACAACCCTCCAGGCGTCGTCTGGAAGCGCATTCAGCCTCATGTCGCCGTTGCAAGCGAAGCTGACGCCGCGCGCATCAAGTCAGCTTGCCGAGGCGGCCGTTCCTGCCGCTCAGTCTGCCAAGTCAAAGCGGACCAGCGTTGCCGCCGCCAGCGCCAGCGCCGCGGAAGCCAACTCGTCGTTGACATCACAGCCCCCATCGCAACACGAGTATGACGCAGACTGCTCTGCACCCTCTCCTGTCGTTCGACCGAAGCGTTTACACGAGCGAGAATCGGCAGAGGAGGCCGGTCATGCCCGCAAAGCAATGCGCGCCACCGCGGAGCCAGCTGCTGCAGACTCGAACGTGCAGCAGCCCGCCCCTCGTTCGAATGGAGCCAAAGGCAGCAGCACCATGCATGACCGCGATCGTGCTCGAGGCTCTGTTGAACAGCGCTCTTCCACCAGCCGGTCTGGCACGCCGGGAGATGCGCGGTTGTCCGTTTCGCAACAAGCAGCATCACAGCCGGCTGCTCCCAACGAAGACGAGGCCTTTATAATGCGCCTGAGTGCGCATGATCGTGTGTTTAGCGAAACATTCGACCAAGTTGAGCTGGTTGGCGATGGTAGAGTTTTTTTGTTTTTTGTTTTTTTTTTTTTGTTTTTTAGCATTGTGTGTGTTTTGATGCTGCAGGTGGTTTGACTTTGTCGGTTTTTGACTCGCATTGTAGGCACGTTTGGAACCGTTTTCCGCGCCCGTGTCGCACAAGTTGATGGCGCATTTGTCGCGCTGAAGCGCATCAATTCGCTCAGCCAGCCTGCGCGAATGCTGAAAGAAATTAAATGTATTCAGGCCTTGGGGTAAGGCTGGCGTCAATGGATTGGGCGAGAGGTGCCGACTCGAGGTTTTGGACTCATGTGTGATTGGCCATAATGCAGAGGAAATGACCACACCCCACACCTGCTCGGCACGTTTCGATTTGGTGGAGACGTTATTCTTATTATGCCGTACCTCATGAGCGAATCGTTCCGAGTACGTTTTTGTTGTTTTTGCATCAATCCATCGTTCTGGATGTTGTGCCGAATTTCTTGTTTCGCTGCACTGGTCATGGTGGGTTGACAGCAGCCGACTCACTGCCCCCATTTCACCGTTTCTGCCCCAACCCAACTACATAGCAATTTATGAGAGACTTTTCCGTGGGCGACTTGCAAATGTACATGAAAGGCCTGTTTCGCACGCTCGCTTATATGCACAAATCGGGCTATCTGCATCGGGACATCAAGCCAAGCAACTACCTGTTTGCGCGAACGGCAAAGCTCAAAGAAGCAGGCTTCTGGGAAGAACGCTTGACCAACATGGGATACCGCGATGGACAGTACAGCTACATGCTTGTGGATTTTGGGCTCACCCAACCAATGAATGCGGATGATTCGGCGTCCTCCCCGTCCTCCTCTGCAGCCGGTGCTAGCGCCGAAGCCTCTACTTCGTCGACGAGAGCCACCAACACTTTGACGATTGCTGGGCGCGCGAAAAACGATCGAAGGTAACGATCATAAATCCTCGCAGCTCTTTCTTCAGATGATGTAACGCTGCGCTCACGCTGTCATCGCTGGAACAGGCCCGCCAAGGTCACGCAACGCGCAGGGACCCGAGGTTTCCGCGCACCCGAAATCTTGCTTCGACATTTTGACCAGACTCCAGGTAAGTTCGTTTGCGCACTAATCCGCAGATGCAAACGGCGCACGATGTGGTGTTGACTCACGTTTCCTTTGCTCTCGTTCTTTTTGCTCTCATTCTTTTTGCTCTCATTTTTTGCTTTCATTGCCGTGATCATCACGCTGGTGGCTTGTAGCTATCGATATCTGGTCTGTTGGAGTGATCTTGCTGTCCATTCTCACGGGCAAGTATCCGTTTTTCGAGGCCCTCGAGGATACAAAGTCTCTGGCCGAGTTAATGTGGGTCTTTGGTTCTCAAGACATGATCCGACTGGCGGATTCTCTAGGTGAGACAGACATGGTGGCGCTCACAGTGCATTCTGCAGGGTCTGACAACGAAAATCGTGGACTGCAGGTATTGAGCTGATGGTAGACGAAACACATCGTGATCTGAAAGCCTGGAACTTGAAAAACGCGTGTACTACGATGCGCGCCGCATCCGAAGAGCTTCCAGACGAAGTGTTTGACTTGCTGGAGCGATGTCTCGAACTTGATCCTGCAATTCGCATCACCGCTGCCGACGCTCTTCGACATCCCTTCATCCAGGATGTCATGGGCACGCCAATGTCGTCCGATTCTTTGGAATTTCCACAAGCAGCAATGTAGATACCTGCCTGTAGAATAGATGCTGTTCGTTGCTCTTTGTGTGATTCGCAAACCATCAATGTACAGTACGCGACAGTAGATTGCGAGTTCAAGAGGGCACAACCTTTTGGACAGGATTTTGGACAGCAAAAGTCCGTGTAGAAGCAGCAGTTGGAGCAAAACGCAGAGCAGTCGATAAAGGACTCGGAAGGGAAAAAATTGTACTCGTCCAAAACAACATTCAGAAAAGAAAACAACAGTGGGAAGATCCCCGAATAAAAATGGAGAAAAAAACAAAAACGGCGACACAAGCAAACATCACTTTGAATCGGGGTTGAAGGACGGAGCATTGACATACTTGACCATGGAGGACTTTTTGCCTGCTTCACCGTTGTGCTGCTGTTGTTGCGGATGGGACTGTGAATGTTGCGCCGGATGTTGAGCAGCCAATGCGACCTGAGATGATTGCATCGAGGGGTGGTTTGCGTAGGCAGCAGCGAGATTTTGCTGCGCGTGCTGGCCATGCCGACTACCGACATTTGCGCCATGCGAGTACTGGCGCGCGCGCTGTCCGGATTGCGAGTGGTCGTGGTATGCCTCTTGCTGGGCATTCCAATTGGCGCTGGGATCGTAGTAGTTTTCGTAAGCCTTGTCGTACCCGGCAAATTGAGGAGCTTGTCGATTGAAACCAGCAATCCCAGCGGCCACAGACGAAGGACTGGATCGCCACTCTTCTGTTGACATTGATGCTGATTGTTGGTAAGGCGAAAAGTTGGCAGCAGCAGCAGCAGACCGTGATCCGTTCGCACTGTAAGGATCGAACATCATCGGGAGGTATGCCGAGAGATGCTGCTGTTGCTGTTGGTGTTGGTGTTGCTGCTGCTGTTGGTGTTGGTGTTGTTGGTGTTGTTGTTGTTGTTGCTGCTGCTGTTGTTGCTGCGCCTGCTGTTGGAACAGATGCGCCGATTGCTGCTGCTGTATCTGTTGTAGCTGCAGTGCTTGCAGCGCAGCTGCGGCGGTCTGCGGTTGTTGAAGCAATCCTTCAGCGGTGGTCGGCTGGCCAGCTGCGGCAAACTCGACGCCGCGATGTGGCGCAAACATCGAGCCGCGGGCAGCCAACTGTTGCATGACTTGAAAAGTTTGCGCAGGATCCAGACCGCCAAGCTGGCCGAGCTGGTTGTAGAGTTGTTGCTGGTGCTGTTGCAGGATGTACAGACGCAAAAGCTCTTGTTGCTGCAGCAACAAGGGGTTGGATGAAGCCGGCGCTGCCGTCATGTTGCCCTGCACAACAGTTGAAGCCGGCGCAGGCGCAGAAGGAACAGGCAATGCCGAAGAGGTGGTGGTTGCTGCGGATGTAGAGCCCCCATCCCAAGCAGAGCGGACTGCATGCGCCAAGGTGGCGCTTGTTGATGCGTCGGCAGGTAGGTTGGATTGAGGCACAACCTGGCCTTCAGGCCCCACGTCGCCAAAGGAGAGGGACAGCACGGCCGAGTCGGCAGTAATCTTGGGCCCGTTGGCAATCACGACAGGCGGGAGTTCCGCGATGCGAACAAAGCCAGCCGATCCCAACGAAATCGAGCCTCGGTTGGACGAGGTTCGGGATAAAGGCTCAGAGTCAGAGTCGCCCGCATCCTTGGTTTGCTGCATCTCGGCCGAGCTTGGAAAAAAAAAAAAGGCTTCGGAAGTTGTTGTTGGGGCAGCAACCGCGACGACAGTGGACTTGACCTGTCCCTGACCCATGGCCGGTAAGCGGATGCGGGGCCAGTCGACCATCCAAGTCCAAGAGCGCCGTGCGCGAGCTATAGTGGGCAGTGTTGGGCGTGCCACGCACACCCAAAAGGATGCGTTGACGTTGCTCTCCAGGAAGACGCACGACGAGATCGTACAAAGGTTCCGCCTTTGGCGGGTGATCCGCCGCTGCTGCGGCTCCTGAAGATGCGGCTACTGATGAGATGCCACTCGGTGCAACGTTGCTTGAAGCAACAGAAGTGGAGGTCGGTCGGTGAGCAATGGTGACCGGCGGCTGGCCTCCCATCACCTGCGCTCCAGCTCCAAGCGAGGGTGGTTGAGCGGACGTGGCCGTCTTCAGTTGCTGTTGTTGGTTTGGCAGCTGCTGCGACGAATGGTGTTGTTGCGCAGAATGCTGCTGGAGTGCATGCTGTTGCGATTGTTGCTGCGAAGGTTGCTGTTGTGAATGATGTTGCTGCTGTGAATGATGTTGCTGCTGGGCGCTCCGATGGTCATCACCGCCTCGCGGTTCTCGATGCAAAATGGATGGAACGGTGCCATTGCTGGTTGCGGAGCCGGCTCGAGGGGCAGTCGACGACGTGGTTGAAGGCGCGCCCAATGCGCGCCAGGAACTGGACGGGGCATGCGAGTGGTGCAGGTCCATTTCAGCATGCGCACGTTGTTGAGGGTGCGACGCCGCGCCGCCACTGTTTGCGGCAGCCGAATACAACAGACCGGGCGTGTGCGCAGCAGCAGCACTACTGCCAGAGGACGATGGACTCGCTTGCTGTTGCTGAGGTTGGTGGTGTTGCTGTTGCTGTTGCTGCTGCTGTTGCTGTTGTTGCTGCTGCAGCTGCTGCTGCTTTTTCTCCTGCATGCGCTTTTCAAGCTCTGCAAGCTTTTGCTGAGCACCTTGAGCACTCCGCTCGCGCATTACCCGCTCTTCCTCTTGTCGGCGAGCTCGGGCACGTTCGATGCCTTCACGCATTGCCTCCCTGGTCGCATCGTCGTCCAAGACGGCGTCGCCGCCGGCGGATGCAAAGTGCGACGAATGCGACTGGGAATGACTGTGCGCACCTGGTGCAGAGGTATGATGAGGCTGCTGGTGGTGCGAGTGCTGCTGGTGCGAGTGCTGCTGGTGCGAGTGCTGCTGCTGAGAATGAAGCACGCCCGCATACGATGTAGCAGACGTCGAGCTGCGCGCGGGAGCGTCATGGCCGTGTCCATGAGTCGATGCCGACGACGAGTTGTGTGGGGGATAGTGATGCGTTGGCGCATGATGCACGTGACTGACATGCGCGTTCGAGTGTGAGAGTGAATGCTGCGGCTGGTGGTGCTGCGAATGGTGCTGCTGTTGGTGGTGAGCGTGAGAGGTCGAGGACGTGGAATGAGCGGAGGAGGTGGTGGTGTTCGACGAATGGTGAGAATGTGAGGCAGTGGTGGTTGGGCTGGAGGAGCGCGGAGCCATGGCGGAAGACGGACCAGAGTGGGACACAATGGGAGAGGGCTGTGGCAGCGTCGACAGCTCTCGCTCGACCTCTGACGACCAGTCCAGGTGCTCTTCGGCGGGAGAGTTGCGGGAGCCCGATGCAACCTGTGCGGCGGCAATAGCAGCTTTTGAGGAGGTGGAGCTGGAGGTCGAGTCCGGCTTGACCGGGGTTGTGCTGTTTTTGACGGATGTCGACAATCCATTGGTTGCTGGAGGCTTTGTGGTCGATCCAGAAGAAGAAGAAGTGGTAGAAGCAGAAGAGGAAGAAGAAGGAGTGGCAAGCTGAGCGGCTTCAAAGTCCATGTCCTCGTCTTCCGCCATCCATCGGGAAGGGTTCTTGGGCTCTGGGGCTGCGTTGGCGTTGGAGTGTTGCGTTCCAACCCGTGCATCGCCAGAGATCATTGTGGGAGAATTGGCACCGCCACCCCGAGCACGCCAGCCGCTGTCAGGGAGGGCGCGGGAACGATTCGAGCCATCCTCGTCGTGACGATTGGGCGGAGGAGAGTCACTTGCCCTTGGTCCGCCGCGCCCAGCTGCACCGGTGGAGCCGGCTGTGACAGACGGCGACGCAGCACGACCACCGCTTCGCCAGGGAGATGCGACACCACCTGCAGCACTGTGCTGCTCACGAGCGCCAGCAGCAGCAGCACCAGCAGCAGCGTCCGAGGCACTACTGCCGGTTGACGAGGTCGTGGCACCAACGCCGTTCCCAGAGGCCGCCGAAGTCGTGCTGTTTGGTGAATGACCAACCACCGCGGCCGTCCAGGAGGACACTCCCGCCAGTCCGGACGCCGAGGAGTGAGGCTGGGCGCCGCTGTGCTGGGTGGCTGAATTGCTGGACGACGACGGCGACGACAACGATGCCGACGCTGCAGCCGCCGCCGCTGCCGTGGCTGCGTCTGACGCTGCCCCTTGCTCGCGCTTGAGGCTGGGCAAGCTCGAGGGCTTGAGTGGCGCCACCGCGCGGTGACTCTGCCCAGAGAAGCCGCCGCCTTTGCCAGAGGAAGACATGATTATTGTTTTGTTCAAAGCTCTGTTTTTTTTTTTTTTTTTTTTTTTTTTTTTGATAATTTTTTGTCATTTCGCAACGGTTAACAAACAGCTGTGAGCACATCAAAGAAGGAAACAAGGGGAACATGGACAACAGCAGCAAAGATGGATCACACCCCAATTCGGACAATCGGGAGCGAAGCATGGAAAAGTCGAAAGGAATCACAGTTTTGAAAAAAAAAAAAAAAGCAGATCTGTGTTTTTGTTTTGGAGCTTTGGCTTTTGGATGAGATGATTCGTGGGCTGACAGTGCGAAACGAGTTTGAACGCTGTCGAAGGAACGCGCGAGTTCCAGAAAGTGCCACTGAGGAGGCGGGAGGCGGGACGAGACGAGTGGATTGTCGAGAACGCCTTCACTTCAATTTCAATTCGATTCCGAAAGCTTTGCCCCGAGTGTCCTTCCACTCAATTTCTGCATCCATCCGACCGCTCGATCAGGCTCGCTCGGGACATTTCTCAAACTGAAAGAAACGAAAACAACCACAGCAAACACAAAGAAAACGGGGGGAACAATCGCACCAACCTGCGGACAAGTAGAACAAGAAAAAACAAAAAGAAAACTGAATTGAATCTGAGAGGACCAGAAAGATTGAAACGATGATGGTCCCCACGCCCCGCTTTCACAAACACCTTACACTCTGATGTTGATTTTCACAATTCTTCTCTTCGTCGAGGGGTCTATTTCGTTGATTTCGCCGTGAATAAAGTTGCTTGCCAGTTCAAACTTTTTCCTTTTTTTTTTGTTTTTTTTTTTTGAAAATGCGACAAACGCGCGCAACGCAGGCGCAGCAGACAACACGCGCCGAGGCTGCCGCGCCCATGGTCGCTCACACCGCACCAGAGGTAGAGGACGAGCCTGTGACGACGGGCGGGCGCAGGAGGAACCGCCAGCTCGTGAGCGCGACGGCGAGAACGACCCCTGTTTCACAGCCGAAAGCGGCAATCATGCAGAGCGCAGCCACAGCCCATCCGACGGCGACGGCAACGGCGGCTCAGCCGAGTACAGAGCAACAACAGGACTGCGCGGTGGTACGCCCGCCAGTGGGCCGCTCGACCAGGCATGCGGCAAAGGCAGCAGAGCAGCCGCGCGTCGTTCAAAAAAGTGAAACAGAGCGGGGCATTGCATCGCCTTCGGTGGCTCTGCTCGTCGATCACCAGCCGCCCGCACTTGGTGCCATGAACCAAACAGTGTCCGTGTCTGATTCTTCAACGGCAGTTGCTCGGGAGCGCGGTGCTCGAGCTCAAGTCGTCGGCCCTGCCGCCACGGATCCAAAGCACCAAATGGACCAAGGCGCCGACGCCGAGCTCCCGCCACAGCGCGTGCGGTCGGCTAAACGCCTGGCTCAATTTATGCCGATCGGAATAGCAGTGCTGGACAACGAGAGCGATGGAGCTGTACTCGTGAGCCGTTCCAAATCCAGCCGGGATGAACCGAACGAGAACGCTGCCGCCAACATTCTGAGCAGTGCATTTTCCGACAAGTCGAGAGGATTGTCTGCCAAGCTGGACAGGCCGACCAGCACGGTCGCGGCCGCAATGTCAGAGACCCAATCGTCCCAATCTCCCAAATCGTCCCCGTCGGCGGTCACGCCCAGGGAACGCCTTGCCTCGTTTCGACCCTCGTCTGTTCCACGCCAACCTCTGACCAGCTTGCCAGTGAGTCGGCTCGGAACGCCCAATGGCACCCCTCCAGGCAAAACAGAGCTGTTACGCTCGTCGATGCGCGCGTCCTTGCTGCACCAGGCCACCGCTAACAGGCAGATTCTGCAAGCGTCGCGTCGATCGGTTGCGAGCCAGGACTCTCCGAGATCTCCCGTGGAGCGTCGTGCAGCGGCTGTAGCAGCGCAGGATGCATTTTCGTTCTTGCAAGATGACTCTGATTCCAACGAGGAGGTGCAGCACTCCCAGTCACCCCGCAGTACCCCTCGTCGCTCTCTCGGACGCGTTGCTGGAGCAAGCCCGCGTCCTAGTGCTGCAACGACTCAGCACAGTGCGGATAGAAGCAGCTCTGGTCGTCGGTACGGAACTGGTCAAAAGGACAAGTCCAAATCTCACAGCCACAAGACCGCTGTATGTCATGCCGTTCGCTTTTTATTGGTGCAAAGCAGAAAGGAAAGGGGGGGGGGAAGGGCAAAGAGGACAGGATTGCCGTGGTTGATTTACAAACTTGGTCAAACTTGGTTGTGTGCATGAAAGGCAAACCCTGCGCGCGAAGCATACTTTGAGCAAATGCGTATCGAGCTGGCCGCTGCGGAGGATTTCTCTCTCGAGATGGAGGTGGTAAAGCCAACCTTTTCTGCTCAGTTTCGTTAACTTGTTGCTCGATTGTTGATTTGTGTTGAGAGTTTACGTTTGTAGTCTTTGAGATAATCTTTGGTCTGTTCCGACGCGTGCATGTCAATGTCAAATTGCTTTTTGCTGAAATCCCTTTCAACCACTGAAACTCCATACTACGGGGAGCAAGGGGAAAGGGCCAAGGATGGGTGTCAGATCAAGCCTTTCGATTCTCACACACGCGTGCAAATGCTGTACATTGTTCCTGATTCAATAGAGTAATTCACTCTTCAAATTACACTAAAATGGGCTACATTTTCGATCCGCTCGTGCTGCAGGCCGTTGCAAAGGAAGGCATTGCCAAGAAGCTCAAGACGAAGGATCTCTTTGCATACATTGCCGAGAAGGTGAGTTGTATGCCCCCTCCCCGGCTCATAGCAGTCCGCCCAAATCCATCACTCCGCCCCGCATCGAGCACCCCCATGCTCAATTTGTGTGGGGACCAGAGACGGGGGGGTGAGCACTGGAATCGGGTGATCCACCTCCGATCGTTCCTTCCAATCAGACCCCGACGCCGACGCCCTCATCGCACAAAGTCGGTCCTTGCTCGAGGCGTGGAGGAGAGGGTGGTGGTGGTGCTTGAGTTTGCACACTCCCGTAGTGATGATGCTCAGGAGCGAAGGGCAGCAGGCAGCGGATGGGCAGCGGTGGGCAGCTGTTGCCAAAAAACCTCACGCCACAATCCAAATCCTTGTCTCGTTGCCTCCTCTCATTCATGCATCCCACACAGCGCTTGTTGTCAACTCGATACACAATGCTCACTCTTCTCATTTTCAAACAAATGGGCTTCTCTCTGTGCCTTTGAAAACACGACGACAGCTCGCCGAGAAGTACCCGGGTCACATTGACGTCAACGCCGCTGCCGTGTTCAACAACGCAGGTGGCGCCATGGGCACCATGTATGTGCTCCATGCCAGCATCACCGAATGTAAGAGACCTTGACTTGCTCATCTCGCTCACACAGACCCGCCCATTTCACATTTGGAGGTCTGGGAACTGCTGCGATCCTCAGCGCGTGTTGTGATCTGATCTGATTGCCATCCTCTCTAACACTAAGAATTGTTCCGTGCGTTTCGCTCACCCGAAAAAAAAAACCATCAGACGTCATCATCTTTGGCTCGCCCATCGGTACCGAGGGTCACACTGGCCGATTCATGGCCGATGATTACTTTACCATCCTCGAAGGCGAGCAATGGGCGTTTGGCGAGTCTGACACTGAGCGCAGCGTCTTCCGCCCCGGCGACATGCACCATCTGCCCCGCGGCACGGCAAAGGCCTACCGCATCCCCGACCACTGCTTTGCCCTCGAGTATGCTCGCGGCTTCATCCCGGCCATGCTCCCGTTCGGATTTGCCGACACCTTCTTCTCCACCCTTGACTTTAACACTCTCGGTCGCACCGTGGCCATCTATGCCAAGCGCACTATTGCCGAGTTGCTGCAAGGAAAGATTTAAGCAAGATGTCTTCTGATTGGCATGGGCTGTGTGCAGCGCCGCTCACGAATGGTCAAGCTTTGTTTTTGCGGATGCACATTCAGTGTCTACAGCGACGACCCGCCCTTTGTTTCGATAATAATAAATACCAAAATAGTTTCGTGATATCAACGGAAGACGCAGGAGCTGCGAAACTTTCGTGTTTTTTTACTTGTTCGTTTTGTTTGTTTTTTTCCTTCTCCCATTATCCTGCCGCCTTGAATCAACCGAGGGTACCGACCGGTGGTTTAGACATATGCATCTTTGTATGCTAGTGGTGGAGGTAGTGGTGGTGGTGGTGGTGGTGGTGATTCGGAAGACTTGTTTGTTTGACAAGAAAAGGGGGGGTTGGCTACACACGGTCAAAAACAAATCGTTGAGAGGGGAGGGGGGCAAAGTTAGCGAACAAGAGGAGACTGCTTGAGCTGCAGGAAGATGGTACGCATGCGCGCCGTGTCCTTGGTGCCCTTGGCGCTCTTGGGGTTGAAATCGACGAGCTTGCTCACACGCTCCCACTCGTTGCCAGAGCCAGCCTCATCGCGCTCTCGGATGAAGACGGCCTCGGCCTCACTGCAACAGATGCGCAGAAGACGAGACTGCCAGTCAGGGGAGAACGTAGCAACTGGCAAAAAACCGAATGAAAATTGCGACCTACCGGTTGTTCTTTTTGCTCTTGACAAGCTGCTCGTCGTAGCGAGTCTGCCAATCTTGGAGATCCTTCTTACCCTGCACGGAGCGAGCGCGTGAGTGTGAATGCGTTGTGTGTATCTGTGGGTTGAAAATGGGGCCCTCCGGGTTCCATCATACCTTTGCCAAAAGCGAGTCCTTGGCTGCCTTCTCTTGGGCATCCTTCTCGCTCAGGCGCTGTTCTCGCTCGGCGCGCCAAGCACTAGAGCGCACAATCGACACAAGAACAGCCGAGGTCAGACCAGGGAGCACAGAACTCAACCTCTCAAAAGGGGGCTGCTTACCGGATGGCCTCGCCTTCGCCCATGGCGGCATCGACGGCGCCGACCGCGGCATAGCGATCGTTGCTGTGGGGCTCGCTGGTCTGCTGCTGCTGCTGTTGCTGCTCAGTCTCGGCGGGTGCTCCGAACGCCGAGGAGGACGAATCGCCAAAGGCAGCGTCGCTGCTCCAAGCCTGCGTCGTGCCAAACGGGTTGATTCCCACCACAATATCAGACATCGATGATGGTCAGTGAACGCATATCACCAGTCACACTCAATCGGCGACCAACGACAAACCAAACAAGATTATTAAAAAAAAAAAAAAAAAAAAAAAGATCGCTGGTTTTTTTTCAATTCACATCTTCGTCTCGTTGGCGTTCTGCAGGCACAATCGGCAGACAAGCCAACGAGGGAGTGGAGGTTGGAGTGCCGGCATGCGATTGCCGCGAGCCAGGCAAATGGTGGTCTCCATTCAAGGGCCCACGAAGCAGAAAAAACAGCAAAAAAAAAAAACCAACAAACTCAAAAAGAAACTGCCTGATGATGACTTGCCTCCTGCGACGCGGCATTGACGGCGCTCAGGGCAGCGGCGGTGGCGTCGCCGTTGTCGAAGGCAGCAAAGCCCTCGTCGGTGCCAAAGTCAGCGGCAGGGACGTCGCCAGAGGCCGGGGCAGGAGCATCGAACGAGTCAAATTCGGCCTGCTCGCGAGCAAGAAATTCAGCAGTCGGGTCGCTCATTCTGTGTGTCTGTGGAAAACTGTAGGAAGACTGAGTTTTTTTGTAGAGTACGTGAAGAGTGATGACGATGCTTGTTGGCAACTACAGCACAGCACTTGGGAGGCGGGTAGATCGACAATGAACAAGTCGGCTTGCTTTTTTTTTTTGTTTTGTTTTGGTTTTTTGAGAAAGAGACAACCAGAAAAACAAAAGGCGATCGTTATTGTTTGCTCACTCGCAGATCAGAGCAGAAGATCTGGAAATCCTCGAGAAACAAAGCATCTCAAGATCGCACTTGTGGTTTTAGGTCTCTTGCCACTCTTGTTTTTTGTGCTCCAATTGTAAGCCTTGGCTTTTTTTTTTTTTTTTTTTTTTTTTTTTTTTTTTGGCTCTCCGTTTTTTTGTGTGCTTGGTTTCCGGGCCACCGCTACTCCTCGGTGCTTGGATGTCATGGCAGCACGCATGCATGCACTGTTGCTCATTCGATGCTCCATCCGACGCCCTCACCAGCGCAACGCCAGCAGAGCGATCTGCGACGGCAAAAGAGCCAAAATCCAAACACTCACTTTTTGTTTTTGTTTTTGTTTTTTTGTTCCCCTTTGCTTCGCACTTTGCAGCATAGCAGCCATGTCTGACGCATCCAGCGACGCCACCTCTGTCCACGTTGTCGTTGTCGGCCCTGGTGGTGTTGGCAAGTCCGCCATCACACTGTCCTTCATGCGCAACCAGTAAGTCGCTGTTCCATTGTTCTCTGCTTGTTTTTTTTTTTTTTTTTAAATTGATTCTATTTTTGCGAACTGGTCCTTTTTTTTTTCGATTTGAGTTCTTCGGACTCTGGCGCGAAGAAGCAGCCATCTTGTGCGCGCTTCTATTCGAATTCGACTTGCATGTGGTTGAGAGCGAGAAGGGGAGCGAGAGAGACGGCAAGAGGCAAAGAGCCAAACAGAAAGAAAAAAAAAAAGAAAAAAAAAAAGCAGTGTGGTGTTGTTGTTCTTTTTTTTTTTTTTTTTTTTTTTTTTTTTTTTGGTTAGCAACCCGTTTTTCTGTTTTATTTTTTATTTTATTTTGGTTGCTTTGGGGGTTGGCTGACTCTGCTCGCACAACAAGGACCGGGAAGAGCTCATGCTTGACGATGATGGAGGGGAGCATGTCCGGCTCAGGGGTTGGTTCTCGGGTGTCGGGAACGGTTCCTGTGCTTTCGCTGTTCCAAAAGCAACCAAATGTCTATTATTATTATTATTATTGTTTTTTTGTTTGTTTTTTTCATTCGTCCCGCGCTCTCTCTGGCGTTGGTTGCCGCGCAATGTTTCTCTTTCTCTCACTTGTTGGTTTGTTGTGATGTTTTTGCTCAGGTTCATCGAGGAATACGATCCCACTATTGGTATGGTTGTTGCCAGCAGGTTGGCGCTGCATTGATTTTTTTTTCCCTTTTTTCTGTTTCTTCTCCGTTGTTGACCGCTTTGACGGAGTGGGAAACGAGTGGACCGAGCGGCACTGCCCCATGAAATGGAGGGGGGGGGGTTTGCGAGATCGCATGTGTCTACTCTGATTCTTGGGAGGTGGATCGGTATTGCGTTGCTGGGCAAAGTGAGTCGCCCGCATCGGCTTTTTTTTTTTCTATTTATTTAAATCGAGATCAACCACAACAACGGCATGTTGCGGCTGCACCACCATCGCACGCGCACACCCAACCGACGAGCCCCCCTTGGCAACGATCATCCACGCGCGTTTGTTTGTTGTGCTGGTCCGGCATCCACCTTTTTTGTCATCCTGCATTCAAAAACCAAACAATCACAAAAAAAAAAAAAAAAAAAAAACTTTCACGTTTCGGGTTTTTGTGGTTTTTGCTGGTTTATTTTTGTTATTATTGTTTCATTTTTATTTTTTAACTTGTTGTTCTCACCTCGACTGGTTGTCACGATGTTGCGCTTGAAAACACCACAGAGGACTCGTACTCGAAGGAGATTGTTGTTGATGGCAAGAAGATCAACCTCGAAATCGTCGACACTGCCGGCCAAGAAGAGTTCCGGTACGCTTCCCTTTTTTCATTACTTTTATGAGCACGTCGAGCTATTGGTGGGCAGCGCGGTGGCGTTTGAGCATACGGGGGAACGGGGTCGTTGAGCCACAGCTATTCTCTCTGTAGTTGGCTCTCACGATGTTCTGTTCTGTCAATCATACAGTGGTCTCTGGGGCGACAAGTTCATCCGCCAAGGCGATGGTTTCCTGTGCGTCTACTCGATTACAGACAAGGCCACCTTCGCTGAGCTCGTTCAGTTCCGAAAGCAAATCCACCAAGTCAAGGACACCACCAAGGTACCAACAATCTTTGCCCAACCACACCAATTATTGGGGGGCCGTGGATGTTGCTCGTTTTTTGCTCTTTGTTTTGATGCAACTTGTTCACTTTCCCCTCCCCCTCCCTTCTTTCTTCGTAGGCTCCCATGGTTATTGCCGGTAACAAGATCGATTTGGAGGACCAACGCGAGGTCTCGAACGACGAGGGCAAGGCTTTCGCCAAGGATTCTAGCGCTGTTTTCATTGAGACTTCCGCCAAGACGCGTACCAATATCGATGAGACGTTTACCAACCTTGTTCGCGAGGTGCTCAAGTTCCGCGCTGCCAACGGCACCCCTGCACCTGCTGCCGCTGCTGCACCTGCTGCCGCCAGCACGTCCAAGGCTGCTGATGCCACCAAGGCCTCCTCTGCCGCCGCTGCTGCTCCCAAGAAGAAGGGTGGTTGCATGATTTTGTAATCGTTGACCGTTTCTTCTTTCTGCTACTTTTTCCACTTAATGGCTTTTTTTTTTTTTCTCTCTTCCCTTCTGACCCCCCCCCATTCTCGGTTACTCGCGAAGCCCCACGTCGACGCTCTCGAGTCGGTTTCCTTTTTTCTTTTTCTTCTGCGCGCTTTTTGTTGCTCCTCCGTATATGCTTGCTCTTCTAAAAGTACTCTTCAATCCCAGAGGTACTTTTGTTGGGCCCCTTTTTCGTTCATAATTGTTGTTGCTGGTGACACATTTGTTTCCCTCCTTTGTCAAGTCGCACGGTCGATGTTGTAAATCAAACACTCGAAGCATTGTTTTTCTTGCTGGCTCAGTTCTTCAATTTATTGTTTTTAGTTTCAGAATTTCCACCCCTCCACCAGTTCACCATGCCGCTGCTGTCTCAGGATGCCGAGTGGGATGACATGTACAAGCGCCTGCCCGAGCCCCCGGCCGGCACTGCTCGCCGTGCGTTTGCCGTGCTCACCAGCGGCGGTGACTCGCAAGGTATGGTACTTTATTCCACTTTGTCCCAATCGCACTCTCTTTCGCACTCCCCCCCCCTCCTCTGTTCCTCCTCCCGCCTTCCCGCTGCCACTCTCACACCCCCCCCCACCAGCTACTCGTTACTGGCAACGCACATCATCACTTGACACTGTCCTGCTTGTCCGAGCGTCTCGCTTGGTCTTTTTTTTTTTTCTTTCTTCGCCATGTTTCCCCCCGCTGCTCTGCTCGTCACTGACCACAGCGTTTTCTGGGGCTCTGCATTGTATTTCTGGTCTGTTTGGTCTCAACTTTAGGCATGAACGCTGCTGTGCGCGCCATCGTCCGCGTCGCTCTGTACAACTATTGCGACGCCTATGCAATCTATGAGGTACAATGAAGCGAATCGCACCGTTTCGCCCTTTCGTCAAATACAACGTTGGTCTCGGTCGACTCGTTCCTGACAACCACTGCGTTTGTTTTTCTTTTGTCCTGGCTTGTAATGTGGGAACAGGGCTATGTCGGCTTGGTCAACGGCGGCAGCTTTATCAAAAAGATGGGCTGGGGCGACGTTTCCGGCATTCTGTCTCAGGTAACTAACGACTTGTCCACTTTGTCAAGCGGGGTGTATGGTTGGTGCATTGCACTGTAGAGTGCCTCTCGGGCTCATTGAATGCGCGCGGATGCAAACCGATTGCCTTCGAACAATCCGTCTCACAGGGTGGCACGGTCATTGGAACCGCGCGTTGTGCCGAGTTCCGCGACTATCCTGGTCGCTTGAAAGCCGCGCTCAACCTTCTCGAGCGTGGCATCAACAACTTGATTGTCATTGGCGGCGACGGCAGTCTTACCGGCGCGGATTTGTTCAAGCGAGAGTGGCCGCAATACCTCAAAGATCTGCTTCAACAGAGTAAGCGTTGGCAATTGAAACCTTCCTTTTTCTGAAAGGAGGGAGAGGCAAGAGGGGAGGGAATTGGCACGGTGGTGGAAACCAAAGTTCCAGTTGTTGTACTTGTGCAATCGCACTCTGTCTGTGTGCTGCTCCGTCCGGATTTTTTTCTTCCTCTGCTCCCACAACACTCAAACGATGCTTTTCTTTTTACCAGAGGCCATCTCTGAAGAGCTTGCGCAGCGTCTGAGCTACATCAACATTGTCGGACTCGTGGGATCGATCGATAACGACCTGTGCGGCACGGACAACACGATCGGAGCGGACACGGCGCTCAAGCGCATTGTCGAGTCCATCGACAGCATTTCCAGCACTGCTGCGTCGCATCAGCGCTCGTTTGTGCTCGAAGTGATGGGCCGCAACTGCGGCTACCTGGCGCTCATGGCTGCCATTGCATCTGGTGCCGACTGGACGTTCATTCCGGAGCAGCCGCACGGCGACGACTGGCGCGTGGCCATGTGTGACGAGCTCAAGCGCAATCGCGAAAGGGGCCGTCGCATGAGTCTGGTCATCATGGCCGAAGGTGCGCGCGATCGCAGCGGCACGCCAATCACGGCCGAGCAGGTCAAGCAGGCCATTGACTCGACACTCCACCACGACACGCGCATCACCGTGCTTGGGCACGTCCAGCGTGGTGGAGCCCCGACCGTCTACGACCGTGTTTTGGGCACCGTCTGCGGTGCGCGCGCAGTCCAGTACTTGCTTCACAATGCCGGCCAGGTGCGCCCCGTTGTGATGGGCGTTTCTGGCTCAAAGTACATTACCATCCCGCTGATGGAATCGATCGCCTTGACCCAGAGCGTCCCCGTAGCCATCAAGAGCAAGGAATTTGCGCGTGCTGTTGAGCTGCGCGGTCCTGGGTTTGTGAGCGACGTGTGTCTGCTGCACCAGCTCAACTCGGCCGACCCGACCCACCGCCACGTGGGCACGCGCCCTTTCAAGATTGCCATTGCATGCGTGGGCGCGCCTGCTTCGGGCATGAACAGCGCCATCCGCGCAGCAGTGCTTGCGGCCGTGGATTCCTTGCACACGGTCATTGGGTACCACGATGGCTTTGATGGTATTGCCAAGGGCGAGTTTGAAGAGTTGACGTGGCTGAGCGTGTCGCAGCTGGCTGACAAGGGAGGATGCGTGCTCGGCACCAATCGCTCTGCCCCCAATATTGGGCAAGTGGCCACCTCGCTCCAGAAGCACGCCGTGGATGCTCTCATTCTCATCGGCGGCTTTGAGGCCTACACTGGCGCGCTCGCGCTCGTCCGTGCTCGATCCGCCAATCCTGCGCTGCGCATTCCCATCCTGTGCCTGCCCGCGACCATTTCAAACAACGTTCCCGGAACTGAGATGAGCGTTGGCAGCGACACGGCCCTGAATGCGATCGTGACATGCATCGACACCATCAAGCAGAGCGCCACCTCGTCGCGTGCGCGTGTGTTTGTGATTGAAACGCATGGCGGCAACTGCGGCTACTTGCCCGTCACGTCGGCCCTCGCTGCTGGTGCAGAGCGCGCCTACACTCCCGAAGAAGGCATCTCGCTTTCCACGCTGGTGACTGACCTGCAGCACTTTCAGCGTCGCTTCAGCGAGGGTGCCAACTGTGCCGTGATTGTGCGCGGCGAAAAGGCCAGCAGCACCTACACGACACCCGTCATTGAGGCCATTCTCGGAGAGGAAAGCCGCCAGCTCTTCACCTGCCGTTCGAACGTGCTGGGACACTTGCAGCAGGGCTTCACTCCTTCGCCGATCGATCGCATTTCGTCGGTCAAATTTGCCGTCCAGTGCGTCACGACCATTGTCAGCGAGTGCAACCGAGCGCTTGACGCAACCACCAACACTGTGCAGGTCGCCGGGTCGGAAGCTGCCTTCATGGTCGGATTGAAGGGTGTCGGAATCACGCTCACGCCTCTGGAAGAGCTGGTTGAGCACTCGGACTTTAAGCTGCGAGTGCCCAAAGCCCAGCTGTGGACAGAGGCCAACCTTCTGCTCCACGTGCTTGGCAAGTACGATTACTACAACGACGCCAAGACGCAAGCGCAGTAGCATGTTGCTTCCGGTCGTTTTATTGCGGACGGGACAAATGTGTGGTTGTTGTGCTGCTGCAAGAAGTGTTGAGCTGGTTTCCTGAAAGTCGTCGTGCCAAAAGCTGTGTTTTATTTTGCATACAACGTCTGTCCTGTCTCCAACCCGGCCATGCATGTTGTTGCTGTGCGTTGATCGGAGCGAGAATTTTCGCGGCCTCTTCCTTAACTTTGTTGTGCAAAACCAACGTTGGCAAAAAAGCATTGCATGTACTACCAACGAATCTACAGTAGCATTGTCCTACGAGTTGAATGTTCTCGTGCCCAACACAACGAAAATGCAGCGCAGCTCAGCCCAGCTCAGTCTTTCCATTCCACATGTCTGAACTGTTCTGGAAGAGCCTGCTTGTCGTGGCGATCGCCATTGCCTCTGCGTTGCTTACTGAAGGTGCGTCTCTGTGCTCCTGGATGACCTTCGATGTTGCCCTTCACTCCGACTTGTGCTGGATTGCAATGGGCGAGTGCGTGCTTTGCTTGTGTGCCGACTCTTGTTATGTGCTCTGCTGGCCTTCTTCCCTTTCCGTTCTGCCGACAGCAATCACCTACTTTCTCCTCTATCGCGATGAACAGTATCAGACAAGGAAGCGCGAGCTCGAGCGTGCTGCCCAGCAAGGTTGGTTGATTGGACTTTGGCCTCCATGATGTCGCAAACCGGCTGTGTGTGCGATCGCTCATCTCGGTGTCAAACCCCGCCTTGCGCTATTATTCTGAATTCGCTGCATTTGCAAAATAGTGGTCGCTATGAAGGAGTTTGGATCGGATCAACGCAGCCTTGAAAAGAAGGAGGAGATTGTCAAAAAGCTCGGCCGCGACTTTGCCACGTCCAAGATGCGAAGCTCGTTCGCCCTCATGTTTGTCTTTATCGGCCTCATGTGGCTGTGGAATCGCGTGTATGTTCGCCGACTAGTAGCGCGGATGGTTTGATGTGTTTCATTTTTGTGGCGATCTTATCTGGTCGGTGTTTTTGGTTTCTTTTGACAATTTTCGCATTTTGTAACCGTGGTTCAACGATTTCGGTGTTTGGCGTCCTGCAGGTTTGATCAAACCGTCATGGCCAAGCTCCCGTTCGAGCCCATCTCGTTCATCCAGGGATTGACCCACCGCGGACTCGAAGGCACCGACTTCACCGACTGCTCGTTTGTCTTTCTGTACGGTTTGTGCTCGACCAGCATTCGCCCGCACATCCAAAAGCTTCTCGGCTTTGATACTTCCCGTGCAGCAGCTGCCTATTCGGGTGGCATGTTTACTCCTCCGCAGCAAAAGTAACAAACGCCAAAATTGCAACAACCAAACAAACGTTTGCACAACAAAAAGTGTGATTTCATAAAAATACAATGTGTTTCCTTTGTGATCAACAAAGGCTGTTCAAAAGAGGAAGAAGAACAAGAACAAGAAGAAAAACGCAACCAACAACAAAGCGAAAATCCAATCGTGAAATTGAAGTGAAGAGGGAAGAAAGAAAAAAAGAAACTGGGATTGGATACCGTCGCCAAAGCACGACAAACAAGAGAGTAATCTCTTGGCTCGCGAGCCTTGGCCGTTTCCTAGACTAAGGACGCGACGCAAAAACAGAAACAACCAGAAAAGGGAACGCAACCTCCCCTCCTCTTGTTTTCTTTTTTTTTTTTTTTACTTGGAGCCAAGAGGAGTGCCCTTGTCCTTGCCACGCAGCTTGATGCCGACAGCACGCTCAATCTTGGCGAGGACTTGCTGGTTTGGAATGGCAGTGCCGTTCTCGTACTCGGCGACAACCTCCTGCTTCTCGTTCACACGCTGGAGGGGAGCAGAGTGAGGACAGAACAGCACATCAAAGTGAGCACAGTATCGCACAGCAGAGTGAGCACAGTGTCACACAGCAGCGAGAAACAGAAAGCATGCTTTTTGACAGCGAGAAAAAAAAAACACCTACAACAGCGAGGTCCTTGCGGGTCCACTCCTTGGCGGCACGACCCTGTTGAATGAGGCGGCCGACTTCCATGCCAACGGTCGAGTCTGTGGACAAATCCAGCAACGCGCGCATGGTGAGGAGGAGCAATGGAAAGGGGAAAAAATGGATGGAGCAACAAGATCAGTCTCGCACAAACCCTTCTCGGCAACCCCCCCCCCCAAGACCGGCTTTGCAACTTACGGTGGAGCTCCTCGGTCTCGCGATCCAGGCGGGCAGTGTTGAGGTCGGTGCTGTGGTTCTTGTTGGTGGCTGCAGAGACTGTGATTCGACAACAGCGTTCCAGAGTGAGAGATTCGTTGAATGTGAACACGGCAACGACAACGACAACAATGACCACGATGATGATGATGGTGAATGATGATGATGATGATGATGATGATGATGGGTCGGGTCGTAGTCGCATTGTTACGTCATATGGAAAGAAAGGAAGGCAAAGGAAGCGATCTCTCAACAGCAAAAACGAAAGCGTTTTGGAGTTCCTCTTCCGCACCGGACTCGAGCTATGACCGTACTCGAGTTTGCAACACGCAGCGCACACAAACCCCGCAGGCAGCGTGAATGGTGCAAATGAGCGGGAAACGGACACGGAGAACGCAAAACAGACAGAAAAGCAGAAAAGAAACGGAAAAAAAAAAAAAAAAAAAGTTCGATGACGTTTTGTGCAGAACGGGAAAGTGGTCGAAACTCAACCACCGCGGCCTTCAACTGTGTCATGCGACAGTGACCACAGACGAGGCAGCAGAAGAAGGAGGAAGGAAGAAGGAGGAGGAAGAAGGAAGAAGGAGGACGGAACAGAATGGCTGAATTCGCAATGCTCCATGCTCACTTACACTTCTTGGTGGTGTCGACGGCAGCACCCTGGCGCAGCGCAGTGTTGATGACAGTGTTGGAGCGCGCCTGGCCAGCAGAGGGCGTCTTCTTGCGAAGGTATGTTACGTTGTCCCAATCGTCAGACATTGTTTTGTATGCAAAATATTAAAAAAAAATTAGACTGGAAAACTTGAACCAAAAAAATTTCGCCCTTTTCATCAAAAAACTACGAAACAGAAGGGATTACGAAATTGAACGCGAATGACGAAACGTTGCATACAGTGTGCAATGACAGATCAAGAACGAACACGGTCATCATCATCATCATCATCACGATCAGGCGGTGGATTGAGCGTTGGCACCACGATCGGCATAATACGACGCGGCGGTGGTCAGACCGATGCCATGGAGATAGCGCGAATATGCCTGCATGGTCAACTGCTCGAGCTCCGCGTCGGCAGCATCTACGAGTGGGTTGAGAATGCCCTTTTCCACGCAGGCTTCGACGAGGAGCATGGCTGAACTCGTGTATCTCGTCGCGAGCAGCAGATTGATGGCCTTTCGGAAGAGTCTGAGAGACAGGAAGACAAGCACTGCTTGGAGCTGTTGCAAACACACGCACGCATACACACGCAAAACCGACAAGCGTGAGCAAAAGTCTCCGAATCAAAACGAAACGAAAAGAAACAAACTCCAAAAGCCAATACAAACGCCTTTACCCGCTGCTCGGAAGCAAGGAGCTCGTCAGACCATCGCTGCATCACTTCGAGCTGATCATTTTCGGGGAGGACACTCTGTCGCAGTTCCGAAAAGAGAAACACACACACACACACACACACACAAAACAAAAAAAAAACAAAGCGCACAACACAAAAGTCGAGCAAGTCAAGTCCATATCGCACACACACAAACACGACAAACATACAACAAACAATCACAGCAACAACATCACTCGCTCCCCTCCATCCCAATATTACCTTCGCCAGCCAAGCGGCGCGGCGCCACATATTGTTGGTTTGGAGATACCGGCACGCGTCGAGTGCAGCGCCAATAAGACACAACAGCTGGACTCCCTCATCAATTTCACCGCGAGCGATGAGATTGGTCGCCACAAGTTTGATGGTGTTGCGGAACTTGTCGGGGGAGACAACAGCCGCAACGAGGCAGGCTTTGAGCGCATCCGCGCGGTAGCTTTGAGAGCCGTCGCCAGCTGACTCGAGCAGCAAATCGATGGCTCGACCGTGCTCACCCAGCATAATGTGCTCGGACGCAGATCGGTTGCTGGTTTCGGCCGACGTCTTGCGGTGATTGCGGTGGAGTGCTGCGCGATCGAGCTGCCGCTCGCGGAACTCTTTGGGCTCGCACAAAAATTCAAAGCGCGCAGGAAGTGGCAGCACATGAGCGTTGCCGTTGTCGCCAACTGCTGCACCTCGTTGTGGAAGGCGATGAGCTGTGCTGCCATTCTCGGCCGCACCAGCGCCAACAAGCCCCACAGTTGCCACACCAACACCAGGACGAGCGTGGAGACCCTCGGGCCTGTCAAGGACGTTGCCGCGAACCTGATTGGCCGCCAAGGAAAGAGGCGAAGGAGAATGGTCGCGGAAGGAGCCTCGAGATGTAGTCGGCTCGAGATTTGTCCCGTTGTCCAACGTGGACACTGGGTCCTGCCTGGCGCCGCCACTGCTCGCTTGCTGTGACCGGCCTGCCAAGGGACTTCCGCTCAAAGCGACAGGATGATGATGAGGATGATGGCTCGTGGATTTGGAGGGCGAGCCAAACTCGATACCACTCGTATCAATGACCGGCATCGACATAGACGACGCGCGCGGACGAGCCGAGGTTTGCTGGCCCGCAATGCGTGCGACCTCCTTGTCCAGGTAGTGCTTGGCCACCGTCCAGAACGTCGTGTCGGACTCATCGCCAAAGTACTGGGCAAGCTGCAGGCACCGCTCTGCAACTCCCTGGGTGCTGTACAGTTGCGACGTCAACGCAGGAGGAAGTGCAGCTACGTGCCGAAGCACAGCTTGGGTGTGAGCGATATGGGCGGCCATGGAGCCTGCATCGGAAAAGGGGGCGATATGGGATGAATGGGTGCGGGTTTCGTGGTCGGCAGCTGTTGCGGTGGCAAGGGCGTGGCGAACTTCGGACGAGCCGTCCTTGCTGAAGCTGTTGAGCGCCTCGAAGGGGACCAAAGGTCCTTCAGGCAGCATTCCCGACGAATAGGTCGGCTGCGTGTGACCCGACACGTGCGGTGGCCTGCTGCTGAACGCCTCGGCTTCGAGCACGGATGGTCGCAGCGAGTACGACTCGCCCGTCCAACGTTGGTGCTGCAACAGCGACTTTAAACTCAGCCCCACAGCTGGAGGCATGGCTTGAGGGAGCGCCATGCACGGTTGTGGTAGATACGCAGTCATTGACGAAATGCTGCGACGCATGGAACGCTCGAACATTCGAAGACACCCGTCCGAGCAGAGGACTGCGAGTCGATCAGTCGTCACCCAGTCGACATCAACCAGACGCAACGGCATGGCGTAACCGCCGCCAACAGAGCCGCCAGAGCCGCCAGAGCCGCCACCACCACTGCTACCGCCGACGAGACCTCCGCTGCCTCCAGTCATGCCTCCACTGCCACCAGAGCTGCCGCTGCTGCTGTTGTTGCCACTACCACTGCCGCCGCTGCTGCTGTTGCCGCTGCTGTTGCCACCGCTGCTGCCGCCACCGCCGGCAGCCAATCCAAATGGGTTGAGCGACAGTCCGCCGCTCGAGCCACCGGATCCGAGTCCCGCGTTTCCGGACGAAACCGAGCTCCCAGAGTTGGATGAGGCGCCGCTGGCATTGAGCGGTTGCAGTCGCCATAGGCTCAGTCTTTCAATGCCAAGCCACACGTCCACAGTGTCGTTCGCATAAAGCACCATCAGCAAGACGTTGCCTTCGCCTGGCGAAAACTTGAGCCGACGAATGCGACCGTTTTGGGTCTGCACCGTTTTGTGTGTGCGCATCTTGACATCCCAGATGGTCAGGTTGCCGTTCGTGTCGCCTGTGGCAAGGGTGTTTCCCTTCCACGCAACAGCCGAAACGGCGCTCAGACCCATGTCGTGGGGCAACTCATCGCGCTCTTTGACAACCGCTTGGACGGCGGAAAAGTCGCGCAGGCCGCCGTCTGATTGCGTCAGCACAAATTTCTCTTCGATGGCATGCGTGTCTCGCTTGGATTTGTGGTGACCGCTGTCGTGGGAAACGGGAGAGCTCGAGTCCGCGGGCGGGATCATGGTCCAGTCCATCTCCTGGGCATCAACTCCATCGGGGACGCCGAACGAAGTCGCTGAGATGGCACTGGTCGATGTTGCAGCAGCAGCATGGACCAGACTGGTATTCTGCTTGCTGACTGGCGACCACTCCAGGCTGGTCACGTTCACGAGCTGGGGCAGATGCCTCAAAATGGTGCCTGTAGACAAGTCCCACAGCTCAACTGGCTGGTCGCGGAATACAAGAGCAACGTACTGGCGAAGGTGCGATGGACGCAAGCAGACAAGAGGTGACGCATCGGGATTGGCGCCGTTGCTGCTGCCACCAGCGTTGCTCCCGCCACCAATCGCGCCGCCGCCGCCACCACCACCGCCGCCACCACCACCACCACCACCACCAACGGCAGCAGAGCCGGTTGGGCGGGCGCGCAGCGGAGTACTCAGCCCATTGACCAGATCGGTCCGCATGACCAGGTTTCGCCAGGTGCCGTTCGGACCCGATTCCGACGAAAAGGAGAGCAAAGTGTTGGCATTCAACCACTCGATGCCGCGAACGGTCGCAGAATGAACACGAATCGAGCGACGCATGCGACCTGACAAGAGGTCAACCACAGAAATGACGCCCTCCGAATCACCCACGGCCGCCCATGCCAAACCTTCTTCTTTGACGCCCAGTGGTGCGCAACAAGAAGGGCTCGCAGGAAGCGCATCTAGCTGGCCAACCACCACAAACCGTGAAGTCTCTGGGCGAGATTGGGGAACAGGAGAAGAGGCGATTTCAGCGCTCGAGAACATGGGGACGCTCGCGGTAGGGCTGGCATCCAAGTTGATGAGGTTGTCCAGCGTCGTCGTGGTTGCCTGGGGAGTGTTAGCCCCTTGATCTGCATTGGCGCGTGCTGCAGTTAGAGCAGCATAGCGAGTGGCGTGCGCGGCGAGCGAGACATCCGGCGGGCGCACACCTGGAGACAGCGGCTGACGCGCCACCGTTTGCAAATGGTTGTCGCCGTCCGCCATGGAGCGCTTGCGAATGCGCGAGCCCCGGACAGGCGTGGAAGGAGGAGTCGATTCATTTGCGGCGGACGAGAGCAAAGGCGAAGGCGTGGCCGGAACAGACGGGGTTACCGGCTGAGGCGTCCAGGCAGAAACATTGGCGGGCGCTTGCAAAAAGATGCTGTAGTCCCACAAGAAGACTTTCCCGTCGCCATACGCAACGGCAAACTTGTTCTCGTCGCGAACACTGGAGCAGACCGCGTATGGTTTGGCAAAGCGTGCGAGACGAATCACGTCAGACTGAGCTCGCAGCTCAAACATAACATCACGCACGCCGCCTCGCCGGAGTCGGCAACTGAGGGTGCCGTTCTCGTGCGCGACAAACAGCACGTCGGGTGTAGAGCCACATGGCATGAGGGCCGTGATGGAAGGCATGGCTCGCTCCAGCCCAAAGCTTCCAACCACCTGCGTTGTCTCGACATCGAGGATGATCACCTCACGAGCAAACACAATGTAGAGACGACCGGGCTCTGAGGGAGAATAGACGGCGTCAATGCACTGCGCCATTCCGGCCGTCGAAGAAGACTCGGCTCCGGCAGTCGTTGAGGACTGGGCGTTCGAAGGTCGCGATTCGCCTGTCGCTGCCGCAATGACGTAGGAAAGCAAGGCCGATCCAGCACCAGAAACACCGCTAGCAAAGCCCGTGCTGCCGCTCCGTGTGGGAGGTGCACTTGTGCTCCCAGTCCCATGAACGGCCGTCGTCGGCGGCGTGGATGCTGGCGTTTGAGCCAGTTGAAACCGCTTGAACGAGGAAGAAGGCGCCGCATTCGGGCGCAAATCGTCCAAAAAGATGATGGATCGCTGACCAACCAAGGTTGCGCTCAAGTGGTTGAAAGGATCGAGGCTAAAGTGGTGGATTGGCTCGCCCAAGTTGATCACCCACAGTTTGTAGCTGGCGCTCGTGTCCCACATGGACAGATGAGACGGAGCGTGTAGCGCAAAGAGCAATCTTGGGTCTTGCGTGTGCCATTCCAGCGCAACCACTGCACGGCCTGGCCCAATTCCGAGCGCGGCAGAGGACGTTTGCGAGCCAGGGCTCGCGCTGTTGGAAGACGAGCTAAAGCTGGCTGCCGACGTGGCGAGCCCTGCGGAAGACGCGCGCTCTGGCAGCCCGCCGGAGGGGAGTAGGCCAAACTGGCTCGGTGCCGCCGCAAACGCCGATCCGCTGGGTTGCTGCTGTGGCTGCGTGGCTGCGCCATGATGACCCTCAAAGTACGGCTTGCCTTCAACAACCATCCAGACATAGATTCGACCGTGGTCATCGCCCGAGGCAAGTCTCAGCGTATACGGAACCGACAGGTCATGGAGGTAGTTTTCGCGCGCCCATCGCACGCAAGTGACTGGGGCACGATGGCGATCGAGGACTTGGACAATCTGACAGCAACAAAGGAGATTGGGGTGACGGGTGAGTGAGTGAGTGAGTGAGTGAGTGAGTGAGTGAGTGAGTGAGTGAGTGAGTGAGTGAGTGAGTGAGTGAGTGAGTTGAGTTGAGTGAGTGAGTGAGTGAGTGAGTGAGTGAGTGAGTGAGTGAGTGAGTGAGTGAGTGAGTGAGTGAGTGAGTGAGTGAGTGAGTGAGTGAGTGAGTGAGTGAGTGATTCGAGCCCCGACCAACGTCGGGCGATGTTTCGGCTCTTGATGAGAACTTTGCATGCTCGCTTGTCCTGGTGTATCAAATGTCATTACCTCTTGATCGGCTGGATTGACGGCAACGACGAGGCTTTGACAGCCGTACGCGACGAGCGATTGCCAGCCCCAGTCGATGGCGCCGCGATTCTGTGAAACGAGCGTATTGGGCGTGTGTGTGTATGAGGAATGGGAGAGTGTGTGTTGGGTGATGGACGGGTCGGGACAAAGCCATTCAGTCAGTCAGTCAGTCAAAGCGCAACAAGTTGGAAAATGAGACTTCATCCGAATGAACCAACCGCCCATACAACGCGAGCCAACGCCACGCGCAAACCAAAGCAAAACAACATTCAACTTGCAGACCAAGTCAGATGAGACGAAGGGCGGTTCCTTACGCGGGGATGCAGCGCGCCAGGCAGCGTTCGTGGTGGCCAATTCATTTCGTCTTCTTGCTTTGCCCAGAATCGCAAATCTCAATGAGGAACAATGAAGAGTGCGACTTGCAAGTGATCCGTCCAATGATCTTGGACGTTCAGGGTGTGGCTACTTTGACTTGTTCTGGTTGTTGTCGCTCTTGTTGTGGTTGTACAGTATTCGGCAATGGTGATGGAACACTCGTGCGCAAAGATTGAACGAGTGGACTTTGGTATTGAACACACATGTTTTGAACAAACGTAAAATGAACACTTCTGACCGAACAAACGTGGGAGTGAACATAGTCGTACTGAACGTTGCTGCAATTCGAAGTGAACGACCTGCCCATGGCAATCGAACCAAGTGAATTGAACAATGTTCTGCAATGACTGGACAAGCTTCTCCACGGCACCGAACATGCCAGATTGAACAGTCATGCAATCTCAAAGGAGTGGTTTATCGCAGCTTCCCGGCATCTCCAAGCATGGTGGACATGACAAAAACATCATATTTACAAAAGCACGCAAAAGCAAAACACAGAATTTTTTTATTCTCGCTTGGGTTTGGTTTTTTTTTTTTTTTTTTTTTACTGCAGTCATCATCACCTCGCTGGAAAGCTCGGTTGGAAGAGCATCAAGCCAGTGTATTTAATCCTTGATATCTTCGAGCTGCGCACAAGGGAAGGCATACTTGCTGACATGGACAATGGAGCGGCTGCAATTTTGCGCCGACACTTGGCGAACAGCATCTTCAATGCGGCGATGGACTTTCTCGCCTTTTTTCAGAGGAGTGCGCTTGAAGCAAGATTTAATCTTGCCAAAAACATATTCAATCGGGTTGAGGAATGACGAGTACGGCGGAAGATACAGCAGACGGTAGTTCCTACGCCAAAAGTAGTTGCGCAGGCTGGCTGTTTTGTGGAAGCTCGCATTGTCCATCACAATCCACGCCTTGTACGTTCTGCCATCTCGCGGGAAAGAGCGGCCGTACTTCTCTTCCGATGCGATCAGCAAATCTGCGTTGTCGTTGCCTTCCTCCGCCTCGTCTTGAAAGCATTCAGCCTGGGAAGGGTGATAAGCTTCCTCATCGTCGTCATCATCATCATCATCATCGTCGTCGGCATCGTTCGTCCATAGGGCTTCAACAGCGGGAGGGTAGGTGTAGGTGGATGTGCGGATGGGTGCTGCGGCGCGGGCTGAAGTTTGGGATGACGGCTGCACAAGTTGTTGGAGACGACGCGTCCGCATTGGATGTCGCAGGGAAGAGGTGCCTGTGGAGGATGCTGGGTGACTTGCTGCTGCTGCTGCTGCGGAAGACCACTGCCCAACGTCGTCGGCAGAGTTGTCCTCATCCTGGATGTCGTCTGTAAAAGCTGTTGAGCGATGGTGCCCTCGCGGTAGCCGACCACGCCGGCGTCGTAGTAGTTCCGACGCCGCATGAGTATCTCGCGGCTGCGTACGTTGCTGTGCATGGAGCGACACACCTGCTGCAGCACGATTCGAAGGGGATGAGGCTGCGGCATGCTGCGTCAATGTGCCGGCATGCTGCGCTGATGGTCCAGCATGCTGCATCGATGTCCCAGCGCCGGTACTGGGAGGTGCAGGGGCAGAAGAAGAGGAGGGCGCTGGAGCACTCGAGCTGCTGTTGTTGTTGTGGTTGTGGTGGTGGGTGTGATTGCTGTTGTTGTGCTCGCTCTGTGATGGCTCCTCTGCGCTCAGAACCTTCCCGTGAAACTCGACATACTTGGCAGACCCTTCATCCTCGAGCTCTTGCTCTGGAGCCTGGTCGCTATCGTTCTCATCGTCGCTCGTGCCGTGGTCTTCGTCGTTGCGGAAGGAGTCGCCGGCAGTGTGTGGCTCAAGTTCGCGACCTTCCAGCACGTGAATAAACTTGGCCATCGTCCGTTGGAATACATGCTGGTTGACAGGGCCGTGGTGGATGTCGTAGTGCACGACACCCGTATCGCCAATCACACAAATTAGTGTCCAGTTCGGAGCACGAATGGAATCGACGTTCTTGAGCGCGCGCTTGCCCTTCGGAGCACGCCCACGGCTGCGATGCATGTTAATGTTGAAGCCACACTCATCGACGTAGAAGATGCGCGATTGGGGAATGTTCGCATTGGCCAAGTCCTGAAACCACTCTTGGCGCTTCATTTTGACCGCCATCGAGTTTTTGCGAGTGACCTGCTCATAGATCATCTTGAAATCAATGCCCATGCGCTTGACATGCCGACCGATTGTCGTCGCGTTGACTTTCACATCAAACTTCTCGTGCAACTTGTCGGCCAGCATGCCGTTGGTCACGGCGCAGTCCTTGTCGATTTCTTCCGCCAGGAATTCCTCCATTTCCCTCGTCACGACTGTCCGATTGGGCGGCTTGGAGGCACGAGGCTCTATGATACCAGTCTCGCGAAACTTGGTGCACACATTGTGCACGGTTGCGACCGGGACATCAAGATAGTCTGTAATCTCGCGAAAGGTGCACAAGTCCTCGTCGCGCAATGCAACAATCTGCCTGCGCAAGTCCAGGGACATGCGCTGGCGCTTGCGAGGGGTAGCTTGGGCAATCTCCTGGTCGTCGTTGGCGTGTACGGGCATCACTCGTTGGCGAATGCAGGACTGTTCAGGTGCTAAAGTAGGCAGCGTTCATTATTTAGAGTGCAGTGTTCAATGTGAGAAACTCTTTGTCCAATCGCGAGTCACGGTTTTGTCAATGTCGCAGTGTCGTTCGGACCTTGTTGTTCAAAAGCGGCTGTTCAACGGGTGCTGTTCAAAGTATTTGCATTTTTGTCCGGATCAACTTTGTCCAATGCTCACATTGTTCAAAACCGATTGCAGCAATGTCGATTAAGAAATGTTCAAAACATGTGTGTTCAATACCAAAGTCCACTCGTTCAATCTTTGCGCACAAGTGTTCCATCACCATTGCCGAACACTGTATCTCTGCTTCATCCGTTTTGCTTTGCCAGTCTGTCTGCCTGCCTTCGTTTGTTGTATGAATGTTCGCGTCTCTGTTGTCTGTCCGTTCATGAACGTTTCTTCATTTGGAACTCGAGCATGCATTCATTCAAACAACACGACAAAAGACAATCACGAAACGAACATCGACCAGATTAAGTTCGCCCCTTCAAACAAACCGAGACGATACCGCCGTCGTCCTACATTTGTCCTACATTTTGCGCAGTTCGTCGGCAGGAATCAAATCCCAGCTGAATGGATGCACAACAACAGAATCCCATCAGCTTCAAAGGAGAATGCCAACCACAACACCAAAACATGAACAAACCGGACAGTGTCCCACTTACTTGCTCTTTGCGAGTCGAAGGCGACCACCGCTGGCAAGCTCAGCCTGTTGCAGTGCCGTCCAGCCTTGAACCCGAATCCAGGAGGGGTCACAAATGTTGCTCAAGCTAGCACCATAACCTCCAGAGTTAGCAATACGTTCCCTTGCACAGAGCAGCTCGCACTTACATCAGCACACGCAAAGACTTGTTGCAACGGATGGCCGCTGCAATAGCGATCGCACCTGCATCTTCCACGCGGTTGTCGCCCATGCTGTCATGCAAGATCATTCTTGTGGGGTGAGGACCAAGGAATCAACGGACTGCACGCTTTCCTCAACCTCAGTATCGCTTCGCATACAACAACTTGACCAGACCAGTGTTCACCCTGAGCGCTTCTGCAATCGCGATCGCGCCTTCATCGTCAATGTTGTTGTCGGAAAGCCTGTCGCCCAACCAAAATCAATCGTCAGTAAACCTGCACATTGTTCAGTTAACTCTACCAAAAAGCAGAAAGCCTTGCCACAGCTCTCCCAGCGTGTTGTTCACTTTGAGCGCCTCAGCAAGGGCCTTGGCTCCTTCCGCTTCGATACCGTTTTGGTACAAACTGCGTCCTTAAAATGAGTCAAAACTGAAACGCGCTCTTCCAGTCCACACGCCACAAAGCACACTCACTCGAGCTTCGTCACGTTCTTGTTCACTTTGAGCGCAGCCGCAACGGTCAGCGCGCCTTCATTGCCAATGCGCATCTGACTCAGTCTGTATGTCGGTGTTCAAAGCAAACAAAAAAACCGACGACTCGCGCAGTACTGAGGAAGACTTTCGTGACATGCGTCACCAGCAGAAGTTTTCATCTTACGAAACACAGCCAGGTCGGCCAGTGCCAGGGTTGTCTCCATTCTTAATCAGGTCGTAAATGAACCGCTGCTCAGGAGTCAAGGCTTCATAGAAAGCACCTGCCCCAAATCAGAGCGTCGGAAGGTAAGCCAATCGTGCATCGCGCTTGGTTGATGACATGGTGGCACTTACGTTGATCATCGGAGCGCCAGACAAACGAAAAGACGTAGTTGCCGAGCGAGCGTGCCGTCCGCCGGAATCGCGTCAGTGCCTCAGCAAACACCGAGCCGAGTGGCTCGTGAGTTGGAGGTGCAGTAGCAGCAAGGGAGGTGTGTTCGGGGTTCCTCAGCATCTTGTCGTCAGAGCTGCCAAAAGAAGCAAGTCGATTGCCGATTGGAAGCGCCGGCGGTGAGGTAAGTGCTTGGGGTTGAGCAGCAAAATTCCATTGTCGGACAAGACTTTTCCACCTGTTGGAGCCACTAGAAGCGCAAGAAGGAGACGTGTGAGGACAATCACTCCTCGCAACAACCAGCACCGACATGGGTCTGAGTATAATACCGATCAGGCACAAACCACAACCGCTTGTCTCCAATCGGCCGGGCAATAAACGCCTTCAGCACCTCCTCGCTGAGCGGGTTTTCCTCCAGGCTGCGATAATTTCAAAAGATGAGTGTTGGCTTATTGGGATCAAACAGCAGTGAAACTTGATCCACACTCACTTCAAACACCACAGCTTTTGGTGAACTCTCAGAGCGTCCAACAGGCCGGAGACACCCTCTTCCGTGATGTGGTTCTGGTCCAAGCTGCGATTCAATCACACGATGGGATCCAATGTCGCACGAGCAATGTCATCCAGTCAGAACAGAAACAAACGGAAAATAGGACAGGATTATCAACAAGAGCCAAAGCATACCTCATGATGGACAGCGTCTTGAGGTTGATTTTCAGAGCCTCCGCAAGAGCAATTGCGCCCGAATCACCAATCTCGGCATCATTCAGTCTATATGTGTAGTTTGTGTAAGTGGCGATCTCGCCCACATCAACCTACAAACGGTGAAAAATATCGTACTCGATGCGCCAAAGAGCCGTGTTTTCTTTCAGACCCTCAGCAATGGCGGCAGCGCCCAAGTCGCCAAGCGGGTTTCCCGACAAACTAAGTGATGATGAGTTGAAAATCAGCGTCGCAGGCCTAGCTCCAGCTGCAATCTGCGCACTATCCCTTAGCTTACTTCAGGAGGTGGGGCACTTTCAAATGAGGCAGAGCTTGCCCAATCGCTTGCGCACCTACATGCCCAATCTGGTTGTCGATCAAACTATCAGAGGAAGGATGGTGTGAGCAAACAGTCGAGAACAGCAAGAATTCACAGATACTCGAATCAACAACAGCACGAAACTTGCCGGATTTCAGTCAGAGAAGTGGTCGCCTGAAGGATTGTGGCGACCGAGAGTGCAAGCGTGTCGTCAATGTTCATGTTGGTCATGCTGTTTCGTGTACAATACAGCACATGTTTTGAGTATCGTCAGTGAAGGACAACGAATGACATTGCAAGCGAAAATCCAAAATCTCAACGCTATCCGCTGCGAAATAACTCCATAATTTTTCATGCCGTACTCCAATTCGGTGAGAATCTTGTTCAATCCGATGGCCTCAGCCAGGATGGCCAGGCCAGTGGCAGTGAAGCGAGTGCCCATGAGACTGAAACGACAAACAAAGCACAAAAAGTCGTGAGAACAACACAGCGCGATAATATCGACACGCACAACAGCCACAGTCACGCAGTAGGACACGAACTCGAGCTTGGTTCGGGTCGTGTTGACTTTGAGACCTTCGGCAAACACACGAGCAGTGGCGTCGTCAAACACTCTCAGTCGGGGTCTGAGACACCATTCACATATAGTTTGCAGCTCTTTGAGTGACAGCCATCAACAACGGTTGCACTTTCCCAACGACCATGAGCACCAAAACGAGGTCGTACGCAAATTTATCGCCCTTTTCCATGAGGCTCTCAAGCAGCTTGCGTTGCACCGGCGTCAGGTTCTGTCGCACATCTACGCATGTTTGGAGATCACCAACACGTCACAAAAAGTAAGTCGACGGCGTGCAATACGAGAATCGAGCCCCTTGGTGTCTGTGTGCTCGCACCTTCAGGAATCAGGGGCGACAACTCGGGGCGAAGAGGCGGGTAAATGGTCGCAGGATCTCGTTGCATGTCAATGAAGAAGCTGATGTCTCCGGCGTTCGGTGAGTGAAAGTGACACAAGATTTCAATTTTCGCTTCTGCGCAAAGGCTGGCCTCACCGATGATCGAATTTTGTTTTCGCCTCTTGTTCGGAAATGCCAATGATATTGTATGACAGCCTAGAACAGTGTCAGCGCAGCGAAACAAGACGTCTAAAGAGAGCGATGGTCAAGAACAAGGAGCAAGCACTTGCTTACTCAATATACTTGAGTTCGTTGGATGGAACATTCTCCAGAGCCTTTGAGAAGGCGCGCGCCCCGACTTCAGTGATCTTGTTCTTGCCCAATCTACAATTGTCGCGCGTTAGTTCAACGGTAGGTACCGCAGCAAAACCGTCGAACCACTCACTTCAGGTTCGTGAGTGACTTGTTGTGTTTGAACATATCAGCCAAGGCGATCGCTCCTGCGTCACCAATCTCGTTTTCAGACAAACTGCCGCGATTGTTAGCTCAAAACTAAAAGTCGAGAAACAGCAAGCCGAGATGTCCAAAAACACCCACACCAGCTCCTCAAGTGCCTTGTTTTGTTTGAGTAAATCAGCCAGGACGATCACTCCTGCGTCACTAATCTCGTTTTGAAGCAAACTGCCACGATTGTCAGCCCACATCGATTGATAGAAATACAACCAAACATAGCTTGGAAACATGTCACTGCCAAACACTCACATCAGAGATTTAAGCGTTGGGTGACCACGCAACGCATGGACGAGCGAGATTGTACCGTCGTCCCCAATAGCATTGCAACCAAGGCTGCACAAGAGAGCGATATATGGATTATTGATGAGTAATTGATTGCAACGTGTCGTGTCTACTTGCGAAACCTTACTGCAAAAAAGTCAACGTCTTGTTCAGTTTGAGGGCTTCGGCGATGGCTTGCACGCCTGCTACACCAAACTCATTGCGGGGCAAACTATCCGTTTTGGTTGCTCTCGATGAGTTTCTGTGTTGCAACCGCCTTCTCGGCCATCCGGAGGTTTCTTACAAGAGCCGAACGTAACTGGTCCTGACTTTCAGCATGTCGGCAATCGCACGAGCACTATCGACATCCAGGGCGTTGTCGTTTAGACTATCGACATCCAAGGGGAATGAGTGTATGCTTGGTTTTGGCAAGTGGAACGATCAAGCGAATGCATGAAACTACACTCACCTCAGCTTGGTCACGGCTTCAAGGTCCTTGAGCACCTCCATAAGCTGGACCACTCCAGCAGTTCCCAAATTGTTGTCACCCAGACTGTCGGGTATTGTATGAGTTTGTGTGAGGGATGCGGCACAACGTGCAGTTCGCTAGTACGACTCACTGGACAATCGTGATCTCTGGATTGAGCCACAGCGCTTGGATGATGACGGGCATGTCCTCATCAACAATATGACGTCCAGAAAGACTGTTTCAATGATCAGTGAGCAGAACTGAGTGCTTCCGACGAGTCGGTCGGTTGATGCTGACAGTGAGTGAATTGGTTACTAGAGCTGGGTTTCGTCGTATTTGACTCCCTCGAGCCATTTGAGGTGCCTCTTGTTCATTCTGTTGCGAGCATGACAATCGTCACAAGATGATGTTGGCGACGAGTGAGTGAAGTGTGAGCAAGCGGTCTCGAGACAGCAGCTCGCATTTCATGTTGCGCTCCTCACTTCAAGCCACCAGTGCTTCCGTGGGCTGAAGGCCTCTCGACAGGCTCCTGTGACATGGCTTGATTGATCTGCATCGAGCGAGGAGACGAGGGTGTTTGGGAGGGGAAGGGCCCCCAAGCACGAAAAAGTCAGAACAAAGGCAAACGACTGAGAAGCAGGCCAAAGGCGTAGCGTCGCTCTGCAACTGCAACAACGATACGACAAAGCTTGCTCATCATCTTTTAATCAGCACTCACAGCCGCGGCTGCTGCTGCTGAAGGAGCAGAGACGACATGTAGGTGCATTCCAGCTGCGGCTGCCGCTTGCTCTGCTGCTTCGAATACGCTCAGACTCATTGGGTCGACATTTGTACTTCAACCAACAGCTCAACTGATCGGGGCTTCGGCAGGCAGATCTAGTTACTGCCGTTTGGCTTTGTGAGGTTTCTGTTTGTTGTTGTTTTCTCAGAAACTTGACCAAAAAAACAAAGAGTGGCGGCGTCCTTTCCTAAACGAGGATGACAGTAGGACGATCTCTTTCAGTACTCGTTGCTCGTTCTTTGTGTCTGGCTGAGTGCTTGCTGGTTGCCCTTTCATTTATTCTGTCTGTGCTCCTTTCGATGCCTTCTTTCTCGCTGTTCCTTTCATCTGCTGTTTTCTTGTTTTCTTGTGTTCTTGGGGGGGGGGGTTTCTTTTGTTCTGTTTTCTTATTCTTTTCTCCCATTTCTTTTTTTCGTCGTTTTCATTTCTCAGTCGTTTTCTCAGTCGTTTTCTCAGTCGAATTTGATCACTTGACCTCGACTCCAATACAAAACGAACCGAAAAATCGAGGACAACACAAGCAACTCGTCAATTTGAGACACGCCGCTTTTTCCATCATGAGCGGTGCTGGTGCTGCTGCTCGTAGTAGTAGTGGTGCTGGTGCTGGTGCTGCTGCTGCTTCGATGCCGGTGGACATTGGTCGACTGGTTGCAGCGACGCGCGCAATTGACACGCACGTCCTCACTCCAGCAAGCTGGCTGCTCGCCCAGTACGCCTCGCTTATCTGCTGGACGTCGCGGCCACGCTCGTTGCTGGGAGTCCTCGGCTGGACGCTCGTCGTGCTGCTGCCAGAAATCGTCGTCGCCGTCATCGTTCTCGCTGCCATCACGCTCCTTGGCTGGAATTACATTACGCGCTTCTCTGCCGCGCCCGACGCTGCGTCTGCCTTTGCGCGCGGGGCAGCTTCATCTTCCTCATCTTCATCATTGTCCCGGCAGCAGCACCAGAGCGTCGTGGCATCCGCTGCGGCAGCTGCCGCGCTGGGACTTGCCCGACCAGCAGCTGCAGCAACCAGCTCGGCGGACGGCTCGATGCAGCATTCGGGCGTGGCCACCCCGCCGTCAGGAGGGACCAGCCAGCAGCACGGCGGAGGCGGGACGGGCAGCAGCGGGCACCGGTCGCGTGGATCGCTCGAGCACTCGCGGTCGGCGTCGCAATCATCGCTCCAGCTGCTCGATCTGGACGAGGACGACGACCAACAGCAACAGCAACAGCAGCAACAACAACAGCAACAACAACAGCAACAGGCCCATCATCCGGCTGGGAATGCCACTCATCATCACAGCAGCAGTAGTGCAAGTCCTGCTGCGCAACACCGCGCTGAGCTCCCTCAAGGCACGACTGCCACTGCGTCCCCAGCAGACATGCAAGAGTTTCGCCACTATCTTCGAGTATGGCAGCAGACAAGCGATAGCCTCGCTGTGGTCGTCCTGCTCGTCGTGGACCTTTTTGTCTGGACGAATCGCGTTCGATCCATCACGCTCCTCTGGCTCCTGGGCTGCGCCATTCTGGTTGTGTTAGTACTTCCGTTTTGGCTGTCAGTTCTGCTCGCTGGCTATGTTCCGTTCGTCCTGTGTAGCACGCGATTGCGAGGTAAAAGCTGTTGCGTTGCGTTTTGTTTTGTTCTGCTTGATGGGCTATCGCTCCAGATCTGACTCAACTCTCGTTCGCGTTGTTGGGGAAAATTGCAGCAATGGCAGCATCCGTGGTGCGGAGACTACCTGTTGGTCGCCTCTCGTCGACCCTTGGAGTGGCGTGGGGTGAGATCTTCGACAAGCCAACGACCAAAAATACCGCTGATGCCGCCATGGCTGCAGCGGCGGCTCGCGGCGCAGACCTTTCTGAGCAGTTCTCCTCTTCGTCCCGCATTGTGCACGTGTCGCAGGCAGGCATCGCTCAAACTCGCGTTGAGAATGACTTTGAGTTTGTTGATGAGGTAGGCAAGCTCTTGCCTGTGTGTCTGTTTTTGTTTTGTGAGAGGGTTTTGATCACGCACGCACGCTGATTTTTGGTGCGATGCTGATTTTAAACATGTTCCTGAATGATCTTCTCGTTGCTTCTGCGCATTAGGCCTCCTCGCGGGCCATGAATGGGTCGGCGCTCTCGGGAAACGGGGCTGGATCGGCAAAGAAGAAACAAGACGGACTCCGAGAACGAATCTCAACCGGACTCAAAAAACGGCAAACCGAGCTGGCGGGTAGTTGTGCCAACTGCCGAACATCATTTTCGCACCTGCTCGTTAAGCGCTGCACATGCGCGAGCTGCGGAGACGCGTTCTGCACCAATTGTGCCTCGAAAAGCGTCACACGTGCAGTCCTCGGCGCCACTGCCCCAGCCGCCTTTGAAGAGACTGTTCGTGTGTGTTCCGGCTGCTATGATCAGCTGGTTCGACGATGATTGGTTTTTCTCTTTTTGGATTTGTTTTCCCCCCCCCCTCTCATTCTGTGTTGATAGTCCGTGTGATGTCTTAATAAATCTAAATTACTTTTTCTCTTTTGATAGGAGAACGAGCATCGTCAGGAGCGCGAATAATCGTCGACATCTGATGAGCAATGCTGAACAAAAAAAAAAATCAACAATGAAATTTCCAATTCGAAAAATGCGCTGTTATGAAACCAAGAGGGTCGCACGCAACCTTCAGGCACAACACAACATGCACACGTCACAATGCAATAACAATGCAGGGGATATGCAACAAGGAGCACCGCCTGTGGATGCCAAAAGCTGTAAACGCTTGGCAGTCCAAAAACAAACAAAAAAGCAAAGCAAACGCTAATACAAGAAACCCAAAACAAACACCTCTACGCAAAGCTCTCTCTGTTTGGCGCGGCCGGCTTCTTGGGTTTGTTGACCATCGCGTACAAGGCCTCGGGTCTTGGCAAAGGCGTGGGTTTGACAGGACCCGCACGATTGCTGGACACCGGCTTTGGCTTTGGCTTGGTTGTGGGAGTCGCGTACTCGCTGCTTGGGGGCTTCTTTTGGTCGGGAACTGCGTAGCCACCGCCAGAGACCGTATCGACAGGCGAGGTGTACACGGGACTGGCGGCACCAGCAGCAGCCGAATAATAGGTATCGTCGCCTGGGTAAGCGTCCGAGGGAGCGCTGTACACGTCTGCATCAATCTGACTAGCATCTGCCGGTGCATAGTACACATCGCTCATCGAAGGTCGGAAGTCTGCGGGAACCTGATACATGCCCTCTTGGCTTGCTGAGGCGGAATCCGGCGACGAATAGATGGGCTCGGGAGGTGGTTTGTGCTTTGAAAGTGGCTTGGCATGCGCCTGCATCGGAGCCACGAGTTCCATCGTGGAGGGACCTTTCGGCATCCCAGACTGTTGACAGCGACGTCGGCGGATGACGAGCGCCACAGCAACAGCAACGACCACGAGCAAGGCGACCACAATTCCCGCAATGATACCAACAGGAGAGCTGGCACCGCTGCTCGCAGGGTCGGCTGCAACGAAAGCAGTCGAAGTCGCTGCAGCGATGGAAGCGGATAGGGCGGATTGGACAGAAGCCACAGAGTTGGCGGACGCTGCAGCCACAACGGAGGCCACTGACGCTGCCGACTGTTCTCGGGCAGACTTGACAGACACAGACGACAAACTTGCAGCACTCTGAGCAGATACAGACGACACGCTTGCGGCACTTCGAGCAGATGCAGACGACAAGCTTGCTGCACTTTGAGCAGATGCGGACGAAGCGCTTTTGGCAGACGCGGACAAAGCACTTGCAGCAGATGCGGACACGGCGCTAGCAGATGAAACACTCGCCAAGAGCGCCGACACGGAGACTTGCGAAACGGATGCAGCAGAGGCAGCAGAGACAGAGGACACGGACAGTACCGAGGCCCGCACCACTGACGACGTCGATACGCGGAAGGCTGATGCAACAGAAGCCGAGGATTGCGCGGCCAGCGCGCTTGAATCCACCTCGGGCGTTGCCGACGAAATGGCTGCGATAGAAGCCGAGGCGGCAGAAACTGAGACAGCCGATGCCACCGCGGCAACGGAAGCAACAGAAGCAGAGACGGCGGATGCCACCGCGGCCACTGAAGCAGCAGAAGCCGAGACAGCTGAAGCAGATGCGACAGACGCAACTGACATGCGGGATGCGGAACTGACAGAGGCCGAATAAGCCGACGTGGATGCCGCTGCACGCACGGACGACACGGATTTGATGGACGCTGAGCTGGCCGAAACGGAGGCTGCTGAAGCCGAAGCCGCCGACGCAGACGATGCGGAAAGCGCCGATACGGACAGCACCGACGACGCGGAAAGTGCTGGCAGCAGCGTGTTGGCGGGGATGTTGTAGACACTGGTGGCGCTAGTGACCAGTTCAAAGTACATGTCGTCAATGTAGAAAGTCGGAGTGGAGGGGTTTTGAGTGTTCCAAATCCAAAATCCATCAAACCGGCCGGTGATTCCAGCCGCAGCCAGGTTCACCTCGAATCTCCGCCAAGTGTTGGCCAAGAGTGGATCTGAATCGCTCGTCAGCACGACTCTCGTGCCAATTTGAGTGCTGCTGCTCGGAACCTGAGAGATGAATTGCAGTTGAATCGAGTTCTGCCCGCCAGAAGGTCCGCCATTCATCCAGAAGACTAAATCCGTGTACGAGTCTGCGCTCATGCATGGTGGGTTTTGGCAATTGATGGAAACTGCTTGCCAGGAGCCGCACGTTGCCGCAATCGAAGTTCCCGATCGTGAGTACGTGTTGGAATTCGGGTTGATCGTGTCGCACCAGCCCCAGATGGCCAAAGCAGAATTCAAAGCATCCGTGTAGACATCGAGCGCACGAGATTCAATGGGGAAGACGGAAGTGACAGCAATGCCTGCTGGTGCGGCTGCGGAAGAGCCAGGGACTGGAGGTGCCGGATTGGAGCCAGTGGTCTGCCCGGGAGCCGGCCCGGTCGAGGTGGCAACAGCTGCACCAGTCGTGGGTGCAACAACGGTAGGATTTCCGGCTTGGAGCGCAACAAGGTACGCAACAGCACTGGAGAAGGGGCCGTTGTGGTCGCAAGCAGGCTCGGCCTGCTGATAATTGGAACGAACGTCGCTGTAAGCATCATTCTGGTCTGGACCACCGACAATCGCTCCATAAATGATGTGGGTATTTGGTGTGTTGGCGTTGAAGACATCCCAGCCGCACGGAACGTTGGTTGAGTAGAGGGGGCACGACGCACCGGCGTGGTGTGCTTGCTTCGGTGGGTTTGTTCCAAAGCCAACAATGAAGCTGCGGCCACTGCTGCCCATCACATAGTGCAACTGGTTGATGGCAAAGTCAACATACGACTGTGAAGAGGTGCCTGTCGTGCGGCCGTTCAGCGTTCTGGATTGGGCGTGGAACATGGCAATCCAAGCCACATTGGTTGCCAGGGTGAGAACGCCCCAGTCACTGCGATACGCAAGTCCCTTGGGAGTGTATGGTACTGCGCCACCGCCGGGGAGCCATCCATTCAAGAAACTCTCAACGGCGGAAGCCTGGGCGTTCGATGAAGCTGGCGCGAGCCGATAGGTGAGCGCCCACACAGCTGCGTCCTTCAGGTCCCAGCTGTAGCTCCACGGTGTGTTGGATGTTGCAAACGTTGTAGCATCGGTGAAGTAGCCCGCCGTGTTGGTGGCGCGGTACAGCCAAAGCGCAGCCCACGCAAGTTCGTCCTTGTAGTCTGAAGACGGGTAGAAAGAGTTGGAATACTTGTTTGGATACGTCTTGGCAAAGGTGTAGAGTTGCTGAGCATGCGTCAAGCATTGCGCAGCGTACGTCGCATTGACGCTCTGAAACACCATGGAGGCAGCTGCAAGGGCAGCCGCTACCTCGCCCGCGACATCGGCACCGGGCGACGAAGGATTAATCATAACGGTCGGGCGCGCATTGGTTCGAGTCTCGGGCGCCATCCTGCACGGACGCACCCAAAAAAAAAAAACAAGAAACCAAATCCCACGAAAATGAGATGTTGTCAAAAGAGCACCACCGTTATTATCGACACGCTCGAAGCAATGTGCTCGACAATGATTGCACTGGATCAATGCATGACATACCATTGCTGGTGCTCATCGTCAGGATTGCCAATTTGAATGTAGAGCGAGTTGGGGCTGACATGGCACTTGATAAAGTAGTCTGTGCCCCATTTGATGGCATCGCGAATGCTGCTCGATCGATCGATCGACAACGCAACATGCCAAACCGTGAGATCGATGAGTTGACAACGCCACAAACAAATCGCGACGGAGCCATACTAGGCGACTTGGCCCGCCTGTTGGTAGCCCGCCGGTTGGTCGAGAAGGCCCCACGCGAGGTTTGTGACCGAAAAGGCCATCGGTAGTGAGAATTTGATATGATCGCCGGCGTCCATGTAGCCCTAGAATGGGGGCAGGACGCCATTTCCAGTTGAGTGCAAACATGGCAACTGGAAGTCTGAAACCACATTCAACACACTTACACCAGTGAGGTCCTCGTTCGAAGTGCCCTTCTCGTACAAGAAGGTGTCTCCGCGCCATGGAATGCGGTTGTTGGCTGGCAGCTTCCCTGCGCGTTGAGCCTACACAGCCATGCACAATAACAGTCACAACAGACATGTCAGATACAAGATACAATAAAAAAAAAACCATCAAACATCGTGCCATTGAGGATTAAAAAAAAATAAAAAATAAAAATAATAAAAATAAAATAAAACAAAGCGCCCCCCCCCCCCGACGACCTTGAACAGACGAGAGTTCGTGTTGTCAAAAATCCCGTTTCGCGCTTCACAAGCAGGACAATGACCAAGCGAGGCAGAACGCGACGACTTGTGCTATTCAATAAAAATATTAAAAAAAAGCAGCCACGGCGGGTCGGAGTGTCGGCCGAGGACGCCTGAAGCGGGACTACGCACCTCGTAGAAGAGCAGCGACATCTCGAGCACTTGCGTGTAGTTGTATGAGCCGAGGGCCTGCGTCGGAGCGGCAACCGCCACGCCCGAGACAAGTGCGAGCAAGGCCGTCACTGCAGCAACAGCAGCAACAGCAGCCATCCAAGCCGTCTGTCGCCTGACGCCACCGCGCATCATCCCCTGGCCTTGTTGTCTGTTGTCGGCTGTGTGCGTCTCTGTTGTGCGTGTGTGTCGGGTGTGTGTCGGGTGTTTGTGGACTGCAGAAACTTGACAAGATGCTGAAAATCCAGACGAAAGCCAGAAAACGAGATGGCGAATGAAACACAAAAAAAAAAAAAAAAAAAAAAAAAAAAAAATGATCTGCTTTTTCCCTTTTTTGAAGCCAATGTTGCGCACGCCAAAATTTCAGAGCTTCTGGCAGAATCCAGGGCAAAGACCGGAAAGTAGCAGCAAAGACAGTCAAGAGAAGTGTGCTGTTTATTGGATGAAGGGGGAGACGCGGAGCCGCGGAGCCGGGGAGGGGCAACGCACGAGCACCCGATCGAGCCGCTCAGAGACCCTTTCCCGTCATTCTATCGGCTTCAACCAGCAGATTCGCTTCGAAAGCAGCAATACATGCACAAATTACCTTGACTTCTTGGTGTTATTTCATACTGTTGATCGAACGCCTTGGAATCGAGGCCTCATCAAGTTTCCTGGTCACCGATCCACAACGCTTGCGAATATGCCGCGTCGATTGCTAACGCAATGTAACTATCAACCCCCCCCCGCCAGTCTAACTTGATGAGAAATATCACTGACTTGATGCTGAGAAGAGCCAAACCACCATAGAGGGCCCGAAAAGGCGTTGGACCGAGGCCGGTTTCCAACTCAGGCAATTGATGCTCACTTTGACGTCGTTCTGAACGATTTTGAGCCTCCGCTTGTGTCAATAAGTATTGCTTGGTACATGTTTCACGAAATTACGTGATGTGAGCGTGGTTTTGGGCAAAGGGCGCTTAAAATTAGAAGGAAATCCACAGTATGAAATCAATAGTTGCAAGGGCATAGTTACTGCCAAAAATGCATGAAACTTGCGCAAACGCGCGAGCATTGCTATAAATACTATAAACTGTATACGAACTGTACATTCATGTAAAATTCCGGGCCTTGCAGGTTGAAGATTTTGAGCGATCGGCCAAAAACAACGTGGGCATTGGCTCAGAGCGAAATGTCCATCCAAAAGCATCCAAACCCCGCTCCCCTCCCCACTAGAATACACCGTAGCCTCATTATCAAACCTACCGGTTACATTCGCCGGGCTGGACGGACTCGACTCTGGAGCATTCAGTCTGAGAATGCTCAGTCTTTACTTTTTTTCTTTTTTATTATTCTTCTTCTTTCCCTTTCTTCTCCCTTCCCCTTTTTGGATCTCCTTCCCCAGTCGTCAACTATTCGCGTCCTGTTCTTCCAGTCATGGCTGACCAGCGTGAGCGCAACGCGCAGTATGACTACAAGGCGGTGAGTTGTTATTGAAGCGGCCGCCACACAATCCTCCAGCCCACTGTGGCGCCACGCAGCATCACACGCGATTCTCTCGGCATTCCGCCTCTTGTTTGACCCGCCTTGTGCGCTTCCCTCACCCCCCTCCCTCATCAGCGTTTGCCCAGCTATCACGCGTTGCTTTGATGGGGTTGTCGTTGGTGGATTGTCTCCATCTGCGTTCGGCTCCATCTGCTCCTCCTCCCCCCTTCGCATCGATCCGAGTCGCAGTCCGTCTCGTTGAGTTGGTTTATGGCGACGGTCATGTTGCTTGTTGTGCGCGGCGGTTTGGCCAGGTTTGCGCTGCCGACCGAGGAGCGAGCTGAGGAGCGCGACGACAATGCAGCGATCTTTTTTTTTTTTTTTTTTTTTTTGGGGAATCGGACAACACACCTCGAGGCCCCCTTCTTTCACTTCACCAAAATGAGACTCCTCTACTCGCTGATCGGAGCATCAACGTTAGGACGCAGCATCCTCGGGCATGGCATCGGCGCGATGATGACAGATCGACGCTGCTGAAACGACGACATTTTGTGCGCTTTTTTTCCCTATGCAATTTCACTCAGTGCGCTCTCCTTCCTTTCCTGCTGCCTCTTCTTTGGTGACGACAGAACTCCAACCTCGTCCTTCAAGCGGATCGGTCCTTGATCGGCCGCGCTCGGCAAGAGCCGTCAAGCGAGGTCCAGTCGCTGGTGGGCAAGCTGACCAACACACGCATGGGAGACAAGGTGCTCAAGAGCAAGCCCGAGCGACCGAATGCTGCAGCGGCCGCCAAGCGCGATGCAAAGGCAACGTCTGCGTCTGGTGGTGCTGGCAGAGGTGTCATGACGGCAGAGGAGCTGCGAGGCCAGGTGCAGAGCAACGCTTCCGTGCTCACGCACCTTGCAGACGACATGCATGGGCTGGATTATCGCCCGCGCACCAAGGAGACGCGCGCTACTTATGCCTCGATTCTGTCCGTGATGCAGAGCCACTTGGGCGACCAGGAGCGTCGCGTTTTGTGTGGTGCAGCGGACGAGGTGCTGGCCGCCCTCAAGGACGAGCGAAAAACCGACCCGCAGCGCAAGCGCGAGATTGAGTCCCTCCTCGGCAGCGTGAGCTCGGAACGGTTTTCCCAGCTCGTGTCGCTTGGAAAGCAAATTACAGATTATAACGTCGAGAACGCTGGCGGGGCGACCGACCTCTCGGGCGATCGCATGGACACTGGCGAAGGTGTGACAGACGAGAGTGTCGCCGTCGTCTTTGACGACGAGGACGAGGCCGAGGAGGATGGGTTGGCCGACGTGGCTGTTGGCGCTGAGGACGTCGACGATGACGACGACGACGAGCTAGACGGCGCGAACGGTGCGGACGGTCGCATGTCCGACGGTGCTGGACTGAATGGTGCGGGCACGCTCGGCGCGTCTGGCGCCACCAGCGGCGCAAGTGCCAACGGCAAATCAGCAGCCCAGCAGCTTGCCCTGGACAAGGACTATGTCGATCCGCGCACGATTGACGCGTTTTGGCTGCAGCGCGAGCTGGCCAAGTTTTACACCGACGCCGTCGATGCGCAGCGCATTTCAGAGGAAGTGTTTGGCGTTTTGCAACACTCTGCCGACGACCGCGAGTGCGAAAACCGACTCGTTCTCTTGCTCGACTATGACAAGTTTGATCTGATTCGCATCCTGCGCAAAAACCGCCTTGCGATTGTCTACACGACGCAATACCGCCGTGCTGTCAGCGACGAGCAGCGACAAGAGCTGGAGGCGGCCATGTCTGCCAACCCTGCCCTCTTCTCTGTGCTTCGTGCCCTCACCGGCCTCGATGCCGGAGGCGCTTCCAGCACTGCTGCTGCTGCTGGAGGTAGCGACGCTACTGCAATGGACACGAGCACCGGCCCATCATCTTCTGCAGCAGCAGGTCCTTCCGCCAGCGCGACCGCCGGAGCGTCTGCAACCGCACGGCAAGCACTCGACCTCGAGTCGCTCGCCTTCCCCGACGGCGCACACACAATGACCAACAAGCAGTGCAAGCTTCCCGACGGCTCTGTGCAAAAGACTTACCCTGGTTACGAAGAAGTGCGCATTCCTCCGCTCACCCACAAGCCGTTTGCAGACAATGAAAAGCTGGTCAATATCGAAGAGCTGCCCGAGTGGGCTCGTGGCGCCTTCCCCAAGTTCAAGTCGCTGAATCGCATCCAAAGCCGCATCTATCCCGCCGCCATGCATCGTGACGAAAATCTGCTGGTGTGCGCCCCCACGGGCGCCGGCAAAACCAACGTCGCCATGCTGTGCATTCTCCGCGAAATTGGGCGCAATCTCAACCCCGATGGCTCTGTCAACCTTGACGCGTTCAAGATTATCTACGTTGCGCCCATGAAGTCGCTCGTCCAGGAAATGGTGGGCAACTTTTCCAATCGTCTGAATGAGGCGTACGGCATCAAGGTCGCAGAGTTGACGGGTGACGCCCAGCTCAGCAAAGACCAAATTGCCGAAACCCAAGTCATTGTGTGCACCCCCGAAAAGTGGGACGTCATCACCCGCAAGGGCGGCGAGCGCAGCTTCACCAACCTCGTCTCCCTCATCATTATCGACGAAGTGCACTTGTTGCACGACGAGCGTGGTGCCGTCCTCGAGTCGATCGTTGCACGCACCATCCGGCAGATCGAGTCCACACAAGAGCGTGTTCGCATCGTCGGCCTCAGTGCAACCTTGCCCAACTATGAGGATGTTGCCGCCTTTTTGCGCGTCGACCTCACCACCGGCTTGTTTTACTTTGACAACTCGTACCGCCCCGTTCCGCTCGAGCAGCATTATGTGGGCATCACTGAAAAGAAGGCCATCAAGCGTTACCTTCTCATGAACCAGATTGTCTACAACAAGATTATCGAGCTCAAGGATCCGACGCAGCAGGTCATTGTCTTTGTGCACTCGCGCAAGGAAACCGCCAAGACTGCCCGCGCGCTGCGTGACTTGTGCATCGAGAACGACACGCTGGGGCGCTTTGTGCGCGACGATTCGCCCTCTACCGAGGTGCTTCGCTCGGAGGCCGAGAACTGCAAAAACACGGATCTGAAGGAGCTGCTCCCGTACGGCTTTGCCATCCACCACGCCGGCATGAACCGCGCCGACCGTACCCTCGTCGAAGAACTCTTCGCTGACCGGCACATCCCCGTCCTCATCAGCACTGCCACGCTCGCCTGGGGTGTCAACCTTCCCGCTCACCGTGTCATCATCAAGGGCACTCAAATCTACAATCCGGAGAAGGGTCGATGGGTTGAGCTCAGCTCCATGGACGTGATGCAAATGATTGGTCGTGCCGGTCGCCCGCAGTTTGACGACCGCGGCGAAGGCGTTCTGATCACATCGCACGATGAGTTGCAATTCTACCTCTCCCTGCTCAACCAGCAGTTGCCCATCGAAAGTCAGCTTGTCAGCCATCTGCCAGACAGCTTGAACGCCGAAATCGTGCTGGGCACCATCGCGTCCGTCAAGGATGCTGTCGCGTGGCTCGGCTACACGTATCTCTTTGTTCGCATGATGCGCGCCCCGGCCGTCTACGGCATCACGCCCGAGATGCTTGCGGCCGATCCCAACCTCGAGGCGTACCGCGCCGACCTGATCCACGCTGCAGCCGTCCAGCTGGACAAGTGCGGCCTGACGCGCTACGACCGCCGCACGGGTGCCTTGCAGGCGACCGATCTTGGTCGCATTGCCAGTCACTACTACTGCACAAGCGAGACCATGGCCAAGTACAACTCGCTGCTCAAGCCGTCGCTCACCGACATTGAGCTCTTCCGCGTCTTCTCGGTCAGCTCCGAGTTCAAGTACATTACCATCCGCGAGGAAGAGAAGCTCGAGCTCCAGAAGCTCATGGAGGTTGTGCCGATTCCCGTCAAGGAGTCGATCGAAGAGCCGACCGCCAAGGTGAATGTGCTCTTGCAGGCCTACATTTCGCAGCTCAAGCTTGACGGCTTTGCGCTCGTGACCGACATGGTGTACATTTCGCAATCCGCGGGCCGCCTCGTGCGCGCCATCCACGAAATCTGCCTCAAGCGCGGCTGGGCCCAGCTTGCCGACCGCGCTCTGACGCTCTGCAAAATGGTCGACTGGCGCATGTGGCAGACGATGAGCCCGCTGCGCCAGTTTTCGAAAATCCCCGAGGAGATTATCAAAAAGATTGAGATGCGCAACTTCCCTTGGCAGCGCATGTTTGATCTGTCGCCCGAACAGCTCGCGGAGCACATCAAGGCGCCCAAGATGGGCAAGTCCCTGCACAAGTATGTGCACCAATTCCCAAAGCTGGAGGTCTCGGCCCACTTCCAGCCCATCACCCGTTCCACCCTCCGCATCGAGCTCAGCATCACCAAGGATTTCGTCTGGGACGAGAAGACTCACGGCACTGCCCAGCCCTTCTGGATTTTGGTCGAGGATGCCGACGGCGAGACGCTCTTGCACTACGAGCCATTCCTCTTGCGCGCCCGCAGCGCCGACCGCGAACACCCCGTCTCCTTCTATGTTCCGCTGTTCGAGCCGATGGCTCCTCAGTACTTTGTCCGCATCGTGTCCGACCGCTGGATTGGCAGCGAAGTCACCTTGCC